CTTCTGATCATATTGTGACGGACTGACGTGTTGTGTGTGAGCGAGGTTACGCAGTAAGAGTTTGTCCTTTTTATTACTTTTACTTTTATACTTTAAGTAGTTTCGAAACCAGTACTTTTATACGTTTTGCTTAAGTAAAAAGCTTGAGTCGATACTTCAACTTCTACAGTCTCTTTAAACCCTAGTATCTGTACTTCTACTTGAGTAATGCATGTGAATACTTTTGACACCTCTGGTCCTGTGCCGATGTGAGGGTTCCTGGACACAGGATGCCAACGTGGACATGTTGGGGAGAGGCTGTGATTTTGGGGTGTTGGAATAAAGTTTTTTATTACAATAGAAAGTTGGGTCAACTATTTCAGCAACGAAGAAGAAAACCTTTGAGTAGCCTTCGTGCATATTCTCTGCATGTGTCCGTTATGTCTCCTGCTTGCAAGTATAATTTTATAAATTAATTTTCAAAATTACATTTTTTCTAACATTTGGCCATAAAAATCATAGCACAGCATATCTTTCTAAATTAAATAAAATAAGAAGATGTCCTTTCCTATCTGTATTTTATATTTTTGGGGGGTTATAAAGCCGTTTACAGTCAAGCACAGCAGGTTGCTAGGCAACGGGAGCAGCAGAGGAAAACCTCATGACGGAAGAAGGAAGTTCCCCCCGTAGGACAGACCGTCTCATTTCAGGGATCTCTTGGTTCAGCCTATGAAGTCATTAGAGGACCAAGCAGGGTCCTCAAGAGAATACAGCAGACCAAATGAGACGCATCTGAGATTTCCGTCGGCTCAGAAAGGCAACGTCCTCTTGCGCATGCGTCCGCAGGCGGGTCGCTCACTCGACTGCTGATGTTATGTTCATGAACTCCACATAATCCACAATATCTGGGGCTCAATTGTCGCTTTTGTCCAATTGCAATACTAATTGTAATTTCCTGCTACGAGAATTACTAGACTATTCGTCCTTTCATCCCTTTCGTTATTCTCGAATAAACGGTGGGGGCTTGACATAGCTAGACTCTTCCCAGTTGTATTTAATATAAGATTAGTATCTACAAACATACAGCGTCCATTTGCTAACTGTAGCTGTTTTATTAATCTTTCCTCGGGAAAAAAAATCAGCTGTTATTTATTCTTGTTGTAAGCGAAATAATTTATTTACATGTCAGTAGGTCAATGTTTATATTGGCTCACAACAATCGAGATAAATTAGTCAACTTAGGCTCACAAACGTTTAGCCACTGTGTTAAGGGACACGTAGCACCAGTCTTTTAGTTGTCTCAAAATGTAAAATTATTCATATTTTCTATGGGATTCATTACTCACGTGGAGTGAGTAAAGCAACGTTTTTCATGCACATTGTGTTTTACGCAAACCAATGGATGTCGAGTAATGGGAGGAGGAATATTTCATAGAAAGAATAAAAGATACCAATGACAGTGAAGTACAGAGCAGTCGTGCTCAGGAAACCTTGAGTCACGCGTTCCCAGACTGCACTTGAAGGCATCAATACAGCCACCCTCCCCGCGCCACCGCAGACAGAGCCGCTACCTGCCGGGCGGAATGGACGTGCTCTCCACGGATACCCATTTCTCTATTTGTGCAGCGGGGCCGCGGGAGAAGCCAGGCCCAACATGACAGCCCTGGGACTGGGGAAGAAAGCCCGCCCACGGTCGTGGTTGAGCGTCCGGCCCGAAGCGGGACGGGACGTGGGTCGCTACGCCGTACTGACCGCCCTGTGCGCTCTGTGCTACAGCAACTCTCTCCGGGGGGAGTTGGTACACGACGATGTGTGGGCTATCATCAACAATCCGGACGTCCGACCAGGCTCCAGCCTTGGAAACATCTTCAGCAACGACTTCTGGGGGAAAAGGATGGCAGACAATACGAGCCACAAGTCCTACAGACCGCTATGCATCCTCACATTCAAGTAAGTTCACCCAGGCTCTTCCCTCCTCTCACCCGGAGCCCCTGAACTAACGTTACCATCTTTTACCGTTTGATCCGCCGGGGTATCGACACCCAACCGGGGTTAGCTAACTTGAGCAACGGGCTAGAAACGCGCTGAAAAGGATGACGTCATAGAGCTGTGCTGTTGTGGAATAAGAAGCTTTCGCTGCGTCACAATTAACTTCACTATAATATAATCCAAATAACTCTGGATGAAGTGGAAAGCCCCCCTAGTGTTCTGTCTAGTATGAAATGTAGCACAGAAGGGAGCACATCCCACTCATTACATTACATTACATGTCATTTAGCTGACAAAGCGACTTACAATATGTGCATTCAACCATAGGGATACAAACTCAAAAGAACAAGAAAGTGCAATTTCATTAAAAAAGCCGATTTACAACTTGCTATAGATAAAAGCCATTATAAGTACAATTTAAGTGCTACAATTTTTGTCTTTTTAGTCAAGGTAGAGTTTGAAGAGGTGTGTCTTTTAGGTTGCGGCGGTGGAAGATGTAAAAGCTCTCTGCGGTCCTGTCGTCATCAGAGAGCTCAAGCAGTTTGGTAGATGCAGAGCGTGTACTGAGAGTGTGCGGGTTTGCATGCAGTATTCCAGGCGGGAGATGACAAGAGCCTGAATCCGTACCTGCGCTGCCTTCTGAGTGAGAAGGGGACGTATTCTCCTGATGTTGCAGAGCGTGTATCTACAGGATGGTATTGTTGCTGTAATGTTGGGAGTCAGGGAGAGTGGGCTGTCAAGTGTCACAGCGAGGTTTCTGGCAGTCAAAGTGGGCGTTAACACAGAGTTGTCAACAGTCATGTCCTGTGTAGCAGAATCTTTTCCCGGAAAGAGAAGTAGTTCAGTCTTGTCAGGGTTGATTTTCAGATGATGAGCCACTGAAGAGATGTCAGTCAGACAGGCAGCGATCCGTGCCGCCACCGGAGTGTCTGTCTGAGTGAGGGGGAGTAATCTGCATAGCTGTGGTAGGAGAAGCCATGCGAGCGAATGACAGAGCCGAGAGAGTTTCTGTTGAGAGAGAAGAGGAGGGGACCAAGGACGGAACCCTGGGGAACTCCAGTAGTAAGGACCAGGTTCTGACACAGATCCTCTCTAGGTTACCCGGTAGGTGCGGCCATCAAGGTAGGATGAGAAAAGGGAGAGAGCAGGGCATGTGACACCAAGTTCCTGAAGGGAGGAAATAAGGATCTCGTGGTTCACCGTGTCAAATGCAGCAGAAAGGTCCAGAAGGATGAGGACAGAGAAGAGAGAGGGAGGTCCAGAAGGATGAGGACAGAGAAGAGAGAGGGAGCTCCAGCAGTGTGGAGTCGCTCTAAGACAGAGGGTGGGTTTCTTCATGTATGGGTTAACTTTTGGGTTTGAGAAAGAGGATCATATGTCAGCTAATTATTTTGTAAAATAGTTGAGTCTCCTGGAAGAAGGATGGAGGAGGACTGGGGGGTTCGAGGAGGGTGAAGAAGAAAGAAAAGAGTTTTTGGGGTTTTTGAAAATGAAGACTCAGAAAAAGAGAAGCGAAGAGATTGAAATGCCAGCAAGTCGTCTGGTTGTTTATATTTAGGCCATTTCCTTTCGATGCTCGCATAGTGGCTCTTTTTGGCACGCCCCGGTTCAGACAGTCTGTCGTGTCGTAAGAGGACAGTGAGAGCCGAGAGAGGAGGACAGAGTTGAGAGGAGAGTCTCTGCGGCAGCGTTCGGATGCAAGCGCGCGAGAGAGTCAGTTGAGGGGAGAGCTGATAGAACAGAGGAGGCCGGAAAGAGGGAGCGAATGTTACTCCTCATGCCCTTGGCTTCAGATTTAAGGATTGCAGGGTTTAGATGACACAGACCCACAAATCCACGCAGTGTTTTTGACGAACTTGTTGTCCAGTTGTAGGACTCTACCTTGGAGGAGTTGGACGAGTCCTGTGTTAGGATGTGAGAGGGTGATGGACAAGTTATGGAAACAGCGGTGCTGTAGTTGGGTGGATCTTCTCAAGTTCGAGCTATGCAAGCATCGCAAACAGGTTTGCTTGTGTTATAAGTGATATTATGCTGCAGGGACGTCATGGAAACTATGAGGATACATGGGGGGAATAAACCTGGAATAGCAGAGTCAGGGATCAAACCATCGGTCCTCAGATTGAAGAACTGGACAGTTATTAACCAGGACAGAACTACCTCCTCCTTCTCCTCCTGGTGCCACTCAGCTTTTGGAGGCGCTTGGTCCTGCAGGTCTTGTTGGGTAGTGGGCTCTTTGGCAGTGATTGTCTTAAGTTTCTAAGTGATGCCTAGACTTTACGCAGTCAGAGACCTGAGAGGAAGAATCTGACTCTGAAATCATTGCTGGTTGGTGAGGTGGATCAATAGACCAATAAAGTGATGTTTACTGCAGCATTTAAATGCGGAAACTATTTGAAAAATGATATAGTCTCAGATTTTATGCACATTAGAAAGATTCTACAGATGATGCTAGCTTAATCTTTACCATTAATGTTACTAGTCTGGCGTCTTTCAGACTCTTTGTTGTGTGTACGTAGCGGTTAGAAATGTTCAACTCTCAAAAACATAATCCTTAAGATAATTGTGAAAATGCTAACTATCGCAGCCAATAGTTGGCCAGGTGATAATGGACCATGTCCTACTTCAGGGGTTGGATCTTATGAGACAAAACAAGCAAACCGCAAACAAGACCCTACCACCACCTCACCAAGAAAAGATTCTGTTCTTTTAAGGATTCCCAATGTAAACCAACAGCGGTCTAAGATTTTGACTTTTTGCCTCTAGATACACAACACTGGGACACTATGGGAAACTGACTGCATTTATTTATCCATCAGTCTGTACCATTCATTTAATGTCCTCTCATATCCGATGTATTTCACGCTTGATCATTAACAATTTCATAGATACAGTATAATGCAAATGAAGCTCCCATCTCATTCCGCAGGGCTGAATATTCTCTCTCTCTCTGCCAGGTTGAACATCCTGCTGGGTGGCATGACTCCTCTCTATTTCCACATCATAAATGTGTGTTTGCACTGCGCAGTAACCTGCCTTCTCATGTACACCTGTGAACGCTTTGTGTTTGAAGACTCACGTCTGGCATTTGTCACAGCACTCCTCTTCGCTGTGCATCCCGTCCACACCGAGGCCGTGAGTATCACACACACAAACAATCACCTACTGCAGGAGTTAAAAAAAGAGTTGAACCCTCTATTCTCCATCTTAACATTTGGAAGTTGAGAAAGGTTTCACATATAATGGATCCACTTGAAACTTGCAAATACTGTGTTCGAAAAAATCTTACTCCACACTAGTGTCAAATCATTATGGAGAACATTTATTCATGATACTTGCAAGTCAGAGACAGAATTAAAACACACACTAGTCATGCATCAAGGCTTCTTGAAGATCTCCTCTCAGTCTCCAAATGATATAGTTAAACTGACAAACACACACACACACACACACATACTAAAACAGGGAGGTCTGGACAATATCTTGGACTAGTCTTCAAACAGCAAAGAGTGTGGTTAATCTTACTTTGAGTAGGGGTCACTTTGTTCTGCACTTAGAATACACAGATCCCCATGTTGATTCCCTATCAGCTTGTGTTTGTGTGTGCGTGCGTGCGTGAGTTACTTGTTGTCAGTTGAATGGGATCCACCATCCCCGCTTGTCTTTCCTCTCTCTCTTCGCCCCCGAGGCATCCTCTTTGCTCCACAAATTTTGTCCCCCGCCAGAGCCCGGTCCAGTGGGGAATACACATAAGAACAAACAGGTTTTAGATACTTCAATCATCATCAAACTTTTCTCTGCTCTGCAGTACTTTTGCTGGGAATATAAACCAATTTGTTTTGGGGTTTGAGGTAAGAGACTGGCTAATCAGGAGTAATATGTTGGTATGTGTTGCTTACCACCAGTCACTCTGCCTTTGCTAGTGGAACCTGGCCTCTAGCTGGATGCTGAAGTTTTGGCTCATAGCTTTGATCAATGCAGACGCGAGGATTGACCGGCCGGCAGGAGGAGGGTCTCACGCGACTCCTTCATTTTTCGGCGCGCTCTCTGTCCGCTGGTTGAAGCTCACGTGTGCTTGTGCGTGTGCATGCACCCGTCTGTGCCCATCAGGACACAACTCCCCCCGGTGTATACAAATCAACTCGTTATTAAAATGTACTTGGTTTCACTTTACCAAGTAATCAATATGCTAGGTGATTGATATGCTAGGTGACAAAGACATTCAAAAACAACACAACGTTATGTGTTTACGTTTCTAGCTGCATCCAGGGTCCAGCTGAGCTAGGCTTGCATAGTCTTGTACACAACTACATTTGAGTTCCCTGTTATATGCTTTTGGAAAAATACTTTAAAAAAGGTAAAAAATCTGATCTTAACTTCCCATGGAATGTTTCCAAAAATTCCAGAAACCTCCCCTTTGCCACCCTCATAGTATCTAAATTGACAGTGATTCTAACAGCAGCTTCCTTTCCTCAGGTTTAAGGAGAGCAAAATGATACCACTCATCGTGTGTATCAAGAATGAGACGAACGTTCACACTAATATTTGTATTCGTGTCTACTCTGTCCTCATCCTATCAACTCCTTTCAACTTTCATCTCGCTCCTCTGTAGCTCTCACTCTCACTTTCCGTTTCCTTTCATCCCTACCTACCCCTAACCCTACCTATTTATGGGGACACAATCAACTTAATTTACCGATGTAAATCATCTGGTTTCATCTCACAGATTCGTTTGTGTGTGTGTTTTAGAGCGACACGCAGGTTATTTATGTTTTGGAAAATTCCACATGGAGAGAATATATCTATTTATTGTATTGAACCACGAAAAACAAAGTATACACAATTTTTTCACATAGAGATGCCCGTTAACACCCCCGATAACCAATATTCGAAGGGAGGGGGGGTGCTGTCTCCCGAAAGACAAGGATAATAATGGGGTTAACCATGTTCACGTAATGTATGCAAACTGGAATAATTATCACTTCACTTCAGGATGTGAATATGGGTTTGGTGAACATAGAATAATAATACTAATAAAAAATCAATATATGGGTATTCTCTCTGTTTTATAATAACTATTGATCACAATAATCTGGGTCCACCAACAGCCTCGACTGCTGGGGGGAACAGTGGTGTGCAGCAGGTCGAATGAGCAATCTCTACAATGTTTGTATATGTGTTTGTAGGTGTCTGGGATTGTGGGAAGGGCAGATGTCTTTGCATGTCTGCTGTTCCTGCTGACGTTCCTTTCCTACATCAGGTAAGAGGTCCTTGCACACACACGCACTTAGTATTTACTGAGATGATACTACTTTCTATCCTGGAAACAGAAGGACACTCTCCTAGGAATCTCGGGAAATGGACTTGTTTTTTTTAAGGTACAACTTCAGCTACAGTCAATGCTGCAATACTAAATGCAACAAGTCTAAATATGGGTTCCCAACTTGGCTGCTTTAGTGGACTATTATTATTATTATTTTTATTATTATTATTATTATTAAGGCAATCAAACTATGTTTGTCAGCAATTAAAGAAGTTATGGCACTGACTGGACACTGAGACTCAGCCAGTGGCTGTGATCACCGGCTGACTCACCGGAAAGATTAACAGTTGTGATGTTACAGGCTGAATCATGAATATGAGCATTTCAATGTGTCATTTGTTATTTGTAGCCTATACGCAGACCTCAATTGAATTAATGTGGCAATTTAATCATGCTACAACATGCTGGGTCTCGTCGTCGCTGTGTGTAACCTGTTCTCCCACTCTCAGGAGTGTGGGTGTGTGTGTCTCTGAGGACTCTGCACCCTCCACGCTGTCAGCGGGCTCTTTGCTCGTCACTTTGTTCCTGGGCACCTGTGCCATGCTGGTGAAGGAGACCGGCATCACTGTGTTCGGAGTGTGCATGCTCTACGACGCCCTGGTGCTGTGCCGCAAACCTCTTTTTAAGTAAGTACACAGGGTTTCGCTCTGTTTATGTTTTAGCTTGTTTTTTTATCTTATTTATGTAACAATGGTTCACTAAGCTTGGATAACTTTAAAAAAAATACAGATTTATATAACTTCTCTACACTTAGAAGCTGTCCAATGCCACAATAGACTCATTGTTTTCTGTGCATCAATACACTCTTCAGCATTTGTATTAAATGTGCAGGTGTTTGAGTTTAAAATTAATTAGATTAAATTCAGGTATTTTGAGAGGAGGATTTTAACTAGAACAAAACTAACATTCCTCGCGATTGGTTGTGTATCATCTACTTCTTGAACACTGGGAACTGAGCCCCAGCTCCTTCCAGTAATATTGAAAACTTAAAACCGATTTTAAAAGGAAGATTTGGCTTCTTAGTGGAAAAACAAAAAGCCTGGCAAAGCATCTTAAGGGAGAAAAATCACAATTCTAAGTCTAAAAGGTTGTGCCATTAACTTTTTGACAGATATGTGACAGGAAGCTTTTAAACGTAGTATCATCTCAGAATAACCTCTGATGTATTCGTCACAATAAAATTACATGATACAAAATTACATTATATTTAACACAAGCATTGTTTTGTGTAATATGCTGCTTAATCCTCTACTCGAAGGTAAGGAGTTCAAGCGTAGTTGACCCCCCAATTTGCTGTCATTCCCAGTTGCTGTATCTTCGCTGCTTATTGCTGATTTGTTTTGTTTTCGCTTTCTGGAGGTTTAGTAACCCATCATCAAAACGTCACACCCTTTTCACACCAATGTCACCCTCTGCTCTGACTACCTCCGCTACCCGCTCAGCAGCGAAACAACTCTGTCTCCCTGTAATGACTCCAAACTCCAAATAGCTGTGAGGGCTCTGTCCTGGTATACACCGTGTAAAATACAGTTTTGTGTGTTTACAATCACAATGAAGTATGTCAGCATTTTAACAGTTACAAAAGAGAAAATGTGTGCCGAAAGCTCACAGAGCAAAGTCTGACTGATCTTCTGTATGTCTCTGTGTCCCTCAGTAACCTGACTGCCTCCAGATTCAGGACCCTCCACCACATCTGCAGCCCCTTCTTCAAACGAGCCTGCCTTATCTCTGGCTATGTGAGTGTTCTTTACACATTAACATTAAAATGTACAATACTGGTGGCAACACATACGAGTCAGTTGCATGCCAGTTGTAAATATGTATCATTACCGTTGGTCATTTTACAAAGTAAAGCATAGATAATAAGATCAATTTGTGGGGGAGTTGCATTATTGTTGCAGCTAAAAATGATGAATACTAAATATTTAGTCCTGTTCTCGTTTACAGTTATATTTTCTCTCCAATGTAGTTTCCCTTTTTCATTCTTTATTGTTGTACACTGTCAGTAGTCCACTAGGGGCCATTAAGCTGTCATAAATACAGGGTTAAAGTTTTTTTTTAAGTGCAGTGTATTACTGACTGTAAATGACAGTAGGCACGCCCCTAGTATAGAGAATTTGGCAGGAATACCAACATGAGAGCAAAGTAATATATGTTTATTTAATCATTTGGTGACAGTTGGCCTATTTAGTCTATTCCGAAAGCGATTTGAATGGCATTAATTATAGGTTAAGACGGTAGGTGTATTGGAAGTTATACTTGAACGTGGATACAATTACTAAGTAGAAATGGTGAGTAGGCAATGGATTTTTCTGCCGTACTGGTCTTTCAAGTTAAAGCTGGGGTCAATAATACTCTTAAAATTTCCTTCTTATAACATCCGGACAGAAATCAATATCTCCAAATAAAATCCGTGTCTGTCTGTAATACACTTGTCCAACTATTTCATTGGGCCTCAGTTAAATTGTTTGGCTCCTGCCTGTGCACTCCTTGCGTGTCACAGAAGTATTCCACAAGCTGCTATCCTCACAACTGTAAGGACTAACAGTAGCCAGGTTTGACATTCATAATCATTCTGGCTTAATGGCTTTACAAGGAGATCTGGAGGGACGTGCTCTCTGTTACATTGATTTGGCAGTGACTTTTGGAACTAGTGCTCCATGCTTCCATTAGGAAGGAGTTGGCCAAACTACCTGAGATATTTGGTTGAACAGGGCTGTAGTGGAGGGTAAACGCACGTAAACGCCGTTTACGCACCTCTGGAATTTTGGAAATGGCGTTTACGCACCTATACGTGGCGTTTACGCACCTCAAAGTTCCCTGCGCCTTGTATTCTTCCGTTGGAATAATCCGAAATAAACTTGGTGTAATTTTAAAACAGCTAAGACTACGTTTCCTATTGTTGAACATATAAACGCCGTAGTCTGAATCATTTTCATCTGCGCTGTATTACGGTCTGTGAGCATCCAATCAGTGCCTTGCGGCTGCAGCAGCGACGCCAATCACGATCCAGTAGGCACATCCATGTTGTGGATCAGCCCAGCGGTCCCCAACCTTTCTTACCTCACGGACCGGTCGAGAAGGTCCGACGGGGGGGGGTGTAGTAGCAAAGCTGTTGCTTCATTGAATAGGCCTATATGCTTAAGCAATTATTTTAAGTCATGAAAGTTGTAGAGTAGCCTGTAAGCGTTAGAAGCGTTAACAAGTCAGTTCTCAATGTGAAAACAAAACATACTGTAGGCTATTTATGATGGCATAGGTAGTACATGAGTGTTCCTTTAACTTATGTTGTCAGTGTAATTGACAGGCTGCTTAACTGGTTATCTCTTAAATTCAACATATTTTTTCAGGAAGTGAGAGGACAGGCAATGATGCAGAGAGCACAGGGAGAGGAGAAACACCAGGTCCAATAGAGAGAAGAGAAGCACAGAGGAGCCATGAACCCCAGAACACGCGTTCTGGGGTTCATGGCTCCTCTGTGCAAGGCAGGACCTGACGTGGAGGACAAAGAGGCCCTCTGGGCACTACTGTGAAAAGGAGACTCCGTATGTAGATAGTTCTTAATCTGCAATTGTCTTGTTGTGTTGACATACTTTTCTTTACTGTTTTCTTAAATTTAATAAACCACTAACACATGTATTCATTGTCATTGATTGTATATGACTTTTACTGATAACATAATGCAATATAGCCAGGACAGCCTTACAGAGTCGCGACGCTTTGTGTTGCATTGCTTCGCATCGCGTCGAGGTCTGTATGATCACAAAATTCAGAGTTTACCCACCTCTAATTTTACCACTACAGCACTGTTGTTGAATAATTGTTTTCAAATCAAGTGTGTTCTTCCTAGTTCTTAGTAGTAGTTTGAGTCCAATGAAATGGCTGGACTTATTCTCACTATAGATTTGGACATCTGTATGAATAGGGAAAGTGCAAAAAAGCCATTGTCCCATTGTAACCAATGCATTTTGTCAACTACCCTTCGCTTCAGTCTTTTTTCAGAATATATATCAGGCACAGGAAATGTAAACAAAAAGCTAATTTGGGTTTGTAACTGTACTCCCATGCCCACCTCTCCCCCCCGGACCTCCTAGGTGTTGATCATCATGTCGGTCCGACTGTGGCTGATGGGAGGATCCATGCCCCTCTTCTCTGAACAGGACAACCCTGCTTCCTTCTCGCCACACCTGCTTACCAGGTCAATGATGCACTTTTTTATCTTTCTTTTTTTAAGATAATAATGCTCAAATGTGTCAACATTAACATTTATATTTTTGAGGTATCATTGCGCAGCGCTTATATTTTACTGCAGAGGTTTCAAACTAAATTACAGAGAGGGCCAAAATAACTTTTATTTTTAACTTAACTGCGTCCTATTGACTGGCGAGCCAGTTATGAGAGACATATATTTCCTTGCAGGCCGGATATAATTGTACCTTGAGTTTAAAATGTCTGGTCTACTGAGAAATATATTTTCAATGACACTTTAACATCAGCCTTGTAGTAGTTGTAATGCCTATAACTACTCAGAATTGAATAACTTAGTAATACAATCACCACCTGATTTATTTTTTTTATTATTTTTTTTTGGAAACTGGAAATCAATTACTTACATTGACAATGTATACATTATTGCCGATGACTCTGCCATGAATAAATAGTTCTTTTGACTTCAGGAGCGGTGCATAATCAATTCAAGTGTCAGGGTTTGTACTGCCATTGGAGAAAAAACCTTGTCGGGTCACTCAACATGCATGCGCAGTTGACCGCGAGACTTAACGGAAGAATTGGTTGTACTAATTAGCGATCCTTGCTCATTAACGGACTCATTTGATTTCAATCAAAAGCAACTTTGGCAGAATCCAATCAGTGCAAGTAATCTGAGTAAGGTAATGACCAATGTCTGAAATGTTTGATGGTTCCCTTGCTTCTGACAGACGAGCCGTTTGTTGTTTGTTTTTCAATATCGATTCGCCTTGTGCTTACGGTATGCAGCGCTTGCTGGTGACGTCGTCGCTGCTAATAATAATAATAATAATATTACAGTTTCAATAGTGTCTTTGTGGATAGATTACGTTGGCTGCTTGGGCCCTAAAAACAAGTATCATAAGCAGTAGTAAAAGATAAACTGAACTATGACCTGGCACTGTGGATTGGATCTTCGAATGTTGCGGAATTACTGCATATCAAAATCCAAATTTGGACAACCATCCTAATGGATGATAGATTGATTGTAACTGTCCATAGGGCTGAATGTTGTTCTTCTTCTTTCTTCTACCACATCGCAGGATTTTGACCTATTCTTACCTGCTGTCCTTCAATGCGGCACTGCTGCTGGCCCCCATCACTCTGTGTTACGACTGGCAGGTGGGCAGCATCCCCCTGGTGGAGTCGCTGGGCGACATGCGCGTTGTGGCCACAGCGCTGCTGCTCGTGGGGATGGCTACTCTCACCCTGCACTGCTCCTTCTCACTGCAGGTAAGAGCAGGCAAGTGATTCGTCACTGAACACCAATTCTTATAGACTCTCTTAGCCTCTTTCCTCATCGAATCATGTCACCTCACCATTTGAAGAGTGTAAGAGGTCTACCAATGTCAAAGTGTTCAAAAACCTTAAGGTTACATCACAAAAGAGTCACTCCTAAAAGCTCAGCATTTACCATGAAATGTCAAGCTATACATCTATTTATAATTGCAAATGCATGTATAAATGAGATATTATGGCACATAGAGACGAATAAGTATCAATGAGTCATTTGATTTGTAACGGTATCATGATGATTTGAATACATCTTCAGCTTCTCAAACCCCAGCCACTGTTTTTTACAGTTACAAACAGTGTTAAATCATTTGCAGTTTAACTAAAAGGGACTAAAGCATTTTCCTAAACTAAATTGGTGCTGATTTTCAGAACTGTAGGATTATTACTCCGATCGATAAGGACTCTATGGTCACCCAACTTAACCCTCCTCTGTAATAAGTTTAAAATTCTCTCTCTCTCTCTCCTCTTTCTCTCTCTGGGTAGAGAAAGGATAGCAGGCAGGTGTTGGTTGGAATGTTGTTTTTGGTATTCCCCTTCATTCCTGCCAGTAACCTTTTCTTCAGGGTGGGGTTTGTCGTGGCTGAGAGGGTTCTCTACATGCCAAGGTGAGTCAGAGTGTGCTGTTTGTGCGTACCTGTGTGATTTATAGTCAACTCTCACTGCCCTATAAATAGAAGGGTTTTTGTATTAATTAATGTATGCACCCTGTAGGGTCTGATAATGTTTTCCTGTATTTAATGTGCACTCTACTGCTCGCTCCATGAAATAGTTGAAGTAAAATCTAAATTTACAACCTCAGTACAATTGTTTCATTGATTCAAAGATGAGACAAAAAAGAAATTAACTGGAATTTGTCCTTTTTATAAACCTAATTAAAGAGATTTTAACAGTGAATAGTCATGAAAAGCATGTCTAGCATGTAATCTGTTGCACAATATGTTTCAGTCATTAATGACATTTTTAGCTTATAGTAATTTAGAGTTTCAAATGCAGCCAGCTGAGGAGGAGACCACCCCCTCACGCATTGATTGCGTTAGAGTGCTTCACTCTCACTCGATAACACAGAATATTTGAACCTTTAACAGGTGCAATTCCTTACTCTGTGGGAAAAAGAGCAGATTAACCTTTAGGCTACATGGTTTAGAAGTGATTTTGAAAATATTTGGCAGAAGAGAGAGATTCTGGGTTTTATGGAAAGCAACAGCCTGGGAACTGAAGGGATTAGTAACAGAGAAGGCTCTCCACCAATCTCAAACTTGCATCCTCCCTCCTCCTCTAGTATGGGTTATTGCATCCTGGTGGCTCATGGCCTAGGTCGGCTGTGTTCGTTGCTGGGCCGTTGGGGCACAACAGTCCTCAGTGTCTCCATGCTGCTGCTCCTACTGCTCTTCTCCTGGAAGACTGTCCAGCAGAACCACGTATGGCTCTCCAGGGAGGCACTGTTCCTGTACGTAGAGGTTGCGTGTGTATATAAATAACGTTTATATTACATACCATTTAGTAATTATGTGACTTGTGAAGACAATTGGTGGCACCAGATCTTTGTGTTTTATAGTAAAGGGGGAGAATACATATGCACCCAACATTTTTCACATTAGTATTTGTAAATCATTTTGAATTCCATGTAAACTTAAATAAATCAGAACCTGTGGTTAAACTAAAAATGTAGAAAAGTCCAAGGGGGGGGGGGGTTAATACTTATGCAAGGATAAATGAGAAAAGTAGAAGAGCAAACCACTTTCAAACTCAAAAGATCCACAGTGAAATACAATTACATCAATCAGGGGAGCAGTGACCCCCTGGCAGTTATTGTTGCTCTAATAATTTCTTTTTATAGACTCACCTCATGCCTCATCCTTCTTTTCTGTTTTAGCTCTGGTATCCAGACCCTGCCACACAATGCCAAAGTCCACTACAACTACGCCAACTTCCTTAAAGACAGCGGCCAGCACCAGCAGGCCATTCACCACTACGCTACTGCTCTCAGGTCTGACTAGACTAAAGCTCTCTGATTAACAATCCAACACTTTCTAAGACACAGTACTTGGTGAACATCCATGCAAATTCTATTTCTGCAACTGAAAAGGCTTCTCAATATTTGGTAGGGGTGGGAATCTCTCGGCACCTCACAATTCGATTCGATTCCGATTCAGAGGTCAACGATTCGATTCTAAACCGATTATCGATTTTAAACTGATTAAAACGATTATCGATGCAAGTGTGTGGGACTACACACGTCCCCCCAGAATTCACCATATAAAAAAAATAATCATCTGGGAGGTGGTCGTATTAACCGACCAGAACGGCTGTGTTTCAGAGGGGGTCGAGGCGCCACAACCGTGGCAGGTGTACCACCGTGACACAGGCGTGGGGCGTTGAGTGTGGGAGTCCTGGGAGGGAGGGACACAGGGGGTGGCCGCAGAGCTGGAGGACGCCCGGGTCCTGGGGGCTGGGCCGATTCAATGGGCCCAGCAACGTCCAAATGAGCTGGTTTGAGGCGGTCAATGGAGAGTCGCTCCGGTTTACCACCCATGTCCACCACAAAATGTTTGTCTCCCGTCTCCAAAACCCGGAATGGGCCCTCGTAGGGCGGGCATAGCGGTCCCCTGTGAGCGTTGTGGCGAATAAAGACGTATTCAGCCGTCTGAAGCCCAGCGGGGACGTGCGACTGAGGGAGGCTGTGACGGGAAGTAGTGACAGGTGCGAAAAGCTTTGCATTGTCCAGTAGTGCGGCCCGCTGTAAGGTCACAGACCAGGGAACGGTGGAAGTAGGAACAAAATCCCCTGGAACCCGCAGTGGCTGGCCATAGAGAAGCTCCGCGGACGAGGACTGCAGGTCTTCCTTCGCTTGTCGACCCAGTTGCTCAGTTGCTGTCTTTGAGGCCGGCGCAAAGAGACCTGTGAAATCGCTCACAGAGCCCGTTAGCCTGCGGATGGTATGCAGTCGTGCGGTGGAGTTTCGTTCCGAGGCTCTGGGCCCCCGCTTCCCACAGCTCAGACGTGAACTGCGCGCCCCGGTCAGAGGATATGTCCGAAGGGGTGCCAAAACGGGCAACCCAGGTGCCGATAAATGCCCGGGTCATCTCGACAGCTGTCAACGATGTCAGTGGGACAGCCTCGGGCTAACGTGTGGTCCTGTCAACCATGGTCAACAGGTAGGTGAAACCATGAGAGGAAGGCAGAGGGCCCACTAGATCCACGTTAACATGGTCAAACCGCCTCTCTGGCACTGGGAACAATTCTAATGGAGCTTTAGTGTGGCGGTGTACCTTGGCCTGTTGGCAATCAAGGCCAACAACTCAAGTGTTAGCCCAACCCCTTACGTCCTTTTTGAGGCCGTGCCACACAAACTTCGCCGACACCAGTCTCTGTGACGCTTTCGAACCAAGGAGGGAGAGACCATGGATGGCATCAAAGACGCGTCGTCTCCACCCCGTGGGGTAATCCAGACCGAGATGGACTGCTCCTGCCACAGCCTGTGATAGGCAGTCCGCCACCTGGTTGCCCTTACCGGCCACGTGCTGTAAGTCCGCGGTGAACTCGGAAATGTAGGACAGATGACGTTGTTGGCGGGCGGACCATGGCTCGGCCACCTTGGCCATGGCGAAAACCAGCGGCTTGTGGTCGACAAAGGCGGTGAAGTGTCGACCTTCCAGCAGGAAATGAAAGTGCCTGATGGCGAGGTAGAGACCGAGCAGTTCCCGGTCGAAAGTGCTGTTTTTACGCTCGCTAGCGCGCAGTTGGCGGCTAAAGAAAGCAAGCGGCTGCCAGGCCCCGCCTACCCACTGCTCGTAGACGGCACCGACAGCGTAGTCCGAGGCATCCGAGGTGATGGCGACAGAGGCTGTGGCTGAAGAATGTGCCAGCATGGTGGCCCGCGCCAGGGCTGCCTTAGTGTCCACGAATGCTTTGTCCCTGCCCTCAGTCCAGTCCACGGTGTGCGTGGGCTTACCTTTCAAGGCCTCGTGCAATGGCTGCATGAGCTGAGCGGCTCGAGGGAAGAAACGGTGGTAAAAGTTCACCATGCTGAGGAACTCCTGCAGGGCTTTCACGGTGAGCGGGCGCGGGAACTGTGTGACCGCCTCCACCTTTGATGGGAGCGGGACTGCACCGTCCTTTGTGACTCTGTGTCCTAGGAAGTCAATGGTGGAGAGACCAAACTGGCACTTAGCAGGATTAACAATTAGGCCATGTTGGTTGAGCCGCTCGAAAAGTGCTCGGAGGTGCGACAGGTGCTGAGCTTTGGACGTGCTCGCTACAAGAATGTCGTCCAAATACACAAAAAGAAAAGGCAGGTCGCGTAAAACAGAGTCCATGAGGCGCTGAAAAGATTGGGCGGAGTTTTTAAGGCCAAACGGCATCCTTAGAAACTCAAAAAGACCAAAAGGTGTAATCACTGCTGTTTTTGGAATGTCCAGTGAGTGCATGGGCACCTGATGATAGCCCCGGACGAGGTCCACCTTAGAAAAAATCACCATACCGGCCAGGTGTGCTGAAAAATCCTATATGTTCGGGACTGGGTATCGGTCAGGTGTCGTTGCCTCATTAAGCCGCCGGTAGTCGCCACATGGGCGCCAGCCGCCACCAGGTTTGGGGGCGATGTGAAGGGGTGACGCCCACGGGCTGTCGGATCGGCGGACTATTCCAAGGCGTTCCATGTTAGAAAACTCTGCCTTAGCAACGGCAAGCTTGGTCGGGTCGAGGCGCCGAGCATGGGCGTAGACCGGCGGACCAGTGGTGGCGATATGGTGTTCCACACCATGCTTCACGGCAGATGCAGAGAAAGTGGGCTGGGTGAGTTCTGGAAAACCAGCCAGTAGATGGTGGAAGTCGTCTGATGGGGAGAGCATGCTAGACAGTCGTATGGAGTCAGCCCCGCTGAGCGTGCACGTGTAAGAGCAGAACGGGACAGCGTCGATCAAACGGCGGTTCTTAACATCCACCAACAGTCCATGCGCACACAAAAAATCAGCGCCATGGACGGGGACAGCGACTTTAGCCGTGACAAAATCCCAGCCGAACCGATGCCCTCCGAAGCACAACTCAATGTACCGTGTTCTATACGTGCGGATGGGGGTCCCATTAGCAGCTTCCATCAGGGGGCCATGGCTGTCGGTTACCATGTCCAAATGGGATGCAGGCAGGACACTCCTCTGCGCACCCGTGTCGCACAGGAAACGTCGTCCGGAGATGCTGTCACGGATAAAGAGCAGCCTGCTTACGTGGCCGACACTCATGGCCACTAATGAGCGCCGGCCCCGGCGTTTCCCAGCTCGCCGAAACTGCATGGCGAGCGGCATTTAAGAGCCTTCGGTCCAAACTTCTCGTGATAGAAGCACAAGCCTGAAGAAGACTGCTGGGGGCCTGAAGCTTGCTGACGATCTGAAGACAGCTGCCGACGATTCCAATTCCAATGCCGATTCCAAGGGTGGAATCCTCCATTGTCACAGGAGCGACGTGTGTGGGAAGAAGCGCAGCCATGACACAGTGCCCATGGCTTGCCAGGAAAAATTCAGTCTGGGCAAACCATGCCGACGCTGACGATTCCCAGAACTCGGGGAGCTTGAGGGTGACAGCGTTCGCGGTCATGGTCGAGTCGTGTTTGCGAATACTTCAAGCAAACGAACGTCGGGGTCACCCGTTTGGAAGTTGCATTTGGAATAAAAGGCAATTCCGCGAGTTGAGAACAGCAGCGTGTGTCTCGTTTATTTTTACCACAACAAACTCACAAGATGGCGCAGCCCTGTAACCTCACAAGCAAGGGTCTCTACGTCATAAATAACAAAACGTTTAAAGGGACCGCGATCCCGGAACAGTCGCAATTACGTGTACAACAAAACAAGAACAAAGGTGAATTATGCAGTCACATTCACTACAGCATCTTGATTTTACTAAATTTTCTCAAATCTGAGTTTGCTACTCAGAGGTTGCGAATCACTTCCTTCTTTATTTGATAACAGATGAATTACCTTCTCTAATTATTTATAAGAGAGAAAAAAATCTTTGTCACAAATATGATTTTCTATCAACAATGCAAGAACCAATGCAGCTTGCATTTCAACACAATATGGAAGTAGCCTATGTAAAAAAATATTAAACGGATTCATTTTTATTTTAGATTAAGAAACTGACTGGCTTCTATAGTTGTGTGAATGCATCACTCCAGCCAATCCAAAGACGGGGTTTGTAACCAATCACGTGTAGAGACCATGGTGACTGGCTCCGCCCCCTTACTGTGAAAAAGAAAAAGGGCAAGCGCGTAGAAAACACCTTCGAGCGCGAGACTAACCTCGCGAGCGAGGAAGTTCACGTTTTGCGAGGGAGCAAATAACGCGAGACAGACTTTTTTTTTTTTTTTTTTTTTTTTTTTTTTTTAAATTCCGATTATTAACTTTTCTGAATCGAGACCGAATTGTTCTAGAGAGAATCAAGAGCAAATGTCAATGTAGCTCCACAGTGCTGGGCAGTGAGCACAGGGCATACCAAAGGGCGTCGCGCCCTGAGGCCACCCTCATGAAGCCTGTTTCTGATTGTTTGGGAGACATTCACACCAGCTGGAAGTCACTCTGTAGGCTCAGGCAGTGCTTAACCTGTTTCTTCTTGCACAAAGCAACAGATATCGGTCCTGCTTATGGGTTGAGGACCTTTTCACGTCAACGATCAGATGTATCGAGCAAAATGACCGTGGAAATGTGCGGTGCCTCACGCCAACTTCAGGGCTGTCGTACGCCCTTTTCTACAGCTGTTGATTCTTTGGCGACACTTACAGGTGATTAGGGCTGTTGAAATTGCTCAAAAAGGCCGTTTGAATATTCGCTTTAAAAAGACACCGATATTCAAATATCTCTCAGATATTCGAATATATTTGAATATCTGGTTGCGCATTACACGTCAATAACAGGACAAATTAATACAATGAGACATAACTACTTGTATAGGTAATGTATTTAAGTTCAAACATATTTAAGCACACATTACCTACACACTAGCGCAGATCAACTCGCTCGCCCATTTTCTTCTTTCTTTCTCTCTCCCTCTCTCTCTCTCTCTCTCAGCAACGCGGTTTAAATGAACAACAACAATAAACAAATGCCGAGTGCTGATCAAGAGTTTTGTGCAAGCAATTTAAGGTCCCGATTCTTATCCCACATACGGCAGACATATTTTAGTCTTTTGGAACTGGTACGTCCCCTGACGTGACTCCGCCTTTGTTTTCTAGCTACGGGGGTGGTTTTATTTATTGTTTTGGCCTTTGAGACCCTGATGCTTTTGCTTCCGTTTATTTGTCTTTTGTGATAAATAAGTTAATAAATTGTATTTACTTTTGTTAAAACTGTATTTTATCTCCGCTGTTCCACCTTTGCCAAGCCTACCTTTTATCCAAATTTTTGTGTTACGCCTGTGCACCCCTAGGCACGATAGGCAGGCCGTAAAACAGGAACAGATAGGCTAAGGTAATGAAAAGGCACCAACATTTTTTTTTAGGTGATTGTAGAATGAAATAATTCCTATTATTATGCTTCAGATGTTTTTATAAAAGAAATTAATTGGCATTCCCTCCTCTGCTGTCCTGTCTACTTATTTCCTTCTGATACTGTTCTCCTATCTCTTCTGCTGTCTTCTTTCTGCTCTCCACCTATCAGATTATTCCCACGCCATGCCAGTGCCATGAATAATCTCGGGACACTGACCCACGACCCAGAGGAGGCTGAGCGCTACTACAGGAAGGCCCTGGAAACCAACCCCCAGCATAACAGAGCGCTCTTTAACCTGGGAAACCTCCTTAAGTAAGACCCACAAAGTGGAGGACTTCTGAAAAACCATGACATTGCAGCTGGAATCTTCGTTCAAGAGCTTGCCATATGAAGAATAACAATTTCTAGCTGTTTTTCAAGTAATTTATTAGCAAATCTCTTCAGTGATCTAAGTTTGTTATTTACTGAATATTGAACCATTAACTAAACTACTACCGTATTTTCCGCACTATAAGGCGCACTTAAAAGCCTTTCATTTTCTCAAAAAACCACAGTGCACCTTATAATCCGTTGCGCCTTATATATGGATCAATTGGTTGATCCATACTGGTTGTACACGGCGCTCAAGGCGCTCTGCCAAACATGCCAAAGCTTGGTCTACGACGGCGAGATGCTGAGCGGGCGGTCAAGCGCGTGAGGTATGGAGCTTGTTTCAGGGCGCGTCTGAGAAACAAAGCTAATGAGATAATGGACGGTGCCCTTTTCTTTACAGTAGCTGAACCATCTTAACGGGGAAAATAAGTTATTCTAAAAGGGGCCCTTGGCAGGCTGGAGAGCAGCCGAAGATTTAAGGAGTGGGTGGCGGATAATCCGGTGCGCCCTATATATGAAAAAGGTTCTAAAATAGGTCATTCATTGAAGGTGCGCTTTATAATCCGTTGCGCTTTATAGTGCGGAAAATACGGTACTACTAAATTACTCCACAAATACAATAATAAATGACTAAAAAAACTTAGAGGACCAATCCATTAATGTTTTGACATACTATATTATTGTTTAATAGTGTACAATTGTAATACTTAATAAATTAATGACATACTATATATCATGACATGTTGTAATTTTAAGAAATGCTATACTGACGTTCTTATTTATTGATGCTTAATTTCCTAATATACCCAAGATCTACATCAAGATGTAACTTAACATCAAAATCATTTAACAAGATATAAAGTTTTTATCGGTTCTGATTAGCATGCTCAATAATTTGTGGAGATTAAGGCCTGAGAAGTGTTAATTAGTTTTGGGTTATATTCTTCCATTTCTGGTTTGTGTAACAGCTTGTTTTTTTCAGGGAACCACCATGGGTTGATAATCTGGACTCAATGAATTGAATGGGTTTTTTTATCTTGAAAGTTAATGAGTTATGTCGATGACTTGTTATTCACCCATTCACAGCCATTATTGAATAATGGTTAGGGTTAGACATGGACTAGCAGAGCCTGGGATTGAACCACTGATCTTCGGAATGAGGGACGACGCACTGTTTTGTGAGAATTAGTTTACTGAAATGATTGTTATTTTCATTAAATGTATATTATTCACTGACCGGCCACTTTATTAGGTACACCTTTTCAATTGCTTGTTAACACAGCCAATCACATGTGCGCTCAACTCAATAGGCATGTGGACGTAGTCAAGACAACGTGCTGAAGTTTAAACCGAGCATCAAAATGGGGAAGAAAGGGGAATTAAGTGACTTTGAACATGGCATGGTTTTTCATGCCAGACGGGCAAAAACTGCAGATCTACTGGGATTTTCACGCAAACCATCTGTAGGGTTTATAGAGGCTCGAAAAAATATCCAGTAAGCTGCAGTTGTGTGAACGAAAATGCCTTGTTGATTTGACTGGTCCGAAGAGAATGGGCAGACTGGTTCGAGATGATAGAAAGGCAACTAACTCATAACAACTTGTTAAGGAATATACATAGGGAATGTAGAATACCATCTCTGAACGCACAACATGTCGAACCTTGTCGTAGATGGCCTACAGCAGCAGCAGACCACTCAGGGTGCCACTCATGTCAGCTAAGAACAGGAGACTACAATTCGCACTGGCTCACAAAAATTGGACATTAGAAGATTGGAAGAACAAACCCCGTCTGATGAGTCTTGATTTCAGCTGCATTATTCACATGGTGGGGTCAGAATGTGACGTAAACAACATGAAACCATGGATCCATCTTGCCTCCTATCGACGCTAAGTTATGTAACTCGTTGATCTGTGTTAAATGTTAATGCATTGGCAAATAGTTTCACTGTGTGAAGGGAATACTGCCTTATTTAAATTGTTTTCATAAATAAAAGTGTCCGGTACACTACTTTTTAATTAAGTTATGCAATATTGCGATTAATCATAAAAAATCTTGCAATTAATCACGATTTAAAAATTTTCATCATTGACCAGCACTATAAATAATATACGCCTTAAGACTGCAGAATCTTGGTTCTCTATAACGGTGGAGCTGTGACAAAAAAACGACTAACTGAGCCATCAATCCGCTGCTGCGAGTCCATGACGTGTGTGTGTGTGTCTTTCTGTATTTGTGCTGTTTGTTTGGACATGAATACATTGCTGCTTTTTAATTTATTGTGATAATCATAATAAGATTATAACACTGTATTGAAGATCTTGTGGATGATTTTATTGTTGATGAGAGTATAGTAATATTGCACTCCTGTGCAAAATGATGACAATGATGCCGTGTTCTAGGTCCCAGGGGAAGGACAAAGAGGCTGAGACTATGCTAAAGCACTCCGTGCAACATGGTCAACATTTTGCTGATGCTTACTCCAGCCTAGCATCACTCTATGCTGAGCAGGTGAAACATTTACAGTACTTACTACACAATACTCGCTCTTTCTCTCACCATCTCACATATAAAGTATTTATAATCCTTGATTTTTAATTATGCAGGCATGTTGTAATGCACCGCTTCTGAATGACTTAAATTAAATCCTGTATTCGTTTCACCTGCTGTCTGCCACAGAAACGTTTTGCTGAAGCCAGTGACGTGTACCTGAAAGGAATAGAGAACTGTCCGGACAGCTCCGACCTGCATAATAACTATGGAGTATTTTTGGTGGATTTGGGTGAGTTAAACTTGGAGGCTCTCTGGTCCCTCTGGAAGGGTGATCGTCCTCTGCTTTTATAAACATACAGTACAAAGGTTTTCCTTAAGAAACTGATTTAAAGACTGCCAACATTTGCATCTCATATAGGAAGAAGTAGAACAAAGAGCTCAACGTAGACGCCTGATCGTGTAGAACAGTGTTTTTTAACCTGGGTTCCATGAGTCACCCTCAGGGGTTCGGCAGATTTTTTCGGCAGCTGTCAAAAACTGGCTGCCGACAATTTGGCAGCACTTTTTTTGCCGTGTTGGATTACAAATATTTAGTTGCTTTGTAAGCATCAATTCATCCCACTCCAATTATTCCTGACAGCAAGTTAGAAAGCTTAAAAAATACATATCTTCTGGGAGTCAAGGATAATATATTTATTGAAACTGAAATAAAAATAACCTTTTAGATGAGATCTGACACCAACCAAAGTAGTGCTAATTAAAATATATTTATAAGTATAGAAAACATCAACTGTTTTTATTTTCCACTGGAGGAGATAGTTATGGATGACCTTTTCTAATTTTACAGAGGAAAAGAATGCCCTTACCTTTATAAACTGCCTTTGTTGTGCAAAGTAGGACTGCACAACTTGAGCAACAAAATACAAATCTGAATAAAAAATGACACCTAGTTTTTAGGATTCCTTACATACATTGTTTAAAAAAAGCACCCAGACTACCGGAGTTGGAAGAGTGCAGGTACTACATGCAGTAATAACGGTTTCCTATTTGGAGTCCTTTCTTAATCACAATTCTGGACATTTTTTAATTTCAATTTCAATCAACAATTTCTAATTTCAGCAAGGCAGGACATAATACAGGCCACTTTGATAACATGCTGTAATGGGACATACAGTTGAGTGTCAACCACATAACAGCTGAAGTCAAAGTGATCTCTAAGACATTGTTTTCCCAAGGGGTAGCATGTGCATACTAAATAAGACGGCACCTAAAATAGAGCTTTGTCACTGATTCCAACATGCTTTATTGAACAGCTGATGGAAATAATATGGCCAATTCTGTCAGAGGCTTAACTGATGTCAAGTAGAATTTAAATAGAATACAAACAAATGCTGCCTGCAAGGAGTAAGGCATTGCTGACCTACAATATCTGACTTTTTAAGAATATTTAATTGTCATGGAAATTAGTTGAGTTGAAACTATTTTGACAAAAATCTTTGATTAGCAGCTTAGAGAAGTCGTTTCTTTTTCATTGCGGGCGCTATTTTCTTCCAACCGTGTTCATTCCCTTCGTAACTTCCCTCCATCCTTTGCTCTGATCCTCAGGAGAGGGAGAGTTGGCAGCCGCTCACTACCAGCAAGCCGTTAGGCTCAAACCAACACACTACGTTGCCATGGTGAACCTTGGCCGCCTGCTCCGTTCATCCAATGAGAACACAGAAGCTGAATCTTGGTATAAGAGGTGAGAAAATTTATTTTTATCTTTTTTTTTTTTTAGGGAGGCCTGAAACTAAAATATGTATCTGCAATGAATAGTAAAACAGAAGGCAGCATATAATAATTTAGGTGTGTATATTGAGTTTTAATCAGTGTTCAACCTACATCTTTCACAAACACTTATTGATATTCATCTTTCCACCTAACTGACTAACTCCTTGCAATTTTTTTAATTTATAATGTGAAATTAACCTTCAGATATTGATGATTTTTCAGATATTGATGAGGCTTCTTTAAAAATATGCTCCTGGATATGTGATTACCATAGCTGTGTAAAACATATAAAGTCATCGTCGGGAAGACGGCAGTATTTTGATAATTTATTGATCGTATTGATGATTTTCTGTAGCATTTAAACACAAGATACAGTACTCGCTTTTGTAAGATAAACTTTGGTCTCAGTTTAAATTAAGTTTGTTGTTTTAAAGGACAGTTACTGTATAATACTTCTGCCTCTGTGGAGCTTTGCCTCCTTACATGGACAAATCTAGCGCAGTGTCGATGTTCCCTTTTTGTGGGCAATACATTTAACCCCAAAATGTTTTCCCGTAGCTGGGACATTTAGTATTAAAGAGCTTTGAGTAGGCAGAAGACTAGAGAAGAGAAATATATGCACAGTCCAATTACTATTTGTGTTGTGTGATTCTAAATAGTATGCTAATATTGCTTAACTACATTACAGTAACTGTAACAGGCAACGATGTATAAGAAGAAATGCAGTCTGAAGTGTAGACCAGGATAAGAAGCTTCATGATAACGTTAAATAAACTCCTGAACCATCAGCATCTTTTTTCTGACTCCGTCATTCATCCTCCACCTTCTATATATAATATTCTTATTTTGTTGTATGGTTTCTTTCCTGTGTAACAAATTTGGAGTACAATCTAGATTTTGTTGTACAACACTAGTAGAAATAAAATTAATTAAATTTGACACATTTGGAAGTTTATTGTACTTGGTACCCTAAAACACTAAATGAAAAGAGCACGATACTTGGTCAGCCATTCCTGGTGATTTTATTACTTTTTCTTGCAGAGCGCTGCTGGTGACGAAAAAGGTGGAGATCTTGACTCCGCTTGGAGCTCTGTATTACAACACGGGGCGGTACCAGGAAGCCCTGCAGGTTTACACAGATGCCACTGCCCTGCAGCCAGACAACACCGACATTTGGCTGGCTCTGGTGAATAGATACTCACCCACACACACAAACACAAAACATACCCAAAACTGACTGGCCTGAACCTAACCTGAATCAAAACCTGAAAAGGCCCAGGTCTTGGCCATGGCCAGTCGTACCAAGGAGGCAAAGAAGATGACGCTGGACATCATATCCAGAGAAGCCAGCTGTATCGAATGTTACCGTCTGTTGTCGGCCATCTACAGCAAGCACGGAAACCACACAGAGGTGTGTGTGTGTGTGTGTGTGTGTGTGTGTGTGTGTGTGTGTGTGTGTGTGTGTGTGTGTGTGTGTGTGTGTGTGATTCCTTGTAGATATGTGTGTCTCATGGCTTTGGTGTCAGAGGGCAAATCATTCGGTTAGGAATAACAATCTCGGCAGGACATACCTTTCCCTTTCGAGTAAAAACGAATCACCGCCGTATACAAGAACAGTAGTACCGTATTTTCCGCACTATAAGGCGCACCTTCAATGAATTACCTATTTCAGAACATTTTTCATATATAGGGCGCACCGGATTATAAGGCGCATAAGAAACTGCAGTCAAATGTTTGACGTCGGGGCGGGGGGATGGGGGGAGGTGGAGACGGTGCTTTCAGGGTCCGATCTATGCTGCGAGGTGCGTCCCGCCTCCCACCGCCCCCCTCGCCATCCACGCATTAAATCTTCGGCTGCTCTCCAGCCACGCCGCCTGCCAAAGGCCCCTTTTGGGATTAACTGTTTCTTCCCGGTTAGACGGCTTCAGCTTCCGTGAGAGAAAATGGCGCCCGTTCTCGCCTCCGTTAATCTCTTTAAATGCTCGGCGATAACGACAGCTTTGTTTCTCCGACGCGCCCTGAAACAAGCTCCATATCTCATGCGCTTGAGCGCCCGCTCAGCATCTCGCCGTCGTAGACCAAGCTTTGGCATGTTTGGCAGTGATCTGTGAACTGATCCTACGTTTTGTATGTTAACCCTTATTTGCCAAGTAATTAAATAAAAACATTTAAAGGTTCTTCAGAATTGTTCTTGACCAGGGTTTGACTAAATGCTCAACACTGACCACAGAAATAAGCTTCACTGTCATTCAATCATGTGTAAATAGTATTGCTAATGCTGCTGCTGGAAGCGGTGTTTCTTGAGAAAAGGTTTTTCAGAGACTGAGACCTCTGTGCTCATACTTCAGCAGGATACACAGTTGTAACTCCGTTTTTATTTGTGTACAGATTAAACAAACAAGATAGATTTAGAGGTTGGGTTGGTTAGGACTTTGGACAGAGCAATTCTGCCCCTGTATCCTGCCTTTGATGCTTTGCTGGGCTAAGTACGCCCTCCTGGCAATACAATGGACTAATTCTCCTTTAATAAAGGAGAACATCGAGAGGAGCAAGTTAAAGTAACGGTTTAGGTAGGGTCCATTGTATTGCCATGACTTACCAGGCCTGTGGGTGGGGGTCTGCATCAAGCATTTCATTTGATCATTCCAATACAAACATACAACAACAGTCATTCTTTTGTTGCGGCTAGAGGAAACAACAAAGTAAAGTAATACACACAATTTGGGCATTCTGTAAATCCTACAATTTGTCATGTGTTAGACTTTTAGTGTGAATGTGCATTTATGTGTTTGTGTAATTGTGTGTGTGTGTTCCAGGCACTGGATGCTCTGGACAAGGCCTTGCAGCAGAGTCCCTCTGATCTGACAGTGAGAGCAGAGCTGTACTTCTCCAAAGGAAACCAGCTCCGAGAGATGAACCAGCTGGACCAAGCCTTTGAGGTACGGCATTCTTCTTCCTCACGCTCTGTCTCAGGCTGCAGAACTCAAAGAAAACAAGTTTTTTCCCCCAAATATTTTGTTTGAGTTCTCCAGCTTCTCATGCACTTTACAGCAGCCTCTGCTCCTAAATGCTGAGGATGGGTTGAATGTGATGGTCAACTTTTAGGAACGAATAAGACGATAAAAGTTTACATACCTTTCCATACTGATAATCAGGACTTTTTTTGTCGATCTGAAGGAGATGAATTTTGGTTAAAACTGGTAACTTACCTCGTATGTTTTACCATTTACCCCATTTACACCACATAGGCTCATTCATAGTTTTCTTGCTTTCTTGCGGCTGTTTGACCCACAGCAAAGGATTCGACACACACAGGGCAACTGTGGCTCAGTGCTAGAGCTAGTTTTTCCTTTAATCAGATGTTTAATCCCCACCGCCGCTAGTCCATGGTGATGTTACGTTAAGACACTTAACCGCAACTTGCTCCTGAGTGTGTGAGTTGTATGAAGGATTAGTCAGAGTTGTGATGGGTCGCTGTGTATGGTAGCTCCTGTCATCAGAGTATGTGAATGAGTGAATGATCATGTAGCGTTAAAGAGCTTTGAGTGGAAGGAAGACTAGAAAAGAGATGTACAATTATAACCTATTTACCATTTACACATGCAGTCAACATTACTTCAGTTGCATTCTGTTTATATCAAGGAGATTATCAGTCAGGATGCCTTTCAGCTGTGCTTATTACTCACCTGCCAGCACCGTCCCCTGAACCACTCCCCCGCTCTCCCCTCTGCAGCTGAGCTAACCGCACCCCGCCACCACACCTATATTGACAGGTGACCAGATTAATGGCAATTTATTGAGTTTTTATTATATGGACCACAACACAATCCTGTTTTGTTGTTGGAAGAATGTTACTTGACACCTATGAAAAATCCCTTAAACAAGACATTTAATAAATGCTTGCAAGCGGAAGCGGAGTTGACACACTGGGGCCACATTTACACATAGCCGGGTATTTACAGAAACTAATATTTCTGCCCCTCCGTTTTCAAAAATAACGTCGTACACACAAGGTCGTTTTCAAAAAGTTTCTGTTTATTTGAACCCGCATAAATACGGCCCCGGCCGCCATCATAACTATGCCAAACCTGTAGTTGGCAGTGTAATGAGAAGGATAAAGACATCCAATCAGAATTCGCATACTGTGACGTTTGACAACCTAAAACTCTGTTTGACCTAGTTCACACGCAAACACAAAAACTGAGTTTTCAGAAATCTCCACTTTGGCCGGAGTTTTTAGAAATTATCGTTTTCCGTGATAAAACCTCAGTTTTTGTGTAAATGAAAGGCCAAAACGCATGAAAATATATGCGTTTTCCCAACGTGTAAAAGGGGGGTCTTAGAAGTCATGCGTCAAAGGCTACTTGAAGGTTTTGTTCTCCAGCTTTGAACTATATGGTCACTCAGCTGTATCACAGGACAAATACTTCACAGCGAGTGCTATCTGCATGCTTTCCGTGGCGCTGATAAGACTACGTTTCCAAATGTACGTACTTGAGGCCCTCTGTCCACTAAGACAAACTATTTGAATTTTCCCAACATTTGTCCACCCCCTAACTACAACACAAGCCCTATTTTTGTTGCTTGAGTGGTATATGAAATTCACCAATCTGTTTTTCTTCTCTCACCAGAGCTACAAGCAAGCTGTTGAACTCAAACCTGACCAGTCCCAAGCCTGGATGAACATGGGAGGGATTCAGCACATTAAGGTAGCAAACATCAATTTATTTCTGAAGACTAATAACAAATAATTGCCCTTCTGTGGTAGGCTTGATTTTCTCAAAAACAATCCAACTTCCTCAGCTCCTGAAAGGTTCTTGCCAAAAAAAATGAGTTATTGCCATGAGGGAATTGTTATTTCCAATACACAAATGAAATTATGTAGTTCTTAACTTATCTTAACATATTCATCAGCCTAAAAACTTAATGAATTGACAGAAAATAAGTTGAAAAGTTAAATAAGTAAAATTAATGGAATGTCTATAAAATATGATATGTACAATGAATATGAATGAAAATACATCAAAAGGATAAAAAAATAGTTTTAGTGATAGATCTAGTTGATGGTGTCTGCCAATAGATCAGTGGCAGGTCAACGTTATTTTACTGAACTGAATTCAAATGAATTTGGCCTACAGACATTAAACTCATTGACAGCTAGAAATGTTTTTTTCACAGGACAGTTGTCAGAGGGTTACACTGGATATCTTTGCCTCTTGTTGGATGACAGTAGTTCGTTTGGACCTTACTCCGTACTATCTCCCACTGCAGTGGCAGGTTGTTCAGCTTTCTCTAAAATCTTCCGACCCCTCCGTCTGCTTCTTGGGGATTCAGCAACGTTTTCTCTATTGCTTTCTCTTCAATCTCTCTCTCTCTCAAGAGAAATGTATTATTATTATTAGTGCGGTCATAGTTAACTTGTTAATCTATGCGATTATTGTGGCCAAGATCAATGCGATAAAATATTTTAACGCAACTTTGTTTACTTCCGGTGTGCGTTGACCCCCGAAACAAAACCGCCGCTTGCTAAGGTCAGTTAGATCGAAGAGACCGAGACGTTAGTTGAAGATGAAGAGGGCATGAAGTATGAACAGGCACGACATACAGCGGAGAACTGTGCAAAGAAATTCCTCCACGTGTCAAACAGAAGGGGGGTGAGTGGCCAGACCACTATAGGGACTGATGCTGCCCGCACTAGCTGCTAGGCTACTTCCATCTCAACATCTACCTTGCGCGGCACACATTCTACAGAGGACAACCACTGTTGCCCTAAAAGACAGTGGTTTGGAAAACATCCTGGCTAAATGTCAGATTTATAGATCAAGATTGTTGGTCTCCATTCAAAATCTGAGGTCTACTGCTTGAATATAATACAACTCTCACTATATTTTTTAATTAAAAAAAGTATAGTTTTGCAATTGGAGGACAATGTTATTTCAATAAGTGCTTATATAATCACAAATCATGAATACTAAATGAATAAACGATCAAATGGGGTTAAATATTGGACCAGTTATGTGTCAGATTAGTAATTCCTTAATCTACCCTTCATGCACATTCCTAGTATCATGATGATTGGATTACAGCGAAAAGGGGAAACTAAGCCTAGTATGAATTAATTCTAGATCTGAACATATATTGCTGAATACATGTATGTTCCTGTTGTGTGTGCAGGGAGACTATGCAGCAGCCAGGATGTACTACCGAAGAGCCCTGCTTCTGAGCCCTGGCTCCAAACTTCTGGAAGAAAATTTGGCTAAACTGGACCGACTGGAGAGAAGACCGACAGAGGGAGCGTAGACAACCACGGTTCTCCAGACACTATACCATCATAGCCACAGATGAGGGAAGCAGGACACAGCCCTTGGGGGCTCAAACACCAGCGCTCAAGTAGCTGGATGAGACAGACCTGACCTACCTACTAAGAACCCTAGCCTTGGTAAGACCAGAGGAATAGGATGAACTTTTCAGAACTGCAGTGTTTGTCAGGGTGTGGTGTCAAAGACTGGTTGAGCTTCAGTCCAGACACCTTTAATGGAGAAGGGATTGATTAATCTCAATCAAGGGATTGCACATATGCTTTTTACATTTATGTTCGATTAATGTATCAATTTGTTCCATGTGAAGGCTTTTCATTTATGTAACTTCCTATGTGAGAATTGCTCATGTGTGTGGGTGTGTGGTACTTATTATTATTATTATTATTATTATTATTATGAAGTAAATGAGCATGGCAACAGTATGTGTAAAAAATAATCCAAGCTCAAGTATCATCGGTCAGCATTGACCAAGAAGGAGTCAAAGTCACTGACCAGGATTCAGTTTCACGGCCTCAGGCATCCATATCCAACACCCAACCATAGGTTGGACATTGACGAGGACAGTCATTGCTTTGACACTCCCCAGTAGGTTTGGGGAGCTGCTTTGAAGATGCAGCTTGTGATGATATGGTATAATATTCATTAAAGGAAGTGTTGCATGCCTTTTTAAAATGGCTGTGCATCCAATATGCTACCACAAAAAAGCTATTGCCATTGGTCCAGCTGAACTACAAAACCAGTCTTCTGACAAATAAAAAGTAGTGGTGTTTCTTTTTCACAAGGGATCTGACACCAACTTGCAGTAAGTTTAGTTTTCTATAGTTGGTAATCTTGAGAAATTAAACAAGGTACTCTTGATCATCCTTGATGGTTGATCCTTCAAAAAAAACATCCAACCAAAAAACTGGCCAATGTTGTCAACGTCTTTTCGAAGAAATTTGAGAGCAGCACTAGCTCCAATACGTGCTTAAAATAGCAATAAAGTCTCCCATGTTGGCAGCAATGACAGCATGTCCCTTCAGCCCTCTCTCCAAGGCCAGTCCCCAACAGTTTTAATAGTACACAGAAACCGCAAACATAAGTACCAATTGTTAGTACTCACAGCTTTCCAGCTAGCATTTTGTAGAACACTGATGTAAAAGGATTGTGTTTGTGTGCCGGCAGGTAAGCAGACAGTGAGACGGGCAGGTCATCCACAGAATAAAATACTAATCAAACGGCTCATTACAGTCCTACAACAGCTGCAGTTTTTTTTTCAGACCGTTTTATTCATTGATAAACATAGGGCCAGCATGACAATTTCAACTTGTATAGCAAGCATGTTTTTAAAGAAGCTAACCAACACTAGCTTTGATTAACTACAGTTGATACAATTTGCTGAATCCGAGATTTGCAAATCTGGGATTGTACAATAAATGTAAGATTTATAACAAATTACTTTTCTTTAGACATTAACTCTGTTTATCTGACCTCAGTTTCCAGGTGCAACATCCTAAGATTTGATTGTGAGGCTTCTACAAGTATAAGCTAGTTTATGTACTCCTGACCCCGGCTTCATATGTACCATAACCTCTGAAGATTGCTTTTTAGTTTCTTGTGGTTTTGTTGACCGTTATGTTTATTACGTTACATTACATGTCATTTAGCTGACGCTTTTATCCAAAGCGACTTACAATAAGTGCATTTAACCATGGGGATACAAACTCAGAAGAACAATGTGTTGTGAATGTGTTGTTGTGGAATGACTGGAAATTAAGTGAATGAGTGACATGCACCAAGAAAATACAATATATGCTTTATTAAATGGTGTTTGAAGTTATTACTAATCAGATTACAAATGTTTATGTATACGACTTGATTGACTATGGTTATCCATAAGACCCACTATTTAGATCCACATAGCTATTGTGGATTGAAATGTCCAGTACTTGAATGAAGACACAGGACATTTTTTGGGACAGACTTTGGAGGTCTGGGCTGCCTCCTTTACAAATGGAAGTTAGTTATTAACTAACCATTTGTCCATTCCCAAAAACAATCATGACCAACAAACGTAGATCATACAAGTAACCGTTGCCGTAACGTATAAATGCTTAGGTGTTGCCATGTAGTAATTGGTTCTGTGACAATCCCTTGGTTTTCCTTTTGCTTTCTTTCATATACATTCCAACCTCGTAATAAAGTAATACTTTTAACCTGGTGGTTCGCAAGTCGTCTGCATGACATACTACTGAAAGAAAACATGCGCCCGATTTTGCCTCATAATTATATAGTTATTATCCGGTATTTAGAGAATCTGACAACAATAAGCTACGGAAGAAACGCGTAAATATGACCACTCATACAAGCCGTCATTTGCGGACTATATACTATATATATATATATATATATATATAACTATACGCGCGGATGGCCTTTGATTCATGGAGGGAGATCTCCGCAAACGTCGGTTTGCCAGTCGAAAAGTGCACAAAGTTGTGGAGGAAAATACGGGACAAATGTGTCGCGATGAAAAGCAGCAGTGTCGATGCACGGGGCAATAAAGTCAATGATAAATAAATAAACAAACCAACGACTTCCACACACAAAGACGTGACTCTCTAGGTCGTCTTCAAAAAAAACACGTTACTCCACCTGTTGTTCTGGAGGTGAATTGCTCTGCAACACACACAAGACTTTTAGAACCATGAATTGAAACGAGTGCGTCGATGCAGACGCAGAAGCATGCGCCAGCCTTAACTCTCCTGTCATTTCAGATCCTCCCACATCATCAGCTCATTACCCTCACTTGGTTCTCCTTGCACTTCTCACCTGCAGCACATCTCGTCAGCCACTCACTGTTTAAGCCTGTAACATTCTGTTGTTCCCTGCTCGATTGTCTTGTGTGTACGCAAAGTTTCCAGAGTTTCTAAATTAGGCTGATATCCTTCTGCCTGCTCCTTTTTGTTTGCCATCCTGGTTCTGACCCCCGCCTATTCTCATCTACGGATTCCCTGCCTGCCCCTCTGGATTTGCTTGCCTGTCTGATTGCCATCCTGGTTCTGCCCCTGCCTGTTTTCATCTACGGAGTCTCTGCCTGCCCCTCTGGATTTGTTTCGATGTAGGGCCCATTGACCTCGACTTGGCCCTCCCGCAAGGATTATGGTGTAGACCTCTTATGTCAAACTCGTCGTACGGCTCTGGCTGGCTGCAGGAGGCTTGCGTCTCTCTGAAAACGCAGAAGCATAAACTAGGCTTTAAAGTGGAGAGCAGTGTCAGAATCTGGTTCATAAAATATTTCTACTTTGCCCTCATTCCCACAATTTTCACTCTTCATGCTTCATTTTTTAATAAAATGAAAGGATTTAAAAAAAAAATTTCGCTGGTCGTAATCATCCAAGAGACGTTTACTTTTAGCCACAGAACCCAGAGAGCAAGACAGCAAAGTTTGGGAAACTGACAATAGAGTTGAATTTCTGACTGCTGTTAGGAACAGCTGGGGGTTGGATTGGTTAGTGTGGAACTAAATTATTGACATCAATAAAATTGTTAATACTTCGAAAGATAATTCTCAAAATACATAAATAAATAATGGGGCACCTGTTATGGAAGATTTTGCACAGACAATCGGTAAATAAGAATAAAGGCTCTGAGTCAAATATGTCTTTCTCCGTTTATTTCCTTGCAAGAGAAAAAAGTTCACAACAGCTACGTGCTCAGTAGACTTTATAACCTTGTTTGTTTAATGAAACATTTTGAAGGTTACGTACATTTTTGCCATTACATTCCACTTTTTTGATTACATAATAATCACACAATATGCATTAATACAATATGCCTACTCAAACACATTTACCATCTAATATCTAACACAGTGTAATCATAACCACGAACATCCATTATTACATTATTATTACAGGTCATTTAGCAGACGCTTTTATCCAAAGCGACTTACATTACACTTTAACCCCAAGGCTTTTTCACATTTTTGCCCGGGGAGCAATTAGGGGTTAGGTGTCTTGCTCAGGGACACTTCGACATGGAACATGGGGCAGCCTGGAATCGAACCACCAACCTTGTACTTCCCAGCACACCTTCTCTAACCCCTGCGCCACGACGACCCATCCAGAGATCCTTCGCTCCCATAAACTTTGACCACAGAACATAAACTCCCTAAAAAACCCTCCGAAATGGGGGAAAATAAGGAAGAATCCCCGGATTGAGCATTACACCACCATCATGCATACAGCATAACAATTACTTATAGGAACTGCAAGATGTTTAAATTACAATACAGAAATGCATCTGCTATGTACAATCACACTATATAGAAAGAATATGTGGAAAAAACGTCTGTCAGAAAAATCCTCACATCTTTATTATCAGATGACCCAGAACACAATGTACCTCTGAGCAGAAGAGCACTTACTAAGGTGGAACATTATTGGCGTTTTTCCAAAATTTCCCTCCTCTTTATACTAAGTATAACTAGTAATTAAAAGGAAACTGTTCAAACAAACTAATTGAATGCATGAAAACCAAGACATAAAAGGAAGCTAGAATGTCACATGGATTACTTTGATGTGTCTAAAACCATATTAACTAAAAAATATATATATATCTTACAACATGCTGTCTACTGTTTTTGCCAATACAAATAATACTTTTATTCATAATTTTATCACGTATCGCAATTCCTAAATCATTCTTTCAATCAATTTTATTCAAATAAGGCCATTGAGGCCTTTTTGAATGCCACATAAGATCCTCGGTCAACGACCCTCACAAGGTAAAACATGTCCACCGTTGATTGATAAAGAGCAAACTTGCTCATGTGACTAACTGTTCTAGTGAGGCAACCCAAGAGACTAAACCCCTTCTAGTGGATGAGCCCCTGCTGGATGGCGACTGGTTTGTGCTGGTTTCTGGACATGTTGCTGCACCGCACGATGATCCCTCAATTCGGCATTCTCTTGCCGTTCTTCAAACAACTCAACCAGAGGTAGTTGTGCCACCTTTAAGTTGTCACTGGGCCAATCCACTACCGCATACACTAGAGGCCCTCCCGGGCAACAAAGGAGCCGCTCCGAGAAGGACCACTCGTACAAATTCTGGGAGATACCCGGACGTTCATCATTTGCCTCATACAGCAGGTCAATAGAGGCTACAAACTCTCGGGTACCTGTGCCTAGACTTTCTGACATTTTCCGGCCAATGTGTCGCGATGAAAAGCAGCAGTGGCGATGCACGGGGCAATAAAGTCAATGATAAATAAATAAACAAACCAACGACTTCCACACACAAAGACGTGACTCTCATGGTGTTAGGATACGATCCTCGGGCCGGCGATCAAAAGACTAGGGGATAGATTGTGGTGGGGTTGGGAACACAGCCTTTCGGCTGGCTCCTCCCCAACCAACGGCCAATTAGTGGCAGCCCTTAAAAAACGCCTGCCATCAAGGCCTCATTCACCTTTGGTCCTGTGCTGTACAGGTATGTTGGTTCCCACATTGTGTTGGTGTTAGATTGTATTCTGTATACTAACACAAAGTCACCTTTGGTCCTGTACTGTACAGATTGACAGAGACAGAACCTGCTGCTGTCATTTTATATTTTCTAATTTTATGTTTTCTTTGGTTTACTTTCTGCTGTTTCCCTCAATTGTTTTGTTTGCCGTGTTATTTGCTGTGTTCAACTTGCATGGTTTCTAAAATCTTAATCCCGTTTTTAGTGATTTGTGCTTACCTTGGTTTCATCGTTTTCTTTAATAAAACTTTTTCTTAATTACTACAAACGTCTCTGCCTAATCCACAGTGACTTATTTGCGTGCCTTGGGTATTTAAGTCTGTATTTCTTGGGGCGTAAGTCCCCAGGTAGCGTTTTTGGTTGCTTCCCCTAAAGCCCCCGCCAATCATGGCAAAAACTGACACCGCCCCCCTGTGAGGCTACAAGCTCGACAAAGTTTTGCAGACAAGTTAACGTTAGTCTTGTTGGTAAAATGTATATGCTCATTATAAGTGCCTCGTCACTCTAATCAGATTGTACTTCTTTAAATGTGCCTGCTTGCAGGAGGCTTCATGGATGCATCGTCATCCAATGAGAATAATGATCAACTTTTTCAGAGTATGTAGATAAAAATAAGCCCAAAGAATCAAATTGATACGAATGAATAGGATATGTACTTAGCTTATGCATCATATGTATGTAGATGATCATATAGAACTACTTGTATTATATGTGTGTGAATGTGTATGTGAGAATCATTATATATCCATTGTTCATAACCAGACATCTGATCAATTGAAGAAGTGAAATGTGGAACATCCAGAAGTTTATTAAGCGACAAATAAACCAACAGAACTTTACGAAGAGCACGACATGCAGCGGCTTCCCAGAGGTTCTCTGCATCGCAATACTGTACAGACATGGACAGTATAAGAGACAAGAGATAAGTGTGTCAGACACTGTGTGAGACATGAGAGAGTATGTGAGACAGTCCGCGGGACAGTGGATGCTCGGCTGCAGCATGTGCTGTTCATCACGTGACGTTTCGGCTCGGGGAAATCTTCTTGTAAATAAATCAGCATCTATAGCGCTCGTACAGGACATCATCGCGGCTAAGCGGATGGAAACGGAGGAACAGGGCCCTGGTCATGTGCCAAGCCTACTCAAAGGTTTTCATCTTTGGAGGAGGAATGTATAGTTGGAAGATAAACATACTAAAACAAGAGGGGCTCTGGGAAAAAAAAAAGTGCTTGTAGTCAACCTTGGATTTAGACGATCATCTTTGGCACCACAAGATTATAAATATCGACTCACAAAACAACTTGATTATCAGATGACCCAGAACACCATGTGCCTCTATGTGAAAGACCACAGACTCTGTCGTACTAAGGTAGAATATTATTGCAGTTTTATAAGTTTATTGGGTTTTAAGGCCTTCACTGTCAAGCGCAGCAAGTAGCTAGGCAACGGGAGCTGAGGAGAAAAAGCTGATGATGCAAGCAGGAAGTCCACTTGTAGGCCAGACCGCCCCATTTCATATATCGCTTGTTTCAGCCTATGCGGTTCGCACAAATAATAAATGCGTGTGTGCATATAGGTTGGCCTCCATTGGCTAAATATGGGGCCCTGTTAGCTCAGGGCCCCGTATTTATTTATCTTGTCAATTATCAATTTATTTTCACACTAGTGCATAACTAGACACAAAACTTCACAGATTCTCACAGATGTAGTGCTAATAGATTTTGGGATTTTGGAAAGAGGAAACACCGCGGCGTCCCAGCTCATTGGGGCATCATGGGGAATGAAATAATGGATTATCTAGCTAAACAAGCTGTGAAACAGAATACAACTTTGAATAAAGCCAAACCTACATCTGTAATACTCATTGACGTGAAATGAAGCAAAACATTGAAGAAAACTAAAATGATAGGGAAAAAAACATCAGAACAATCAGAACAAACCATCACTTAAATTAGTTCATTTGGAAACGTTACGGATGTGGATGTGGCCATGGGGAAACACCGAACATGAAAGTATTGTAGGGAATCTTATGCATTTGTCTTTTAAGATGACTCCTCCACACAAGGTGGCGGTAATGCGACTTTGACGATAGTGACTGCGCCGTTAATCAACACGAAGAAGCGCTGCGTCTCTCAGTTTAAACGTCACATGCGGAAGTATCAACATGGAGAACGGCGGAGAAGCTTCCACGATTACACTTTTAAAAGAGGGTAAAATAGTTCAATGAGTGATGTTGGTCATACTGATTGTGTTAACTGATCGTTCTGAATTTTGTTGTCAAAATGTCCACGTCCATCCCCCTTCCGAGCTAACGCAACCCGCAGTTAATGTAACGTATCTTCATGTTTAATAGTGACGTGGTTGTCCAGATAAGTTACATTCACCGAAAACGTTGTTCTGCAGAGCAATACAACTTGTGAATTGCACTGTTTTGATCTTCACTACGCTTACCGGGTGTGCAGAGAGGATTGAAGAAGCACAACACAACCGAGATAAACTATATGCATAGTACAAGAGCGATTTAGCTTGAGAAACAATACGCTACAAAAGTGACATTCGTACGATCGGTTCTACAAAGCGCTGCTGTGTTTACAGGGTGCTACACCGACTTCCTGGCTGATAACTTCGATGTGAAGACGTACACGGCTCAGGTGATACACCATGCTGTCATCGCCGAGCAGCTGGCCAAGCTGGCACAGGGCATCAGTCAGCTGGACAAGGAGCTGCACAGCCAGGTACAAGCTCAAGGCGGCACAACGCGGCTGCAGCCACCCGCCCACTGCGGTGAAATGAACTCATTACTCCGAGCTTCACTTAATATCGTGCACAACAAACAAAATGACGACGCGTCCGTAAGAAAGACTTACTCACGTAGTTTGGTTCAAATAGCTATCATCATTAATGCATCATTCCCACGACCACAGGGAGAATGAGTCACAAGCATTAAAGGGCTGAGGGGAGTTCAGATACTGAAAATGTCCAATTTAAATCTCAGAGAATATCCAGTTAGTTTCTTATTAATTTAGAACTTCAATAAATAATGTTTTTTCCGCAAATTTAGGCTTTACCTACAATGGCCCTCGTGTGCTGTCGTTAATTATTGTGCCTGAGTAGCTTTTGACAAGCAAATTATTTATGCTTCCATAGCTGTTACCTATTTTGTTATGCCTTTCAAATGTTTTTTGACTGATTTATATTCTTTGAGATAATATGGAAGCCACTTCCCACAGGGAACAAAGTGGTATCCATAATAGGACCCTCATCATCTCTGTTTCTGCTGCTCCATTCCAGGTTGTGGCCAGACATGAAGACTTACTGTCTCAGGCGACGGGGATAGAGTCCCTCGAAGGTAAAGTGACGCATTTCTATAAGCCAGCATTCTAACTTTATAACTTTCACAGACATTCAACGTGGGCTTTAGTGATTATTTCTCTTCCCAGCTCATTGGTTTCAGTTCATTTTCACAACTATAAGCAAATAGATTACATAGAATTGTAACATGGTTAAAATAAGTTGTCCATTATCTTCAATCAACCTATTAGAAAATTCCGGTCCAAAGCATCCTTGTTTATTTAGTTTTGGTCCAGTTAACCCAGGGGTCTCAAACTCGCGGCCCGCGGGCCAATTGCGGCCCTCGGGACGATATTTTGTGGCCCCATCCTTAATATGAAAGTGTAATGTTAGTGCGGCCCGCAAGTTTTATACTGTAACCCCACTGTCAGCTGCTGTGTGGGACATGTTATGATGTTCTGGTTTCCTACTGTGTGCTTGTCCAGTGAACGTGGCATGCATGTGACTGACATGGGGGGCGGGTCGTGTGTGTCGGCCGAGGTGCAGAGAGCAGGAGGGTGAAATTCAGTTTCCTGCCCTCTTTCGCGCAGGTGATCATGTGACTAACCGTCAGCATCGCTCGTTTAATAAAGTTTTCCTTTACGACTCACACTAACAACACATGAAGCATCTGACGTCACCGACGAGCGTCTCCGTCCATTACTACGCAGCTTCGATTCACGTAACTTCACGTTTGGCTATAAAGGAATTCCACGGTCACATGACCTTAGGTCTCCCCCGCTGAGTTAAAGGAGGACTAGTGTTGTAGTCTCATTCGGACCGATCCCCCAGGTTTGGGTTCAATGACTGCTTTTGAAAGTGAGTGTTAAGTTGTGTTATTGTCGACCATGCCGTTCGGACGCTAGTCTGGCCCGCGTTCGGTTGAAGTGGGCTGCATCTGGCCCGCAGCTGATTTGAGTTTGAGACCCCTGAGTTAACCTTTTCTGGTAATGGTACTGTAATAATAATAATAATAATAATAATATTACAGTTCTGAAAACTCACATTGATTTGATCAGTCTGCCATAATGGTGCTTGAAAATAATGTGTTCAATGGGAGACATTGCCACTGACTTTTTACCAACATCGATTTGCTAATTGTCTGATGTTATGACATCATTAATTTGATCATGTTCAGAAACCAATTATTACTTCTCATATACCAGCCTGTCTCAACAGTCAATTAAATCTTTGAAATGATTCGGATATCTCATAATATTTTTAAGCAATTTTTATTTGAAAATTCAATATTTGCGTTTAAGTATTCACCAATAATTACCTGCTTTGAGCTGTCCATGGGTTTTACCATAAGGAGGCATCTGTCTTCAGACAGACTGCTCAGAAAGTAACTCAATTTGCACTGTCAGGAACTTGTTGTTGTGTTTTTCAGGGGTTCTCCAGATGATGCAGACAAGGATCAGTGCTCTGCAGGCTGCTGTTGACAGGTAAATCTGGCCCCTTTTCCGCGCATGTGGTTCAACAAAGTCGATCAAATATCCTATTAGCCAGCTCAAATGAACCCAATGATTGATGACCGGCTATCTCGGTTCCTCAAAGGCTGATCCGCTCTCAAACAAATCTCATTAATACGAACCAGACAACGTGATTGTCCTGATGACGAACCAGTCATCAGGACAATCACGCCTGCGCATCCTGCTTCAAAAGGGGGAGAGTCAATCACCAAACCAGGATTTTCTAACAGTACAACAGGAAATGAAATCGAAGTAGGACCCTGATGAACGCATATTAGGAGGACCATATTACGTATGTTTGAATAATTTCTATCGCAAGAATTGAACGTACTGTACATCTTTTACATTGTTCATTTTGTACACATGACATCAATCGCTGTCTGTTCATCCCGGGGAAGGGATCCTTCTCTGTCTCTCTCTAAAGGTTTCTTCCCTTTATTCTCCCTAGAAGGGTTGTTTATTTTTTGGGGCGTTTTTTCCTGTGCCGATTTGAGGGTTTCGGGACAGTGGATGTTGCATGTGTACAGACTGTAAGGCAGATTTGCGATTTTGGGCTAAAGAAAATAAAATTAATTCAACAGAATAATCATGGCAAAGTCTAATACCACCACTGCTGCTAGGGCGAGACAAGAAACTAGGTAAAACGTTGCAGACTAGTTAAACGCTGTCTGTGTAGTGTAAAGGTTCATTTTAAGTGCCTCATCACCTAGAACGTCACCTAGATTTGTGTATATTCATGTATGTGTAGATGACCATATAGAACTAGGAGTTTTATTATGTTTGTGAGAATCTGTGTATTTTTGTACGCATTATTCAATAAGAAATTAAATTAATTGAAGCAGTAAAACATGGAGCATCCAGAGGTTTCTTAAGTCTTCTTAAGAGCACCGCATCAGGAATCAGGAAACATTTATTGCCATAATATGTCAGACATACAAGGAATTTGACTTGGCGGTTGGTGCATATGGTGGTGGCTTTCCCGATGTTCTCTGCATCACAACACTGTACAAAAATGTAGAGTCTGCTGGACAGTCTGTGAGACGGACAATGCTTGGCTGCAGCGTGTGGTGTTCACCATGTACGGCTAAAGAAGGTCTTCTTGTAAATAAAGGATTCCCTGTCAGCAGCATCACTAGCGCTCGTACATGAAGTCATTGTGATGTGATGACGGATCTTGGTGATCTCGGAGAATTCTCTCCCTATAAAATGTTAATCTAACTAACATCGCTCCTTCACCTCTGAGGAAATTATTATTGTATTATTTTAAATTATCTTGCTAGCTTATTTAGCCATGTACGAGGAGTGGGACCCTGTTCTCTTAACTCGGCCTTGGAGTTTCATGTTTTGTTTATTTCTTTTAAATCCATAAAGACCATGATTAATACAAATAAAAAAACACTCAATATTGAAAAATAATCATAAACATCTGCCAATAACCTAATTCCACAGGTTTTTTTGATCCTATTGGCCAAAGTTGATCTAATTTATTCCTGAGGTAGTCCGTTGAAGTATAGTGCCTAGAAATGTACGTGGGTTTTTAGAGCTATTAAAAGCAGAAAATACATTTTTAAAACTACATGTGATCCATGTACCAAATTTCATACACTTAGGTGAAAACTAAAGTTATTGTATGGAGGTTGCCTCTCTGCAGTGTTAAAACCCTATAACAAAAACACATTTAGGACATTAAATATGTATGCCCAGGTTCTTTTAAATCCCCCCGCTAGCAGCATGGGTTTTCACAGCAACATGGTTCTACAAAAGCTCAGAATCTCTGTGGGCTGGCATCATGAACATCTTACGTTTGTGTGGAACAAATTCAAAGTCAATCCAAGTAACATATAAAGAGAATCAAGCCAAATAATAAAGATTTTTTTTAGATGGATCTGAATAATCTGTGAGGAGGAGGTGATAAAAGTGCAAAACCTATGACCTACTTTTGCCACTAGGTAGCCCTATTGGTGTGATTCTAACTTGTTGTACACATCACTCATCTTCAAGGTCAAATTTGGAGCAGACTTGACAATGTATGGTCGAGTTAAACCAACGTAAAGATGCAATATTGGTGCATGCTCATTCATTCATCTATGAAACACATGTGTTCAAATGGGTTGTTTCTGTAAAAGGTCTTTGTGTGGCTGTTATATGCACCTCTCTGGCTCTTAATGAAGCTATGCTCCTCTCTTCAGGATAAGGACCAAGATTGTTGACCCATACAACAAGATTGTGGCCAGAATCACCCAGCTTGCGAGACTGCAGGTATATATTCAGCGCACCTGTGATGATGATATCACATCTATTTTTCTGTGGCTACGTACCAGTTTTACTAAAGTTTTTCTTTTTACAATTGATTCCAAGCATTTGAAAACCAACAGAAAGTATCCTGTTTAGAAGAGAGGTTTGTTATGTGCCTCCATGCAAAGCAGCAGGTGGGAGTAGCTCAGAGTAGCTATGTGTATATATATATATGTGTGTGCAGCGCAGGGAAATGCTGTTGAATATTGTGACAGATTATGTGTGGTCTAATGTGAGCCTTCAGTATGAGTTAGACGTGATTCAAACCTTGGGTCAGTCACTGAGGAATACAACGCCTCTGTTCCCCCCTTCAATCAGAATATTTATAAACCGCTTAATAAATTAATGAGAATCAACATGTGAATACGGCTTAGTTTTCAAACAGTTCACGTACTTAAAACCTATGGATTCCGTTTTAGTCAAAATTAAATAAATGAATAAATGCATGAAATATGCATTTGAAATACATCATGAAATAAATAAATGAGGCAATAAATACATAAATATTAAATACATTTAATTATTTCATGGTACTTTTATTTCATAATGCCACTTTTCATTTCATGGTACGTTTATTTCATAATGCCACTTTTCATTTCATGGTACGTTTATTTCATAATGCCACTTTTCATTTCATGGTACGTTTATATCATAATGCCACTTTTCATTTCCAGAGTCTTATTTCATAATGCCGTTTTACATTTCCAGAGACTTTTATTTCATAATGCCGTTTTTCATTTACAGAGACTTATTTCATAATGCCGTTTTACATTTCACGTTCTTATATGCAAATCAGGGGGCGTGGCTACATCTAACATTCAGAACAGACAACGTGAGGGACGTGAGTGTTGACATAATGGAAGACATCGGTGGACTCCGAGGTAGCATGCTAGCATTAGCAGATCAAATCGATCAACATGGGTTTTCTGCGATAACCATTTTGACACACATTGAGGTTTTTTTTGGAAATACTAGGGCGGATAAGTGCTCTTCAAGATGTATACATAGACGACAAAGTTTTAAATTGTTTAAGATTGATTGAGCACCGCATGTGTGTGGAAGAGATGAAGTCAACATTATCGCTGGTACTACACGCACAGGTGCTGGACGCCCGCCTCTGGATATTCCTGGCGACAAGCTGGCTAACTGGCTATCCAGAGGCGGGCGTCCAGCACCTGTACTTGTAGTACCAGCGCTAATCTCACGTCCCTTAGCCAGCCTTCTTTTGCACACGGCTCTGTTGTCTGTTCTGAATGTTAGATGTAGCCACGCCCCCTGATTTGCATATAAGAACGTGAAATGTAAAACGGCATTATGAAATAAGTCTCTGGAAATGAAAAGTGGCATTATGAAATAAAAGTACCATGAAATGAAAAGTGGCATTATGAAATAAAAGTACCATGAAATAATTAAATGTATTTAATATTTATGTATTTATTGCCTCATTTATTTATTTCATGATGTATTTCAAATGCATATTTCATGTATTTATGTATTTATTCATTTATTTAATTTTGACTAAAACTGCATTCCATAAAAACCTGATGTGAAAGTAACTTTGCTAGTTTTAAGGTAACAGGTAATTACTGACATGGTCAGCTGGCTACCTAAAGTGGCTGAAAGCTACAAAACAAACAACAAAATCATTTCAGTAAAGTTACTATGTAAACAAAAGACAAATTGATTTGCTTATTCCAACCATGTATTGACATGACATGACATAAATCCATATTCAAAGCAGGCCAATAACATTCTGATCAATTACAATAGCATTGTACGGCCTCCTACACACACACACACACACACACACACTGGAGGTCCACTCGGGCAGTGCAGCAGGAGAGCCCTATGTGACAAGGACATACACTTGATGTGAGACTATCGTCTATCCACAGACATCCTCTGTATGAAGACCTCTCTTTTTCATCTATTAGCATTATCCAGTCCATATTTAAAATAGTTCAATACTTCTGTTTGCGACTGAATATCTGCAAAACCAATGACATTTGCAAAAATGTCAGGTGTATCCTATATTACAAGATGGTGAACAGACAGCTGCTGTCTGCTACTTTTTTCTTTATTATTATTTTTCCCAAATCCACCTTTTGACTGGTAAACTGTTTCGGGGGGTTTCTTGATCTTTTGCAATCATTCATGTGTTAGCTCATGCTTTCTATATTGTGATTGTATTGTATGAAGTTCCTCTCCGTGATGAATTACTTCATTTGTTGGGTAGTTCTTCCCTGGGTTTCTCACTATTTTCTAGGGGTGGGAATCTCTTGGCACCTCACGATTTGATTCGATTCCGATTCAGAGGTCAACGATTCGATTCTAAACCGATTATCAATTCTAAACTGATAAAACGATTATCGATGCATCTCGATTTTCTAAAAAATTTTTTCTCAAATCTGAGTTTGCTACTCAGAGGTTGCTAATCACTTACTACTTTAATTGATAATTAAAGAAAATCAACCTATAATTTTTTATAAGAGAAAAAAAAATCTTTGTCACAAATATGATTTTCTATCAACAATGCAAGAACCAATGCAGTTTGCATTTCAACACAATATGGAAGTAACCTATGTAAAAAATATACTAAACGGATTCATTTTTCTTTTAAATGAAGAAAAAGCTGCTCTTAGTCTAGACCGGTCCGTATTTGTAAAATACCGGAAAAAAGTCAAAATCTGTGAATATCTTTCAATACGGATCGGCTTTTTGGAAAATCGAAATAATGAGGTAAGATATGCGCAGGCTCCTTCATACTTCATTAGATATTCACATATTCAGACTGACGGACCGGTCTGCGAGCTGGTCGCATTGCTCTTAATATGCCGGTAATAATGGTAAATGATGGTTGTAGCTGGTTGTCATCTACGATTACCGAAGGGGGGCGTTTGTTTTTTTGACAACGTTTCGACTTTTTATCCCCTTACATTAGTGCGGAAATGGGCTTCTATCGTTGTGTGAATGCATCCCTCCAGCCAATCCAAAGACGGGGTTTGTAACCAATCAGGTGTAGAGACCATGGTGACTGGCTCCGCCCCCTTACTGTCAAAAAGAAAAACAGCGAGCGCGTAGAAAACACCTTCGAGCGCGGGCAGATTTTAACCTTGTGAGCGAGAAAGTTCATGCTCCGCGAGCGAGCAAATATCTTGCGCGAGACGGACTTTTTTAATTTTTTTTTTATTCCGATTATTAACTTTTCTGAATCGAGACCGAATCGTTCTAGAGAGAATCGAAAAAAATCGAAAAATCTTTTTCCCCCACCCCTACTATTGTCACTATGCCACTATGTCTCCTTTTGCTTCAGATGGCCTGTGACTTGCTGAGGAGGATCATTCGTATTTTGTACCTGAGCAAGAGGCTCCAGGGTCAGCTCCAGGGGGGCAGCAGAGAGATCACCAAGGCTGCTCAGAGCCTCAATGAGTTGGGTAAGGACCTGCGTGTTTATTGATTATCCATGGTTCACATAACTTCTGCTTTACTTTTCTTTTATCTGACTTGCCATTTGTGGGAAGCCGTGGATCAGTAGAAAGCATCCTTCAATCAGGTTCAATCTCCAGCTGCTCAATGGTCCATATCCACGTGTCCTTGAACAAGACACTTTACCTCAAATATCTCCCATGTGACTATAGTGTATGAATGTTAGTTACTGATTGGCAGGTGTCACTGTGTATGGTAGCTACTTTTATCGTGTGTGAATAGGTGAATAATAAAATGAAGTGTTAGAGATTTAATTGGTCAGAAGACTAGAAAAGGTAAATGCAACTACAGTCCATTTATCACTTACATTTGAGGATAGATGGCACTGGTTGAGGCCAGGAGGTTATTAATGGCTCAACAAAGCTGTGACTCTCCTACTCTCCTGTTTATTTTTCTCTATTAATGATGAGCAATAATGAATGAGTAATAATAAATAATAAGCAGCTCTTGCATTACGGCAGGCCATTGTATATGCCGTATAAGAGTATCTCGTCAAACTAGCCCAGATTCTTCTAAATAGGTGGCTGTAAAGTTGTCACGATTTTGGCTTTGATTTGTGCCTTTGAGGGTTATATACAATAATTTACCTTAATTAATATAGCTAAGGAATTGTGCACCATAAAATTATGGTACAAACACTTGTAAAGCAAGAGACTGAGGAGGGTGGCTGATAAAGATACTGCTCCAACCTGTTAACTTCAAATTGAGGATTTCCTGTAAAGGATGATGACATAATAAAATATGCTGGCAAACATTCAGAGCTTCATTCTGAAATCTTTTTCAATAGAACATTCAGATTCATATTACAAAATGAAATCAAAAGTTGATATCACGGTAATTTGTATGATTCTGACGGTATCCCAGTAAAACCCTGTATTCATTTTTTTGAGTAAACACTTTTATTCATTGACGCCGTGAAATAACCACCGGCTCATTGTCCACCGCTCGCTGGCCAACTTGCTGGCAACTGGCCGGTGAGTTAGCTTGTTAGCTGCTGGTGTTGCCACCAGAGACAACACCAGCGGTTTGACTAACTTTGCAAGAAATTGTTTTCTGATCTAATTTACATTGGATTTTTCAAAACCAAAAACCCTCCAAACAGACACAGTTCCTCTCTTGGGCACAAGTTGTGTTGGTGCATCTCTGGTCTCTCACAGTTCTCCAGGTCTTCTCGATTCAGTCCTGTATCGCTCTTTTCAGTCTTTTCGTGTGGCGACAAAGTATCTTCTTATTGTAACGTTATAGCAGTCGAGCTGTACCCAGCATGCAGTTGCGGGGTATTTTTTTATAAATGTACAATTATTAGTTGTGCCTTATTAATTGTTGTTATAAAATTCTATCCATGACTCCATCGCGATAAACGTAAGACAATTATCTCCAATCGCTGCACGCTCAGCGATGAGGTGTCGAAGAGCAACATCAGTTACTCTTACCATAAGGATATCTGATACTGATGCACCGGTTTACTGTTAAGGATTCTGTGGAATGATAACTTTAACCTACTACTTCCTCCCAGTTCTCCTGCCTTTCTTTCTATTAGCTGAGCGGATAACCCTCTAGGGCAGCGATTCCCAAAGTGTGGGCCGCGAAGGTACTGCAGGTGGGCCGCGAGAGGTCATTTACAATAAATAAATAAAACGTTTTTAATTTTCAATTTTGAAAAGTTTGAAATTAATATAAAAATATGTATGATGCGGCACATTAGTTATGTGAAACATTAATTGATGAAGCACAAACAATTTAAACGAACAGATTGGTTAATCGGTTGATCCATACTGGTTGTACACGGAAGGCGCTCTGCCAAACATGCCAAAGCTCTGTCTATGACGGCGAGATGCTGAGCGGCGCTCAAGCGCTTGAGATATGACTGCTACGGTGGCAAATCACCAGCCGGTCTGCGAGCTGGACGCATTGGTCTTAATGTGCCGGTAATGATGGTAAATGATGGTTGTAGCTGGTTGTCATCTACGGCCCACTACGGTTACATAAAGGTGTCGTTTGTGTTTTGACAACGTTTTATCTCATAATTTCGACTTTCTATCCCCCTTCTTCAGTGCGGAAATGGGCTTCTATAGTTGTGTGAATGCATCGCTCCAGCCAATCCAAAGACGGGGTTTGTAACCAATCAGGTGTAGAGACCATGGTGACTGGCTCCGCCCCCTCACTGTCAGAAAGAACAACACCGAGTGCGTAGAAAACGCTCTTTCGAGCGCGAGCAGAGATTCTCCTTCGAGCGCGAGCAGAGATTCTCCTCGCAAGCAACGAAGTTCACGTCTCGCAAGCGAGCAAATACCTCGCTCAAGACGGACTTTTGCTGGCGGATGTTTGATTTACGTGCGCGCATCAACCTGATTTGCACTCTCAAATTTTGACAGTGATTTGCGACTGCAGTATCTTATGCGCCTTATTGTGCGGAAAACACGGCACATGAGCTCCGGAGAAAATGGTATACAAAACATACATTGTCGGTTAATACATTTTGAATCAAAATTAAATTCTTAAGGTAATTTAATCATCCCTAGTTTATGTTTTGATCAGAGTTGTGATTAAAGGTTTGGGTGGGCCGCAAAAGATTTTCAGATTTCAAAGTGGGCCGCGGCATTCTTGAGTTTGGGAACCGCTGCTCTAGGGTTCACCCTGAAAGTTTGCACTTTTAAAAGATACCCTGTGCTGTGTTTAAAACATAAATTCCCATCTCTCTCTCAACTAAAGGAGCTACTTTTACAATTTCAATCATGCCCTTATCTATGGATTTAATAACTAACAGAAGCAGATACAGTTATAAAGTGACTCCTCCCAGTGTAGTCCTCATGCCTCCGTCCACGCCCAGGCATTTTATTACCGTCCTAAGTGGCTCCATCTGGTGACCGGACCTGAAATTCACCTAACCAGACCCTACTCTCATCAATATCAAAATACATTAAATGATTACACCTTTAACCTGAAGCTTCTTCAACCTACATAGAAGGGCATGCGTTATGTCATCATTATCATCTAATATGTAATACAAGGTAATCATAGAATATCTTAAATCATCTTAATTCACAACAGCATTAACAAAATATAAACTCATTTTATGTAGTCCAAAATCAAACAGTTGCCAAAAAGCCCTTTAATCTGCACACACGCAACATCCTCGGTCCAAAAACTCAGTTTTAGTCGGCACAAACAAAACTCGCCTTTCACAAAAAACCTTCAATGGGGGGGGAAAAGGCTCAGGAAGAAACCTTAGGAAGGGCATCAAAGTTGAGACCCTCCTTCCAGGGTGGACAGAGTACAATAGATGTGTACAGTATTGAATGATGTACAGGATATACAATATGTTTACTTCATAATACAGAAATCATTTTACTGTCGAACACCACACAAACTATGATTGTACCACCAGTCATGACCAAACAAATTATCATTATCATTCCTCCCTTTTCTACTTTGCTTTTCTACTTGAATTAATAACGCAGCATGTACTTGCTAGCCTAGGACCACTTCTCATCACATACGCAAGCACACACACACACAGACACACAGAAAGGGCGATTCCCTCATATTGCATTGGCCGCAAAGACCTTTTAAATGGGGTCGGTGTCCTCACTGTTGTCCAGCAAAGCCACAAACTCACTGTGATCCAGTGTCTGCTTCTTGTCTCTGTTGTGCCGCTCAGTTGTTGTGCAACTATTTCTCAAGTGGGCTGTGCTGCTTTGTCTTTTGTTATGGTTCACACTAAAGGCTCTAAAGAGGGTCGTTGTAAGAGTAGTATTTCCCTTCCCAAGAGGTTACCACAATTCCAAATTATTTAAAAAAAAAATGCATGATGTAGATACTAGCTAATATATAGAAAAATGTGTCCTTACACTTTTGGTTAACCTCTCTGGGTCTGACTGGAATTTCTATACTACTACTGTCATGCAATTTTCCTGTGCCAATCTGAGGCTTGTATGTGGACAAATTGTAAAGGCTTCTGAGGAAAACTTATCATTTTGTGAGTTTTGTTAATAAAAAGTTATTTATTTTTTTGTTAATGAAGAGACTTTAATATATGGACTCAATTGGCTTATTGACATAGTGTCTGCTTAATTTCCTCTGATTGATTTGAATACGTTCTGGATGTCCAGACTAAAATGAGTGTGTTTGAGGAACAACTCTCTCAAAACATTCTAGATTTATAAATAGCACTAAAGGGAAGAGGAAAGAAAATTGAACTTTAGTTAATGTGACTGCTGATAAACCTGTGACCTCTACCTCTGGTCTTGCCTGCTTTGTCTAACAAACTAACAATACATTTGACGTATGGTTCACTTAGCTTTTCATCGCAACATACCAGCATGCCGAGAGTTTGAAACAGATCAAACATTATTATAATAAACATTATGCACATTCAGCTGCAGGTAGTTTCACTCTTTACCTGTGTTTTTTATTTCAAGGAAAGTCCATGTCTGGATCTTCATTTCGTCATTTAATAAGCTTCCCAGAATTGCTGTACTATTGGTAATGAGCACTTGTGTGTGATTACCCTTTTTAGGCTTGTTGTATATTTCCCCATAGTTGGATTTCTTCTTTTGAAATATTTTTCACTTCTCTCTTTGGATACACAAACCTCCATATCTGCAACTACAACAGCAGCTTATATAAATATTTTTGATATGTTCAGTTTTTTTACTTTGTGGAATGTAACTACTTCATTTAATCTCCTCTGTACTAAATGAATCCCATTACTCAGCAATGTCTATGAGCTTAGACATTTTAGTATGGCTTCCATGTCCTTTACGGTGACCTTTTTATTTCTCCTGGGGTCAATCCACAGCTTATGGATGACTACATTGTTTGGTGTAGAGCTTCCACTACAGACCCAACCCTTTTCTTCATATTGCTTTTTAAAACCTTTTGGAACTTCTGCCGAGTGAAGGCATACAAAAGCGGGTGAAAGATAGTGGTTCCATATGCCATTACCAGGAAGCCTAAGCGCAGCAGAACAGTTAAACCACTGGGCCCGGTGCTGAGGATGATGGTGTTGAGGACAGTTATTGGTGTCCAGCAAAGTAAGAATGTGGCAATGATGAGAAGAGACACCCTGAAGACACGTTCCTGCCTCTTCCGTCTCTCCCGATGGCGCCTTACCGCTCGTCTGAGCGTGATTATGACCGATACTGAGACATGCATGTCCAGAGGTGGATTCCCTCCTGCCCTGACTCCTGTGCTGCTCCGTGAAGCGTCTGTGGACTCTGCTTGTGTTGCAGTGCTCAGACAGAGAGTGTTTTTTCTCTTTTGCTTCTTGCTGGGTAAGTGGCTCTGAAAGTGTGCACCAATGTGGATATTAAGTGCCTGAAGTATTTTGTAGTAAGTCACCAGCATCACCAGAGCTGTAAAAAAGAATATTGGGATCTGTGCTACCAGGTGATAGTACAAGCCCTGCTCTGTGTAGTACTCATTTGGATGAGCCACTGTTACCACAACCGTCCCGTTCACAAGGTCTGGAACAGAGTTGATGAAGAAGCTGACTTCCATGAAAGGAACCAGGAAACTGCCAAAGGATAAAGCCCAAATGCACCCCAGTAGAGCCACAGCCCGGCCCTTTGTAAGCACGCGACTCGCCGGCCGCACTGAGATGTCATAGCGATCTACAGTGATGGCCAGGACATTAACAGCAGTTGCTACACTTGTAAAGGAGACACAAGCTTCATGGAAACAGCTGATCATGGCTGTGTCCGTCTCCAAAGGAAATAACACCACCACTGCTGTCAGTGGGATACAGCACACACAAACCTAGAAACAAGACAGAAAATCAGGTCACATCCAAAATGCATTGTTTGTTTAGTACCAGGTAAACAAGAACATGCTTTGCAATGATTCTGATGCGGTTCTAAAAGGTATGATTTGATCGTATCAAACCAAGAATACAAACTTAAGCCATCAGTAGAAATAATTAAATATGTTGTACAGTAACAGTCAAAAGTAAATAACATGCGTCATATCAACATCATAATGTGGAGCCCTTCTAGCTGGGAGTCGGAGGTCCAGGTAGCCTACCTTGCCTTTAAGTAATCTACCTCTGGTGAATTTCACTTGGGTGTGTGCCTAGACTTTGTATTGTGTGGTAGGTGTATAGCTGATGAGTCAAACATGCTCAGTTTTCTTAACAGGACTGGAACCTGTTTTTTATCTAATAAGAATCTTACACTTTCCATCTTAACATTTTGCTGTTTTTATGAATGCACTACAGAAGTCAAACCAAAGTTGTAATAAACACAGTGGAGAAGCTAGTAGCATAATCGTGTTTAAGTAGACTCTTAAGTAGACATTTTCCACCTTAATTGATCAAAACAAGAAGGTGAAGGTTTGTAAACCCACCACTCCATGTTAAATTCATCTTGGCAACATAGCAGCTTTAACATGTTCGGAGAGGGACTTGGGGCATGTGCCTGAGTGGAGAGCAGGGTTGTCCTTCAATCAGACAATCAGCAGTTTCATCCCTGGCTCCACTAGTGTTCATGCGTCCCTGTGCAAGACACTAAAATCCCAAATTGCTCCTGTAGCTGTGACTGAGGTGTGTAAATGATAGTTACTGATGGGCAGCTCTCACTGAGTATGGTAGCTCCTGTCATCAGTGTATGAATGGGTGTAAATGGGTGAATGATGACATGAAGTGTTAAAGAGATTAGAGTGGTGTGAAGACTGGAAAATGAATGTCCATTTAGCATTACTTACCAACACATCCACTACATGCAGGTTCATAGTAATGATGTTGGACACGGAGCTGATGAGGTTCTGTTTCATACAGTAGAGCACAAGCACAGTGAGATTGGAGCTCAAGCCCAAAACTATCTCCAGAAGTAGAAATCCTGTCAGAGAAACCTACCACAAAAAGAAAATTATGACATTTAATTTTACTTTAGTCATAATTATAGTATATGATAATAGTAACATGGAAGTTTTCAGTTATATTACATGGTACCAGGAAAATTCCCACCCCATTAAGGAGCCAGACAGTAACCTAGGGTTTGACTTGCCAGCAAGAAAATATCATGCCGTCATGTCTTTTAGATTTGATTAATAAAAAACATCTGACCTATGGAGCTCTAGCACTACCTGAAAGCTGATGGGGTAGATGGGCTTGTCTGATGTTGTGTCAAGGTCCTGGGAGTCAGCAGTGTCCAGCACCGTCATGTTGCTCACGGCGGCTACAAAAATCTGCACTAGGCATGTGTGCATTCTCGGAGGCCTGAAGCTTGCACTGTCGAATGCTACTCCTATATTGTCAATGTTGTGTAGAGAGTGGCATGCTCATTTGTGGTTTGGGTGAAGAGGAGTTGGATTTAACACCAAAAGCAGAGTCTGAAATCTTGAGTCTGAAAAAGAGTTGTTAAGCCTAAACAAACCCAATGCGAGAGCACTATAATGTGTTATCTAATAGTGTGATATCAGGCTTCAAGTCACCACTCACCCAGCAATGTCTTCTCCGGCTCAGTAACAATCCAAGCGACCCCGGGGAACTTGGTGAAGCATACCAAACTATCCCACCATATTGTGACCCAACCAGATCAGTCTTCCCTTGATCTACAACATTTGTTCTGTGAATGTATTAGTCGTACTCGCTCCTCTCAGGCGAAGCCAGTGAAACACAGAGCGCCATACACACCAGCCCCCCGTTGAGGGGCATGTGGTTTGCAACATCAGTGCGGAGCACGAAGATCAATGCTTTCTTTCATGGATAGCTCTGTCTCATCATTGTCCGTTGTGCTTGGAATAGTGCCTCGGCTCATCCCTGCCAGTGCCACAACAATCCTGCTGTCTCCACCCCTCTCCACTTTTCAGGTATTCTGTGTCGTTCACGCTAATGTGATCTGGTCCACAGCACTTTTATTCAGGTTTGAAATGTCATAGTCCAGAGAACAGTAAATGTGGAAATGGCAGAATGGAAGGGACAATCCAAGACAAATTGAAAGTGAGCTGGTGTGTTTACTCTCGACTCGTCACGGACCCTTTGGATGATTGGATGCCTGTGTTTAATCAGTTCCCGATGCCTGGCCTTTCATCTTTGATGGTTCTTCTTAACTGTGACCTTGACAGACACTGTTCTTTAATCATATTTTAAACAGAATGAACACACATTTCCCAACATTTAGCCAGGACGTTTTCTAAACTAGTGTCTTTTAGGGACACAGTGGTGGTCCTCTTCAGACTGTGTGCCATGCAGGGTAGATGTTGATGTGGAAGTAGCCTAAAAGCTAGCTTAGACTAGGGTTAAGTTTGCCACTCACCCCCTTTCTGTGTGACACATGGAGGAATTCCTCTGCACAGTTCTCTGCTGTATGTCGCACATAGTTTTACGATGAAAAAAGTTTAGTAGTCATCATTCAAGGATGCTTGATTGTTAGTTCCTTCAGGATGTAAATTAACTTGAAGCCTGAATGGAGCAAGAGCGATAGTTGTGCTGTTGCTCTGCTTCAGTTTCTGTAGGTCTGTCTCTCTGTGTCAGCCCCACCTTTTCTTTTCTCTCTCTGAAACGGTCGCCACCTTCTCTTTTTTTCCCCCCCATTACATCTCTGTGCTTGACAATTTTGACTTACTAAGCACATGTAACACTTTTTGCTCTCATTTCCAATACTTCAATTCCTTATTCAATCTTTCTTAGTTTTTTGTAAGTAGGAGTAAATCTCCATCACGCATGGACAAAAGAACACAGATCTATTTGTGTTTGATTCCTTGTTTCTTTTTCTCTTTCATGTCTGTTTGTTTGTTTTCCTCATTAAAGAGCCCACGTAGGACCCTGTTTCCATGACAATGCCATTAGGAGCCTCCATCCTCTCGGGACTTTGGCCACTCATCTGCTTTGTGTTTGTATAGTACCGGCCGCATAGTACATCTCTTAATTGACCCAATCTGGCCCCCATTGGAGCAGTCGCTTTGTTGCGCTTGCTGCCTGCTGAGCATATGTTGAACATAGCTAGTAAGTGAGTGGATTTATTAGGGGTCCTTGTTATTTGCATGGCAACAACATCAATGGCAGCCTAAGAGATGCAGGCTGATCAATTTACAATTCAAATAAGTCCTTTCTCCTCTCCTGCTAGTGATCAAAAAAACATATTTCACATTTTCCCGATCGGATAATTGTATCTCAGCTCTTCCTCTCTCTTTGTTTGTTCAAAGATTGTAAAAATATTTTTTACTGACGTGCACAACTAAGCGGGAGGTATGTTTTCCCTCGGAAGTTTTTCGTAACAGAGCGATAGATGGCAGACTGCAGGCTATAGAGAGGGGAAAAATAAATTCGCAATGATTTCCTGTGCACATGAGCATGATCCATGAATGAGGAGAAGAAAAAAAAGACAGAGCTCAGGGACCAAGAGAAAGAAATATGGTTACCTAATTGTTCACGGCCACGTGTCGGTTTGTGGCCATTGGCTGGGAACTCCCGGGCCGCCGCCTCCATTGAATGGTAGGGGAAATACTGAAGAAATAAAAAGGACAGTAAGAGACGTTTTTTGTTCAATTCAATTAATTTTATTTTGTATACCCCTCTGAGCTTTACAGTCTGTACACATGAGACATCCTCTGTCCCGAAACCCACACATTGGCACAGGCAAAACTCCCCAAAAAATGAAAAACCCTTCCATGGGGGAAAAAGGGAAAGAAACCTTAAGTAGAACGTCAGAGGAGGGATCCCACTCCTGGGATGGACAGACTACAATGGATGTCATGTGTACAAAATTAACAATGTAAAAGATGTATAATACATTCAATTCCTATAACAGAAATGATTCAAATAATTGCGAGTACAATCTATGTTTGTAATCCGGCTGGTGATGATAGTGTAGTTTGCTAACTTCACAAAAGAGTTATTTTTTCATTTTGGTGCTTGCAGTCAGCTGAACAAAACATTTACAAACCTTAAACTCAATGTACACATGAATGAACGTAACAGCTAGGAACAAGGACAACATATTGTAGCTTTGTAAAATACATAGAGTTGCATTCTATATTTACAATAGTTTATTTGGAGTGCAACAAGCCACTTGCATTATCGTGCATAATGTGACAGAAACAGCCAAATATGTAGATAGATGACCCTTTTATTAATGGTTTTCCCAAATCCCAGATGTACACTGGTACTGTTAACTGAAAGGTCCTCATGATTGTGCCGTTACTGGTTCATTTCTTTGTATATGGTTTCTGCAAGGCCTTAGCTGATCCCTGATGTCAGGCCCATGTCAATGAATTGTTTTTGAAACTCCACAGTAGTAGAAGTGAATTATTCTTCTCACACACAGATGCATCCAACCATTGTTGGCAATGTCTGTGTATGACTTCTTGCATTCATTGAGAAATTCTTCTCTCTGGAGCTGTCCGTGGTACCAGACTTAGCTCTTTGATTCTGATTCTGACTGACAGATTTACACACTCAAAAACTCTCACTCTCAGACACACACACAACCACACACACAACAAGTTCCCTTTGAAGCTTATTCATTAAAGTAATACCATCATTGTAGTAAGTGCAAGTTAGGCTAATTTATACATCACATTTAAACACAGCTCGAATAAGTTGACTAAGTCCTATGAAATAAATATAAAATTGAATTAAATAGTACAACACACACAAATTAATTCGTCAACAATAAACAGTGGGACAAAGCACAGAATATATGATTATTGTAAAGGGCAAGAAAGGCAATTGGATATTGAATGTGTTTTTTGTCTTGTAAACTACACCAGCCCTGCTTTACTGCTGTTATTAACGAACGCTTGTCATGCTTGTCAAGTTGGATAACAAATAACACCAGCAGAGAAGAAGAGTGACTGAAGTAGGATTCTGTTTTAAGTTACCCTGCTGTTGAACTCATTCTCATTCCTCCATATCAAGGACTCCAACATGTTTTATGTGCTGAATTATCACCATGGTGCTCCCGTGTCATGCCATGTTGTTTTCACAATTTTATCAATTTGTTGTTGCAGCCCTAGTTTGGAGATACTGTCTGAAAGTGAACAGTGCCCACATAGACTTTCATTGCACCAAGAAGAAGAATAATAGAGTGATACAACCATCTTATTTTTTTCTAATGCATGATCAGCATTAGCATTAGCATTTCATTTTACTTTATTTTATTACTTGTGCACTGCTGTCTTGTTGTCTATTGTCACACTGTCCACTGTCGCGCACCAACCGCCAAGACAAATTCCTTGTATGTTTGGCATATTTTGGTAATAAATGTTTCCTGATTCCTGATCCTGATCAGACTCTCTAAAAGGACAGGTGGACAAAAAATGCAGGAAAAAAAGCAGAATGGAAATTTTTAATGCAATAGTGTGCCTGACCGCTCTCTCAAGCTTCTTGTCTTTTCTGTGGAGTGGAGGCTCATAACAAATAGAAATATAACCACAAAGAAGATTTGTTGATGAAGTTTCAGACTGACTGGTCCGTTGTGGACAAAAAGTAGAGAATTAGAAATTTGACAAATCTGTTCAAAATAAACGGAATATGAGGATTCCAAAAAAATACTGTACTTTTCTTTGCACTCCCTGTAAACGCATCTCCACAAATCCTCAGTTTTACTATTGGATATTTAGTTTTAGTAGCTTCAGGAAATGTATGGAAGAATCTGTAAATCAGATTAAGCTCTTATTGTTGTTTGTTGGTTAATTAAATATACAAAAAGTGTGAATGAAAAAAATGGCAATAGTCCCCATAAACCTGAATGGGGAAAAAAGCTAGGAAATGCAATATTGATGGTGTCTTTTATATGTGTGTTTGCCCATGCTCTAGACTATCTGTCCCAGGGTGTGGATCTCAGCGGCATCGAGGTGATTGAGAATGACTTGCTGCTGATCAGCAGAGCCAGGCTGGAGGTGGAGAACCAGGCAAAGAGACTTCTGGAGCAGGGCATGGAGATCCAGGTACACACACACACACACACACACACTCAACACAAAGAGTTCCTTTTAGTTGCACTATATTGTCCTGGGCCTATTGGGGATCTTGAACTTTCTGTTTGTGTTTAGAAACATCACGTCAAGATCGTTATTTTCAGGAATAATAAAAATATTAGCATATATTATATTCTAAATCAAACATATAAACTCTCTTATGGGGACCTAGTCCATTATTTTCTGTTTCACAGTGTTTATGGACCCCCAATAGTTTGCGCCAGGTGCCTTCTGTCTTGAAGGATGACCTGAATTGTGTGACCTACAACGAGCAACAAGAAGATTGGCAGTGCGGAGTGAGCGGGCAGGAACCTATGGTTTGACCCAACGTAATGTTTAGAAATGGATGTGGGCAGAAACGGGTAAATAGTGAAGGGAGCGGACTAGTGTGGGTGGATTTAGTCTGAAACCCAGTGGAGATGCTGCATTCTGGATCAGCTGCAGAGTTTGGATGGCGCTGGCAGGAATGTGTTGTTGCTGTAATGTTGGCAGTGAGGGAAAGTTGACTGTTGGCTGTCACAGCGAGCTTCCTCGCATTCAGGGCTTGGGTTAGGACGTCTAAAGTAATAGTCAGGTTAAATTATTCGTCAGGTGGTGTGCTGCCATCCACTGAGAGATGTCAAACAGGCAGAGATTTGTGCTGCTACCTGTGTCCCTGATCGGGGAAATGACCAGATTAGTTGGATGTCATGTGAGAGGATCACAGAGCTGAGACAGTGTACAGAGAGAACAGGAGGGCATCCAAGCCAGAGCCTTGAGGGACCCCACTGGTGAGAGGACAAGGTTTGGAATCCTCGCCAAGTTACTCGGTAGGTACGGTCATTGCGATAGGATGAGAGAATGGCGAGAGCATGAGACAGCCAGTTCCTGAGGGAGGAAATAAGAATCTAGTGGTTTACTGGGTCAAATGTGGCAGAAAGGTTAAGAAGGATAAGGACAGAGGAGAGAGAGGCTGCTTTGGCAATGTGGAGTTGTTTTGAGACAATAAGGATACTAGGAGAAACTGGGTCAGATTTGTTGGAATGAGTTCTGCTCCATCCAAAATGGGATGGATGCAGTCCCTCCTAATCAGACTAGGCGCTCCCCAAAGCGTCTTCCAGTGATCAAGAAGCCCACCTTATTTGCTTATTTACTGTTTAGTCTTCATATTTTCTTGAAGCATGAAATATCTGCCCTCTTGGTGTTCCTAAGCCAAGGACAATTTGAATGTTTCTGCGTGAGAGATAGATGGTCTCTTTTTTTTGGAGCCTATGACCAGAAAAGGCTTTGCTTACATTGTGAAGATGATGTTGTTTTATTTATTTTATTTAAAGCTATATATTCCTTTTTTTATTTGCCCTTGTGTGTAAAACTGTAAGGTGTATTTGTAGCTGCTGCCGTCACTCCTGCAGTTGTTGAGTCCACCACCCCCCCCTCTCCCAAACAAACAGTTTGACCCTCTTAGTTAATTTCCAACTGTAGAAAACCACAGAGACCACTGGCATCCTCACTTGTCTCACTCCCCCCGTCTTCATCTCTCCTTTTGTTGGTCAGAATCCAACGCAGGTGGGCATGGCCTTGCAGGTCTTCTACAACCTGGGCAGTCTAAGTGTCACCATTGGTTCTGTAGTCGGTGGCTACAGGACAACCATACACGACAACATCACTCGTGCTTTGGACATCAAGGGATTGACACAGCCGACCAACCCCAGAGGTAGGACCCAAGAAGGATGTAGTTCTGAGCACTGGCACACCGTATATATTCTCTTCATTTCTAAAAGATGAAAGAGGATGTTATTTTACGGTTTGACCCAGATTATTATACCATGGCCACAGAGAATGGCTGGAGGTTGTGTATTTTTCATTCTTCTAATTAATGACAAAATACTTTTAGCTAAAAAAAAGCCCAATTCAATTTTTCCCCCTCATGTTGTTAGGACACATTTTGAGGATTACATGAAAAAATATATGAAATCTGAAATAGAAATAGAAGTCTGATAATATTATATATTTTTCTCATTGTCAATAAATCATAAAAGACCCACAACAACACTGAATGTCTCCACTAATAAGTAGTAGTTGTGTATGTACGTGTGTGTGTGTGTTAAAGCTTCTTCTTCCTCTGGCCCACAAATCTCAATTTTTGGGTCATCCCTTTTCCATTCAAAGCACTTATTGAGGTTCAAGAATCGTAAATGCTATTTTCTATCAGGTGTTTTGGGGAGATAACGGTTATTGGATTCATAGGGGCCGTATGGGAAGAAAACAAAAAGCTCACGGAGTGAATTGGTCCCCTCAGGTGCACCAGGCAGAGCTGTGCTGCCCACACCGGGAAACACAGCAGCTTTCCGTGCTGCTCTTTGGACCAACCTGGAGAAATTGATGGACCAGATATGTGCTGCATGCAGACAGGTGGGCAGCTCCCTGACAACACAAACTGAATGTACATTCAGTATTGAATAATTCATCAAAGTTTAAAATGTGGTGCAACTTTTCTAGGTGCAACATCTGCAGAAGGTCCTGATGAAAAAGAGGGACCCTGTAACTCATGTGTGCTTCATTGATGAGATCATCAAGGTGGGTGACAGCACTGTTTATTTAATAATTATTGGAGCAATCAAAACAATCACAAGGCTCCTGTCATTAAGAAACTATAAAAAGTAAAAGTTTTAGGATGAATTTCGGGACAGAGGATGTCGTATGTGTACAGACTGTAAAGCCCTCTGAGGCAAATTTGTAATTTGCTATTTTGGGCTATACAAAATAAAATTAATTGAATTGAATTTCTGTTTTTGTTTATCAAAACAAGACATCCTCATAGCCTGCTATACATGACTGCTTAATTATATGACTGACAGCTATTTATATGAAATAGCCCTACGCAGGATGATACTACCTGAGTGGGAGACGGTGCTTTCAGGGTCCGATCGATACTGCGAGGTGCGCTTGCGTCATCAGCTTTACCTCCACTGCTCCCGTTACCTAGCAACCAGCTGTGCTTGACAGCGAAAGCCTTAGAACCCGAAAAACATATAAAATACATATGGAGAAGGTAACCTTCCTCTTATTTCATTTAATTGAGAAGATATGCTTCACCTCTGGAGCATGACATATTCAGGGTGAGAGAAAAACATTTTCCGGTTATTTGAAATTCAAGCTAAAAGTAATATTGCAATCCTACGGCTGAGGATATCAATCAATACTGTCAATAAAAACTACAACAGCAAACACATTTATTAACTTGTATGCAAGGAGTTTTTTTTTTACCTATGATACAAGATATTTTAACTGTAACCATATTGCAAAATATGTCCAAACTACAGAAGCTGAATGTTACCACACATCGTTCTCGTTCAGCTTGATGCTGCTTCCTCCTGGCTCTAAGGAGGAAGCAACATGGAAAGTTAGTTTATAATCACACAAAAACCAAAAGGAGGTTACTGACTTGAAAATTATATTTCAAGTTCATAACTTGAGCTCACTTTTATGCATTTTTGTTCATAATAGTAAGTTTATACTTACTCTATACCTATCTATAAAACCCATCAGAACCTCAGTAGGATGTTAGGCACCCTCTAAAGTGTGAAAGTTAGGGCATTATAGTGACTGCAGTCACGTCTAGTTGTAGGCATTGGGTGCAGGGATTCATTCAAACACAAAAGCATTGCTGAGGTCCAACGGATCTATCAATGTTACTGTTCAGCCCGAATGAGCTCGTGGCTCTCTGTGGGCTGCCTCCAGCAACTTTATGAAGCACAATGTTGTCCCCAACATCCTCATAGGGTAGCTTTATGACTCTATGTCTCTATGATTAGTTATAAAGGAAGCTACAGAGGCTGATTACAGAGGAAGCTACAGAGGCCATAAAATAATAAAAGCAGTCCCCTTAGTATATTTAAACTATTCTATGTAATAAATATAGCAAAATGCTATGTTGTTCTTCTTTACAACTGCCCTTCTTATTCAAATCTGTTAAATGCATGCATGTTGTTGAAATTACTCTTTTTTTAAAAGGAACAACAATAATCAATTCAAATATGACAATCGTCAGCTCATTAAATAACTAACTTTTGAAAATCTAAATACGGAATAAGGCAAACAGCAATGGCTGATCCGGTTAGCAGGTGTTTCCCATCAAACTGACAACTCATGTCACTTGCAAGGGCTTCAAGTTATCCAATAAGTATTGTTTCTCTGTCTACCTGATAACAGGATGGAAAGCCTGATATCCTCTGCACCTTCTGGAATGATGTAACCAATACCCTTAGTGAGGAGTTGCACAGAGCAACTGAAGGTAAGAGCCCTCCTTTTCCTTCCCCTCAGTTTGCACTGCAAATACACCGTAAGAGGATGCTGATAGTTTGTATCATCTGATTGAAAGGCTGCTACGGCTAATGTGTACAGTGGGGAGAACAAGTATTTGATACACATTTTGCAGGTTTTCCCACAAAGCATGTAGGATCTGTTATTTTTATCATGGGTACTCTTCAACTGTGAGTGACGGAATCTAAAACAATGTACGATTTATAAAAAAATATATTTTGCAGTTTAGTTTTGACATAAGTATTTGATACAGAAATCAGAAAAGCCAAACTTAATATTTGGTACAGAAATCTGTTGGCAATTAGACATTGTACGTTTGCTGTAGTTCTTGACCAGGTTTGCGCACACTGCAAAAGGGATTTTGGCCCACTCCTCCATACAGACCTTCCCAGATCCTTCAGGTTTCAGGGCTGTCGCTGGGCAACACGACTTTCAGGTCCCTCCAAAGACTTTCTATTGGATTCAGGTCTGGAGACTGGCTATGCCACTCCAGGACCTTGAGAGGCTTCTTATGGAGCCACTCCTTAGCTGCCCTGGCTGTGTGTTTTGGGTTGTTGTCATGCTGGAAGACCCATGACCCATCTTCAATGCTCTTACTGAGGGAAGGAGGTTGTTGTTGTTGTATCTCGCGATACATGGCCCCATCCAACCTCCCCTCAATACGGTGCAGTCGGCCTGTTCCCTTTGCAGAAAAGCATCCCCAATGAATGATGTTTCCACCTCCATACTTCACGGTTTGGATGGTGATCTTGGGTTTGTACTCATCCTACTTCTTCCTCCAAACACGGCGAATGGAGTTTAGACCAAAAAGCTCTATTTTTGTCTCATCAGACCACATGACCTTCTCCCATACCTCCTCTTGATCATCAAGATGATCATTGGCAAACATCAGACGGGCCTGGACATGCACTGGCTTGAGCGGGGGGACCTTGCGTGCGCTGCAGGATATTTAATCCATGATGGCGTAGTCTGTTACTAATGGTTTTCTTTGAGACTGTGGTCGCAGATCTTGTCAGGTCAGACCAGGTCCTGCCGTGTAGTTCTGGGCTGATCCCTCATCTTCCTCATGATCATTGATGCCCCACGAGGTGAGATCTTGCATGGAACCCCAGACCGAGTGAGATTGACCGTCATTTTGAACTTCTTCCATTTTCTAATAATTGCGCCAGTTGTTGCCTTCTCAGCAAGCTGCTTGCCTGTTGTCCTGTAGCCCATCCCAGCCTTGTGTAGGTCTACACTTTTATCCCTGATGTCCTTACACAGCTCTCTGGTCTTGTGGAGAGGTTGGAGTCTGTTTGATTGAGTATGTGGGTGGCAGGACAGATCTGTGAGAGCCGGAATTCTTACTGGTTGATAGGTGATGAAATACTTTATTTGAACGTGATTATGTTTTAGATTCCGTCACTCACAATTGAAAAGAACCTATGATAAAAATGGCAGACTCATACATGCTTTATAAGTGGGAAAACCTACAAAAAGACTTATTCTCCCCACTGTACAACAGAGTTGTATATGGCGTCTCCACCGTATGTAACTCCTCAGCATTCTAAATAAGGTCACTTGGTTTAGTTTTTTTTTAAAAGCCATGGTGGCGACTGCCAAAATGCTGATCTCTAGGCTTCAAAATCTTTGTCCACAAATCAATGTGTGATGACACACCAACCACATCTACTTATTAAATACAATCTATGCTTAACACACAAAGAATATATTGATATTGAGCGAAAAAACTGCATTTGAACCTTTCCCTCACATTCCATATAATTTACCCAAGTCTAGGACGCCTTTTTCACTACAGGCTGTATGTTATTTTCTCGTCGGAAACTTAAATGTTCTGTCAAAACTTTACCGTCATTTTACTTTATTTTTCCTCCATCTTTGTTCCTCTCAGAACCATTGTGTGTAATAAGCAGGGTTTTTTCTCTCTAGCGTCTTCCTTCTTAAAGCAGGCCCTGGAAGGAGAGTATCCCAAACTGCTTCAACTGTACAACGAACTGTGGCGCCGCCTGCAGCAGTACAGCGCCAGCCTGCAGGGGGCGCTAACGAGCAGCGGAGGAATAGACACGTCTCTGGACATCACCGCCGCAGAGACAGACAGCCAGGACCTGTTTACACATGGACAACAGGACTACAAGTGAGCAGATACCATATATGATATAGATCTATAAATATCTGGTGCTTATAAGTATGTATGTAAGTTCCTATACACACCGGTCAATCAAGCTGGACGCTAAAAATGTTTGGTTGCAGCATGTCATAAGCACATTTCAAAACACAGATGTAAAAACATATCTGCCTTTTTTCGGCATAGAACTTCTTGAAGTTGCTTTCCTTTTAGTTCTGTTAAGATACAGCACTTCACAACTATGAACAGTTATATCAGTTTCCTCCTCTATCAAAATGATATTGAGTCGTGGGATAGATATGCTAAGTGCATTCACATATATAAACACCCACTCACACACTAGTAGAATGTGTGCTCTGCATCTTAAAGCATTGAGATATGTATGTCTACACTGAAGGCACTCCATAAATAAATGTCAGCGCAGATAGCTATAATAAATTAACCTGAAACAATAGTTAGATTGCATGTATTGTTATTCCACAATAGCTTTGAAATGTTAAACTCAGTCAAGTGATGATATTTTTTTATCTCAATGCCTTTTGTGGATGAGTGAAAGCAGCAGTAGATTTCTCTCTCTGGTCAGTTACCATATTCATGTTACTAATGCAAATGTCTTGTTTGTTAATATGTTAACATGCACCAGTTATGTTTGTAATCTTTTTTGATTTGTATCCAGCCCAGAGCAGGCTCTGAAGGACTCTCTGCAGCTTTACGAGGCAGCCTACCTTTCAAAGTCCCTCTCTCGCCTGTTTGATCCCATCAATCTGGTGTTCCCTATGGGTGGCCGCAACCCCCCGTCCAACGAGGAGCTGGACAGCATCATCAAGACCATCAGCAGGCAAGCGCAACACATGGGGCAACAGAACCCCTCAATAAGAACAAACAAAAAGACCCTTTATTCATCCCCACAGGGAAATTTTGGCTGCACAAAAACAGCACTAAGTACGGGTACATGCAGAAAGATCAAAACAATGCGTGATGGTAAATACATCTAATTAAAATACAAACTATACAAGAGCAATTGGACTCAAAGTTAATATGCAATAAGTCCCTACTTATTGCATATTAACTTTGAGTCGATGACGGACAAAATCATGCGCGCATGACTCCTCCCACCTCATTCTTTGTCTGGTTGTCCGACTTTTAGTTGAGGAAACACTTCATTTGATATGTAGCAGACCACGCATTTTAAATGTCAATATCGCTGACGATCATTCTCATTTAATCGTGGTATCAAAAATTGTGATCGCGATCAAAATTCAATTATTTGTGCAGCCCTAGCAATAAGTATAAAACAGTACCCAGGACTATGTTGTGCCATTAGCGTTTTTTCCGCCTCACCGATGCAGTACAATATTCTCAGGTCAAATTTCAACCTTAATCGATAACTATCTTCAGAAACGCTGACACCAAAACATTTTAGTGGAGATACTCATTCTGTTAAAAAACATGGAATTATTATACAGACATTTTTTTTCACAAACTACTGATCTTTATTTATTAATATATCTTATCAAGATATAATTTAACATGTTGATGTTGACAAAGACGACATTACTACTATGGGAAAATATATACATTTATGTAAAAAACATAGATTTTTCACATTCTGTCTTTTATAATCTGACCAAAGCATACATTGTTAGACCATCAAACCTGCAAATACACACGCATTTAGTACCCATTTAACAAAACATTTGAGACGAATCCTCATTGATTAAAACACAAGCAACAGTACAACTCCAAATATACTGATAGCTTCCGTTTGATAATTAACCAGGTTACATTATTCTATGTAATATATTTATTTCTTTGTGTTTAGTGAGCTGAACGTGGCATCAGTGGATCCGAAACTCTCACTGGCTGTGTCCAAAAATGCAGCCAAGACTATCCAACTCTTCTGTGTCAAATCGGAACAACTGGTGTGTATGTTGTTCAGTCTGAAATCGGTTTTCTCTATATGCTGGTATGTATGTATGTGTATTTATTAGGTACACCCTGCTAGCTAAAGGTTGGACCCCCCTTTGCCTTCAGAACTGCCTTAATTCTTCGTGGCATACAAGGTGTCATGATAGCATGACGCAGTTTCTGCAGATTTGTCGGCTGCACATCTATGATGCAAATCTCTTGTTACACCACAAGCCAAAGGTGTTCTATTGCAGTGATCCCCAACCACCAGGCCATTTGGTACCGGGCCGCACCACAGAAACAATATATATATATTTTTCTGAAAAATGTTTTATTTTGAAATTTGACAGGATTCTCTGCTAATTATATGCGCTCGTCCCTCTTGACATATTTCCCAAGCATCACCAAGCGTTTTTCTTCACGTTTACAATTGTCCTCCTACCGTGCACGGCAGTTTCGCCCACCAGCGAACAAAGAGCGTGCAACAACGTCTGCCCTCACACCAACACCACCAGCCTGTACCGTTACGAGGCAGGATGGATCCATGCTTTCATGTAGTTTACGCCACATTCTGACCCTACCATCTGAATGTCACAGCTGAAATTGACTCATCTGACCAGACAACATTTTTCCAATCTTCTATTGTCCAATCTTGGTGACCTTGTGTGAATTGTAGTCTCAGTTTCTTCTTCTTAGCTGCCAGAGTGGCACCCGGTGTGGTCTTCTGCTGCTGTAGCCCATCTTCTTCAGGGTTCGACATGTGCGTTTAGAGATGGTATTCTACATTCCTAATGCCACAAAGAATTAAGGAACTGCTGAAGGCAAAAGGGGGTTGAACCTTTTACTAGCAAGGTGTACCTAATGAAGTGGCCGGTGAGTGTATATGTGTGTATATATGTGTATAGAAATATGTTTATATACTGCCTCCCCGTGTGTCCCTCCTTCTGCAGCTGTGCACTCAGGGCGAGGCCAGTCAGGTGATCGGCCCATTGACAGAGGGCCAGAGAAGGAATATTACTGTGGTCAACTCCCTCTATCGGCTGCAGCAGGCCATCACCAAGGTAGGAGTTTGGAAAGAATATTCCAAATGTGTTCGTTATTGTCAAGACTAGGGCAGTAGCCTCATAAACTCAACTGTCATGATCAGACGTAAAGAGAAGTGTGACAGTAGCGCTGTGACAGGGAGGACATTTTTATCCGCTCACCACAATAATCCTTTTCTTTATTTCTATTGTGATTTGATCTCAAGCTTGCTGTCCAACTTATCAGCAAATTGTTTGGAATGTTGACCTGTTTCTTTTATCATTTGACTGACTACACAAATTCAAAAATGCAATATACATGCTTATTGGTAACTGAAGATCCAGTAGCCTCCGGACAAACCATTACCATCATTTGTCTGCATTTATTCCTGCATTCTGCTTAACATCCACCGTTGTACAGATTGAATGTGGTCATACTGATGACACTAATCAAACATGTCTTACTCTACAGATTTTGCATTGCATTGTTGGACTGAACATGTTTTCCATTTTTTTACACAATGCAAATCAACCTGTCTACGGTGGCCCTGAAGTGCAAAACACAGCGGCAAATAGGAAAACACAACGAAATTAGCTTTTTACGGAAAGGGTAGGGCCTTATTGCAGATAGCAGAGGACGGACCCTTGAATGTGTGACGGGAGTGCGTGACACTTGAGAGCCCTGTATAATTTCCTGTTAAAAGACACAGTCCGACTGTCCAATCAGAAGGGTCCGTCCTCTGCTATCTGCAATAAGGCCCTACCCTTTCCGTAAGAAGTTAATTTCGTTGTGTTTTCCTATTTTCCGCTTTGTTTTCTTATTTGCGTTGTGCGTTCCTATTTCCGTTGTGTTTTTCACTTCAGGGCCATCGTACCTGTCAAAATTGCTCAAAAATGACGTTGGAATATTCGCTTTAAAAAAACAGATATTCAAAATATCTCGAATATCTAGTTGTGCATTAGAAACGGGAACAGGACAAATTAATACAACGATACATAACTACTTGTATAGGTAATTTATTTAAGTTTAAACCGATTTACCAAAATATTACCTACCCAAAAATAAGCATATTAACTAACGGCCAAGACCGCAGATCTCTCACTCACTCACTCGCTCAAAATGCCGAGTGATGATCAAGAGTTTTGTGCAAGCAATTAAAGGTTGCGATTCTTGTCCAACATGTAGCCGGCTTCATTCAGTGATTGAAACTGAAAGTTTTACAGCACCGACTTTGAACGCTCCGAGTGAGCTGTGCTGTAAACAGAACTTTTCCTTGGCATGAAACGGCAAATAATCAAACCAGTCCATGAAGCTGTTGTAGCCGATCTAGTCTATTTTATTTATGCAATATAGTCAGACAGTCACGCCTCTGCCGCTGTTGTGTTTTTGTTTTTTACATTCGAATATTAATTTTCACATTCGAATAGTTGTTTTTAACAACTATTCGAATATATATTCAAATATAGAATATTCGTTGACAGCCCTAGAGGACACACACAGCTCCCTCTGGAACAACAATCTGTGTGACTCCTTTCTAATGCATGGAGTTGTGCAGTGGACACACTAATGCGTGCCTATGAAAGGAAAAGCCTCCATTAACAATGTAATGGTGTGTCCTGGCACAGCAGCATGACGAAGATTGATAGCATGACAAAACAAATCAAATTCAGACACATTTTGTGCAGGGTGTGTTTGTATTATTTAGCAATAGCTAAATCTCTCTACTAAAAATGTTCTTTAGCTCTTAGTTCTTTAGACCACTTTCAAATCCGGCTCTCTTTTGTTCTTTCTTGTCCTGTTTTCCTTTCCTTCCTTAAAACTTGCAATTGCAGTTTATCTAAAGCCCTGACCGGGTTCCTCACAAGAGATGCGTTGATGAGCTGAGGAACAAAACGGACCCTCTTCTGATTGATCAGCCATGACCTTTGAATGCTCCTTCAGTGGACCCGGCCCATTCTGTGACTGTCAAATTCACACAAATAAAAGAAAACCATCTATTCACAGATGTTGTTATTACAATACATTCCCAGTGCTGCTCCGACTAAATGCTCTGCTATCTTTGACCCCATCAGGAGATGTTTGGACGGGCATAAATAGGGTATAATATTGTCATACAGCTTTACATTATTTTTAACACACCGCGGATCAAGTAAAAGGAAGATTAAATGCTTAAATTTAATAGAATTTTCAATTAATTACATTTTTTAATGCTGTCAATTATTGCAGTAACTGCTTTATTGCACTTTAAATGTGTGACCATTTGAGATTCCTTTTTCCCTTCCTTGGTGTAACACACTTGATGCTATGTGACTGGTTGACGCGTGAAGTTAGGGTGGAGTTAACTACGAAGCGTAAATGTTTCAGGTTTTTTTGTTGCTCCCCGGTTTTGTGTTTATTCTTTAATTAATTCCCTCAATCCCTAAATCTTTACTTTTTCTTTCTTATTCACAGATCATCTCAGGTTCGGGGTCATGTCCACCAGTCACTGCAGAGCCTTTCTCTTCTTCCTTGGAGGTACACAGCTTTTTCATTTAGAATTTCATTTTTGCATTGAATTTACTAGTTTACTTTGTAGGGTGATGGTCTACAGCAGCACATCTAGGGCTTGGTCCTAGGCTAACCCGAGCCAGACAATTGACGACTTTCAGGGGAGAACACGTGCAGTTGGCTTTTAATTTAACTCTTCGTTCGGGTGCCTCAGGAGTGAAAGCGGTTAACTAATCAGAAAGTCTTTGGTTGAATGCCCTGATGTAGAAATGTCCTGGCACAAAATGTTGGACCCCAAATTCTCACCGATGCCTGAACCATGGGTTTGAGGAAAACTATTGTTGGTGGTGGATCCAGAAAGTCGCTGAGTGAGGTCAAATGAAGTGTCTGGCATCTGGGGTTATTTGGTTATATACAATAATAATAATAATCAATCCTTTATTTGTCCCACAAATGGGAAATTTACCATTGTCTTCCTTTTTAATGTGACAAAATAGAACGATAAAAGTTTACTGGAGAAACCGTTGTAATGCAGCTCAAAACTGTAAGGTGTCGTCTGACTGAAGAAAGGGGGAGAAGTTTTGTGTATTAAATAAGACAATAGCTATTTTTAGCGATTACATTACATGTCATTTAGCTGACGCTTTTATCCAAAGCGACTTACAATAAGTGCATTCAACCATAGGGGTACAAACTCAGAAGAACAAGAAACGAGAAAGTGCAATCAAATAAGCCATTTTACAATTTGCTATAGATAAGTGGCATGTTAAGTTAAAATGTTTTTATTGTTTGAGGCCTGTGGCCCATAAGTGTTTAAATTCCTGTCACACACACAGACACAAACTCATTGTCACACGCAATGTAACCGATCAGTTATTCCATTTCAGTAGATATCTAGTGAATCAGATTTTTTGGGATACACAGTAGCTGCTGAAGGTTTCTTTGTGGATTTGCTCTTATTCTGTTTCTATTTCCATTGTGTTGTATATTTCATCAGAGATCATCTTTTGTTTGATTTAGGCTGTGCAGGTCTTGATGAGCAGTGCGGTGCAGCCTCTCCTGCAGTCAGTGAGTGACTCCATAGAGGCCATCATCATCACGTTACATCAAGAAGACTTTTCAGGGTGAGCAACAATGACTAAGAATCCCTTCTGGAAGCCAGACGTAGGGCAGGCTGCACCAATCCACAATAAACATGCCTCAGCTTTGTATTGATGCATTGATATTGTTTGTAGAGGGTTAGGAGAACCTGCTGCAAGTGAAATAGCCTTAATCAGAATATATGGTTCAAAAGTTCAAAACATATTTATAGCGGGACATTGTGTGATTTAGGCTGCCATCTATGCAGATTAGGCCTAACTAAACAGGAAAAAAATAAAAAAAATAAAACTGGGCGAGTCAACATTGCCACCCAGGTTCCAGAAATCCAAAATGCTTTAACTGGGTGTTAGTCTTTAGCCAGTTTACAGTGCAGGAACCTTTCCTGTGATCCAGGGATCATTTAAGGACCTCACCTGGAGGAACTCTGAATATTCTCTGAACTCTGAACTTCAGCTATAGTTCCTGTTCTGGGCTGGGGAAAGATTTTCCCATGTTCCCGTGTAGCTTCTGCTTCTAGCAGAGCAAAAGAAGTTTCTGGTCGTATGCACATAGCTCACAACAACTGCTCGTAAAATAGTTAGTTCCGTAAAATAATCCAGATACTAACGGCAAATACCTGTCGTAACGTGTCATCCGTGTAACGTCAGTCGATCTTGGCTCCTACATTTTTATCATAGGTACTCTTCAACTGTGAGTGACGGAATCTGAAACAAAAATCCAGAAAATCACATTGTATGATTTAAAAAAAATATATTTTGCAGTCCCCACTGTATTTAAGAGTGAGTTTTCACCGCTTCCATAAATAGTCCTGTGTTTGTATCTGAAGAAATCCTATTTGGGACTCTTGCGCTCCTGTGTGAGACTGTAGACTGCCAGCTCCTGCCTGCTCCTTGCTGTACAAACTTTACGACGGGAGGGCCTAATGATCACCTACATGGCAAAGATCAAAGCTAGTGTAGAGTTTGAATCAGTTGTACAAGTAGGCCTTAACGATGATTGTAAGCGATTGCGCTAAATGGCCTGACGAGGCCCTGGAATACCAAATTATGGTTTACCTCCTTTTTGACCTCCAGCATATGATGGTTCCATAATTTTCCAGGCAGCCTGGGATCTCTGTTTTGTTGGACTGACGTGTCAATCAAATGATCTTTCCGGTTTTCCTGACAGCCTGTGAGCAATCGGACTAATGGATGAGGCTGTGTGCACAGACTTCTCCACTTCATCTAGGCGCGTTGGTGTGTTCTAGTGGTTTGATTGGACTGTACTTGTATTTCTCTTATCTGACCACTGAAGCTCTGTAACACTACATGTCATCATTCACCCATTTACATCCATTAATATATGACTGGAGCCACCACACGGTGACACCTGCCCATCAGGAACTTACATTCACACTGCAGTCACTTTGAAGTGAGAGGGTTTTCTTTATTTGCTGTCAGTTGTCCATTCACAACATCACCAGATGTTTTTTGATGTCTGCTTTTGACACTGAGAGACTTGTACTCCTTAGTTTTGTGAAGAGACATTTGTGGAAGTTTGATCTTGACCCTCCTGCAATTCTGTACCGGGTTATCACGTGTCTTTAGTGTTATAAGCCGGCTCTAACAGGTCTATGTAGCCTTCCTCCTTGCTCATCCTGTGCTTGTACTGGTCATGATGTCCCGTTTCGACTGACGTGGAACACTACTAAAACTCATCAGCATTGAAAAGTATAATCAAGTGAAGGAGATTGTTGCAGCATGTATGATGATTTATCATGTGTTTTACACACTTTAAGGAATAACAGCCATAAGACAAGAGCATAAAACATTTCTACAATTGTTCCTTTTAAACAGAAATTGTTAGATATTCAGTATTTATATCCCCTAATAAAGTGAAGCTGTTTTAATCTGCATGTGTGTTTGTTTGTTTGTTTGATAGGCCGCTGTCCTGCCCAGGTAAGCCAGATGTTCCGTGCTCACTCTACATGAAGGAGATGCAGGGCTTCATCTCTAGAGTGATGGCTGACTACTTCAGACACTTCCAGTGTGCGGACTTCATCTATGAGAGCACTGAGGCCCTCGCTCAGAGGGCCATCGAGCTGTTCATCCGCCACACAAGCCTGCTGCGCCCGCTGGGTGAGGGCGGCAAGATGCGGCTGGCGGCTGACTTTGCCCAAGTGAGGCAGTGCACAGGATGGTGGAAACATGATTCACAAATACCAATGTCATTTACTACACTGAACTCTTTGAATACTCTGTATATGTGTGTGTGTGTGTGTGTTAGATGGAGTTGGCAGTGGCTCCACTGTGCAGAAGAGTGTCTGATTTGGGGAAACCTTACAGGATGCTCCGCTCTTTCAGGTGTGAACACGTGCATTATTTGAACACTTCTAACCGTCATTTGTCCCCTTTGATTTTGTTGAAGGAGGAGGGCTTTATCCGCATTTTTACTAGAGGAATGACCTTTTTCAGGAGCCATTTGGTATTCAAAGCTCAGATCGACTCAAATTAAACCGCATTCTCATTATGGCATATTATACTTGCTTTGTGTTTATCAAATAAGTTCAGGATCCATTCCGTAAACACAACTGCATTAAAACTAGAGCAGGGGAAACCAATTCTTCCATTGCAATCAGTTATCTACCAGCCATCAATTTTGATGACTGGTATAACATATCAGGTTATTTTCAATTGTCTTTGTTCAAATATTGTTATTAAATATAATATTGTGCCTTTTACGTTCCAGGCCGCTGCTGTTTCAGAACAGTGAGCTGATAGCCAGCAGTCCAGCTGTGGGTGACCTGATCCCCTACAGCACCCTGCTGCATTTCTTTTTCTGCAGAGCCCCGTCTGAGCTCAAGTCCCCTCACCAGGCTAGTACACACACACTCACATGTTTGTCAGTTTTGAGGACCACCATTCCCCGGGACCTCATCCCAACCTTAACTGTCGCAAGTAAATGCACCAACCTGTTTCTGGTTCTAACCTGACCTTTAAACTCAGTCTTAACCTTCCTAATGTTATTCCAGAGAGGACTGTCCCAATGTCCTCACAATGACTGTGCTTTGAAGTGTATGAGACCCCTCATGTACAAGTGTTGTCCCCTACAGCGAGCGGAGTGGTCCGTGGCCCGGTACTCCCAGTGGCTGGATGATCATCCGTCTGAGAGAGACAGGCTCATGCTCATCAGGTAACAGTGTGCCACCACATTCGGCCTACCTTCCAGGAGAGGGCTCTCTAAGGCTGTAGCCCGGGTCCGGGACCTATAACTGATTTTTATGGAGCACTTATTTTTTTAACCGGTGGAGGTATTCCAGTCTTCACTGTAATCGTTCAGCATTCCAGGAAACAGACGCAGCAATTACATGCGTTGTGAAAGAGGTTGAACGTGAATTCAGTGACCATGACGATTATTAAACGCAGCAAATGGAAAACAAGTGTATTAATAACCACAGATAAACTCGAGTAAACATTTAACATATACATACATATATATATCTCAGACATAAAAAATAATTGGGCAAAATATCTCAATGGATCAGATCAGAGTTGTCAATCATCTTTCTAAAGACGAAGAGGAGCAGTTGTAGTTTATGATTCTGCTGAACTGAATTACACTGACTGGTGTATATCTAATATTTATTCATATTGGATGGAAGAAACACATAAAACATTACTGAGGTAAACATTTGTATTGCATTACACTGCATAAGCTTTATAATGGTTTCATAAAGTAAGAGGAGGTTGGATACAGTAACAACAATTAAACAGTTTTAATGGATAGTAACACATTCCACACACACACCTACCGTTTGTCTTCCTGTTACTTAAACATCAAGAGGTCGATAAACATTGTGGTAGTCCTTGTACAGTTAAATGTACAAACATCACTATAAATTAAATTGCAAATGTTCCTGAACCTCATCTGTGTCTCCACATTAATAGTGATTAACGTCATAGTATAGTAATCAACCTTGCCCACAGATGACTAATGAAGATGAAAATGACTAACCAGCTTCTGATCTGCATCTGATATTTTTGTCATGTGTCTTAAAAAGGCAACTGTTGAAGCACTTTAAGCACTTTATTTGTTGCACTTTTTTGTTTGATAAAATGTCTGGCGGGAGACTTTAAATTATGAAAAATATTTCTCCCAAACTAATCTTGTCATTTTTTGCTGAACGTAAATCATTAAGTGTTCTTAAGAATACAAGTATTAATCATATAGGTTAGGTTTCAGTTGAGATTCAGTTGAATACCATTGTAATCAAAATGTCAATCAACCTACCTTGGTGAAATCTCAAACACAGGTCTATATTGTGGTACATAGACACTCATTGTAAGGTTTTTGGGCTGCTCAGGCCCTACAAGTCAGGATCAGAGGACCATGAATCAGAATAAGTTTTAGAAGTATTTAAGTTTTGCACATCGTTAGCATACCGCCCGAAAATCAACTAGAATGCAGGAAATAACATCTACTTAAACCAAAAATGTCCTGGGGGTGGACCTTCAGCTATGTCTTTCCTTCACAGAATGTAACCACCAACGTGGCTGTTATATTCCATGTGGCTGTTATTCATTAAGGTGTGTAAGCCAAGGGTGTCAAACTCATTTTAGGTAGGGGGCGATGGTCCGGTCGACGGGTGGGTGGGGTGGGGTTGCGCGGACGGTCCGGTCGACGGGGGTTGCTCTATCATTTTCGAGCGGGCGCTGCTGCCTGGAGGAACGCTGTCGTCGATCCCCCTGGTCTGACACCCGCGCTCACTGTGGTCAGTGCGACTCCCAGTGGACTTTTTAGGAACAACAGCTACTTTTATAGAAATGCAATTTATGTCTTTCTGTCATTTTTACACTTAGTAAAGTCATCCGGCGGGCCGGCCCCTCATAGTTCACCATACGGTTGAAATTACTGCATTGATTTAGCTAAAAATTATGTTTCTGCTCCACTGCTTTCAACGTCATTCCTCCCATATCTTGATTTTATCATCTTCAAAATGTATTAAACTAGAGGCTGACTAGCGCTTCAACACTTCATGTCATTCACCCAATCACACACTAATGACAGGGGCTATCACACCACACGCAGTTCCAACTGCCCATCAGTAACTAACATTCACGCACTGTAGTCACAGCCACAGGAGCAATGTTGGGGTGTTTTGACCAAGGACACATCGACATGCAGGTTAGTCTGGGATCCAACTGCCAATCCTCTGATAGGAGGACGACCGCTCACCCACAGTTGCCTGTTTTGAAGGCCAGTGCATTGTGGGAAGTACAACAGGAATGCAGTTCTTAGTTAATTTTTTTATCTGCCGTCCTCCATTTTGGTCTTTATTTAAAACCTTTGAGATAATACTTGCCACTTCGGCTTCCTTCTCCCAGGAAGTTGTTCCATCTTGTTCAATTCCGATGCTAGTAGTTTGATTTTTGTATCCAAAGGCTCTCTTAAGTTCTTGTGTGGTCAAAATGAGTGAATGTGCATACTGCAGTACCCCGCCATCCCATGAGCCTTTGTCCTCTGAACAAGTGGATCCATCTCTCCCATGGCAGAGCATGCAGTACAACATTTATTCAGAACAGTTTATAATCAACACCTGTGCTGTTTCTTCTGTCCTCTTCAGGGGGGCTCTGGAGGCCTATGTGCAGTCAGTGAGGGCCCGCCAGGGAAAAGAGTTTGCTCCCATCTATCCCATCATGCTCCAGCTGTTGCAAAGAGCCACCAGCAGCTCACAGGACGTCAGAATCTGAGAAGGCCGTGCCGGGGGTTCTCGGCATGAAATGCGTTAGGGGGTGTGGTGGATTAAAGCCATTGTGCGTTCGTACACGAGGCCTGTTTGTCTATTCCAGCTGAAAGGGGATCTTTCATACCATTACCCTTGAGACCCACTCCAGGACACAGGGATCTTTATAGACTTCACTCTACTTATGGGCTTGAACTAAACATTTGGGTTTGTCACGTTAACTGGATGTAAGACGGGAGGCATTTCCACTTTCTCTAAAAGTAGAGCTGCACGGGACAGAGTGGCTGCTCCTACAAATGTGTTCAAAGGACAAATCTAAAGCGTTTTGATATAGAATACATAATTGGGGCTGTCCCCATTTTGAGACTAAATGCATTGCCTGGTTCATCTTTGTTATTTAACAGGCTTCCTGATCCTCAGATGGATACATACGTGTCTTTTCTAGAATATTTAAGCTAAATAATGTATCTTACATTCAGCGTTCTCCAGTCGTAGCTGTAAAAACAGATCAGCTCGTGGTTGTCATTGATCAGTTCTGAAAATAAATTGTTTGCACCACTTTTATTTGTACAGGACTTCATTAGAAGCAAATGTATAGCTCTCGCACAGACAGTTCACAAAGCATATTCAGATGGGCCATTTCCATTGGTTGGGAGGAGGCTCCTCAATCAGGGGCTCCCATGGTTTCCACTCAGACATCTTTCTGGACAGAGCCAGCTCACACTCGGCCTGCAAACAGAACACACAATCAAGGACTACTGATACATCGAATGCAGATAGAATGCTTTCGGTTTGGGGGATTACACTTCCCAGTGGGAAAATAAAATTTTTACACTGTTAGAATGCACTACACACAGGCTTGAAATACACACCCATACTCATATTTAGAATAATATCGCTGGTAAAAACTGGTTCAATGGTATTGAACCTATAATGTGATTTATTCAGTTGCATCCTGTGGAACTCCTCTTTAATGGCTCTCACTGGTTTGTGTCCAGGGAACAAAAATGTTTAAAAGAGGCACACTTTTCTCACGGCTCTGCATATAGTAGCTTTACTAATGTTCTCTGCATCATGTGTTATAAAGGAAAATGCCGTTTGGAAAAAAAATTAATACACTACACAAAGAATCTGCTGATATGTGAGAGTATGTCCACGATGAGTGACGTTAGTTATATGAGGACGGGTGAGGTTATGTACATATTTGATGGACCGAAGAAAAACGATACCATTCATCTGGAAATGACATATCTAATTGGGGCCTCAATATTCTCTCCCGACGTGGTTAACACCCTGCGAAGTAAAAGCACTTCATCAACTGGATCGTCCAGAAAACACTTTAGTCTTCAACGTAACACAGATCATATTTGTGCATATGTGGAAACTGCGCTAAAATACGCCTGATACAGAGTACTTGAATGAATGAGGAAATGAAAGAGCGCTGTGATTGGCTGGGCTGCTGTCGGAGGGAGGAGACTGTGAAAGAAACTCTAGGTTTATTGAAGAAAACCTGCTCCCGACCAGGTTATGTTCACAGGCTCAGTTACCATGGGGACTGACCCTGAGCTTTAGTTACCTCCCTTTGTGAAACAGACAAGCCAGAGTTTCCCTCATCTCAGGGTTAACCAACTGAGTTTTCACTAAACCCGCTTCTTGAAACGGACCCCTGGAGCTCCATGCTTTCGGTTAAACAGTTGCTACTGACTAAGTAATAAGGAAGTTCCCCTTAAAGAAAAGACAAGATCCTGGTAAAGATAAACGTTATTCACGAAGCGCCTTGCTGCTAGGAAAATGCTCCAAATGCCAAAAGATAATAAGCTGATGACACTTCTGCCTGCTGACTGCATTCACCACTGTGATTCACCCAATCAGGCTGTAAACTATTATGAGATGATCATTTTGTTGAATTAATTACCAGTGGAATCAGCATTGTCTTTAGTCCCAACTAGTTTGGAGCAGACTGAAAAGCATGCACGTTACGCCTGCTCCTCAATGGGAAATGGATAAGCCTCCAAAGCAGATGGAATGCTGAACGTTATGAAAAGCAAAACAAAAACAATAAACTCCTAGGGATGGAAATTAGCTGTATCAGTGGCCTCAACGTGATCAGAGGACCAACAATCTTTAAAGATAAGAGGCACCTTATTTGCACCTATCCATTAAACAGCACATGGTACAAAGAAAGCAGTGCAACAGTGTTTACAGCTTTACGGGAGGGAAGGGGGCTGCGTACGTGGAGATGAAAATGTGTCCCTGCAATAATAGAGAAGTCTAAGTATGAGTGGTGTAAACTAGTATCAAGTGGAGAAGCGCAATAGTCAACACGGTATGATCATCCCATCTAAATTTAAACGTCATCTTACAAAGTACAGTTGTGTTTTAACTATGTGAGTGTGCATCAAGAAGATGGCTCCATTGACATACCTGAAAAATAACTTCTTCAATCTGCCCACAGTTTATCTTCTTCTCCAGCTTCTCAACATCAGCCTCCTACAAAGAGACACATATGAACACATGCTCTCTGCTCTTTGGGCATCATGAACCATGTTACCTTTAGCCTAGTAGCTCACCTGCTAACAGCTCCGCCGTCACACTAAATTGATCTGACTACATGACTTACCATTTTGACGTGGTTGAACCGCTCGCTGACCAGCTGCTCGGTGTACTTCCTGTAGGCGGCGTCCTGTGGCATGGTCTGCAGCGACGCCAGGATCTTTGAGTACAGAATCCTCAGACGCTGGGAGAAGAAGGGAGCACAAACAATGTCTACTGAGCGATGAAGTCTTTTTTGTGGCGTCATGTGATCAGGGTTTTCTACTGCGTTTATTGTCGGCTGCTCACCTCGTGTGGATTGTGGGACACTGCCAGGCCAACCAGGCCAGTCGTCTTGAAGGGATCAGAAGGAAAACAATTCATGTCCGGGTCACTTAAGCTCATCATCATAGTTTGTTACCAAATTCATTCTGACCAAAAGTGTGAATTTCCTTAGACAACGGGATTATGGACACAGCTTCAAGCTAATTTAATAATGGAACAAATCAATTAATAGGTGTTTTGTATTAGCACATATAAGAAAACTCAAATAAACTGCTCAGTCTTGGGTTGAACTTGTTTGCTGAAAATCAAAGATAATGCATAGATAAAGCTCAGGGACAGATGCGATTTTTTTATATTTTCATACTTATCCCTTTTTTGCGCTGCTGGGTGGTGGTCGCACTTTTGGGTAACACAAAGATAAACATAGCTCACAAAGTAGGAGGATTTGAAAAGCCTTACAAAAGTTTACAACGGTGCCACATTGGTAAGGAACATGGATTTTCCTTCTCATCTCGAGATCTTTCTGAATTGAGATTGCCTCCAATGATGACAAGTCTCCAGAAACCAGCATAGCGTTCTCTAAGTTTTCTGCACAATTTGACCTGCTGAACTTCTGCTTTATTTGCTTTAACTCATCGCTGAATAGAACATTCCTCCACATGTTGAGGTGCATGTGGCAGCCTGATGGCCGGGAACATAGACATATACATACATAGGGTTGCATTTATATAGGGTTGCATTTGTGCACAAATGCATTACAAATGTAGCAAGACTTAAAAGGGAAATAAACATTGGTGTAAGATGTATTGCCAGGAAGGTGTGGGTGCAAGGTTTGGTGAAACAACAAAGACATACTTGTGCTATGTATGTCGAATAACAGCAGAGTGGTTGGGCTCGATATCATAAATGGTTGCATACTGCCATTTTACAGTATTAAGTACAAACAAAATGCTTAGATATATCTAACGTAAGATCAAACTGTACACAGCCGTGTTATTTTGGATCCGGCAGCTTGACACATAGCTAATATTACCTAGCTAACCTAGCTAGCTAACGTTAATATAACGCAGCAACTCGTTTCCGGTGGAAAATGTTCAACCACGTTAGTCCACCGCGAGGCCATGTAGAGCCAACAGTAATGACTGGGAAAGCACTGCGTTTTTTACTCCACGTATAGTATCGCTAACCTAAACCATGACCTCTAGTCGTACCTTTTTAAGCAGCCCGGCCATTCTTCTCTGCGGTCAGGACGACTTCCGGCCACTGGATATGACGTCAGCGATTCTTCTGACGGGAGACGACCTGACGTATATTTACAACTGAGGGCTCCGATCATCAGTGTATGTATGCGATAGGGTGAATGATGACAAACAATAAATACAATAATTACACCTTACTGAAAAGATTCGTTATTTTTCATTCTCATTCATTCCTATAACCTCATATGTATTATGTAATATGTAATTTATTTTAAAATGGTGTTTACTTTTCTATTAAACATATTTGTTTTTTTAATATTTTTGATCCCTGTCTCCTGGAGTGGGTCTTAAAGGTAATGGTATGAAAGATCCTCTTTCAGCTGGAATAGACAAACGGGCCTCGTGTACGAACGCTTTAATCCACCACACCCCCTAACACATTTCATGCAGCGAAACCCCGGCACGGCCCGCTCAGATTCGGACGTCCTGTGAGCTGCTGGTGGCCCTTTGCAACAGCTGGAGCATGATGGGATAGATGGGAGCAAACTCCTTCCCCTGGCGGGCCCTCACTGTGACACTTTGACTTTTGACATGATATTGCATGTAATCCGGCGGGCTTCTCCTTCCCTAAAGACAATACTCGTCCTGCAGCGTTGGCCACGCCTGGGAAAACACTGCGGTTGCTTCAGCAGGCTCTCGGATATCTGCGGTCAACTCAGCTGACACTTGAATTTCAGTGCACATGTATGCTGACGTTTACGGTAATAAACATGTAACAGGAATTAAAGCTATTCAACCAATTCAAGACAAATTAATGTGTATTCAGGACCTATCCTACGACTGGGCCAGGCTGACAGTATAGCCTCATACAACAGACAACCTACAATACATTATAAGTAGCAAAATAAGTTTTACATTGGTCAGTCATAACCACAACAAGTTCTTTATGGAAGAATAATGGGGCCATGTTCAATTTAGAGAAGTCTTCTTACAATGTCGGTATTGTTGATTTGCAACCACAACAGCTGGCAGGAAAATAAATCAGACTGAGTGGATGTTGGAAGAAAAGTTTAATAAAATCAAACCAAGCAATGTCAGCTATATGCACATAAACAATATCTATAAATCTACAGTACAGTAAAAAATGAAAAGTATAAAAATATATTACAAATCTCAAGTATTTACAAAGAGCTGTCTTTGACTCTACAAGTACCTAACTGTCTAAAGTTACATTTCTGTCAGTTGAGTTACCTAAAACAGGCAACATCTTCTACATGCCCTCTGCAAACTTAGCAATCCCCTTCTTCGAGGTTGGCTTAGCAGGAAGTAACAGATGTCCTCTGGAGGTGGTTAAAAGAACATCCTACAGCAGAGAAAACAGGTTGGGATATTTCTCTCTGATGTTTTCACCAACATCCAAGAGTGTGCACCCCCCACCCTCCCTTCCTACCCACCTACCTACCTATAGATGTTGGGGTCCAGTAGCACAGCTGTGTCTGTGGGTAGTTTGGACAGATGAACCACCTGGGTCTTCTGCTGCAGTCTGTCGCTCTCATTAACCCACACGTCCGGCAGTCTGACAGAGACAAATACATATATATTTATCTCCTCACATGCAAAATATGTTTTCTTGTAAGTGGAAAGCTTGATATTCTCACAAGATTTGAAAATGAATTTGATGTTGGGTAACAATGTCATCTAACAAAACAGGTTCAGACATTGTTGTGCAACAGGGCTGTGCAACAAACTACACTTTAGGCTCTTATTTTGCTACAAAATAAACACATGACTTGATTCAGGGTTCATACACATTTTGACCAGTGGATTTCCATGACTTTTCCATGACTTCAAACAAAATTTCCATGACCAAATAAGTGTAAAAGTGTAAAAGTGTAAAAGTGTAAAATGTATAAAAAGTATAAAATGTATAAAAAGTATAAAAAGTATAAAAAGTGAGAATACCAAAGCATACAGTGTTTCCCCCACCATTCAATTCGGTCTCAAGATGTTATAATTATACAATTATCCACTATGGATGAGTATCGCTTGGGGTTTTCTTGATACCAGTGCTAAAACGATACTTATAAAACATACCGGTGCCTAAACAGTGCCATTGTGCAGGAACAAAAGATATGTAACTTGTATTGAACCCATTTATGTTGGATTGATGCTCCTTGTGTGTCTCCATGTATTGACGTCGTGATTGCAGTAGGTGCAACACAGAAGAGCTGCGTTAGGCACAAGAGCATATCGTTTATCTGCCGTGTGACAGAATGTAGTAATTGTATATTATGTTGACGCATTGAGTCATAAAATAAACACAAAACGAAAAGAATCAAATGATCTCCGGTCATTCGAGGAGGAAAATTGAGTCACGTGTCTGCCGCTTAATACGGCTCAATGACAAAGAACACCAAAGCAACGCCGCCACACCCTCTGTTTACAACTTGGAACTGCTGCTAGCAGACGGGCAGCGCACGTCGGGAAATGTCGGTGTCGCGTACAGCGCCGGAGGCCGAAGAGAGAGACGTGCTGCTCAGCATGGTGGCTTCGCTAGCAGTCGCCCTCTGATGGGGTTTCTGTAGTAGCTTCGCTAGGGGCGGCGCAGTGATGTCTGCTTCCTTTAGCACAGCTCGTTAATGCCACTCTCCCATGTTTGAAATATATCATGTTCCTCCACATTACTTACATTCTGCTCGCCCAGGGTCTTTGTTTGTCGTAACTCATGAGATGCACTTTTCCATATGTAGCCAACCATGGTTAAATCTACACTTCCCTGACAAGGTGGATGATTCCTGAGCTACCGAACTTTTCAGTTAAGGAGCGTTTACACAGCCGCGGTGCAAATTATTTGCGCTGCGAGTATCAGAGCGTCCTGCGTCTCTTTAAAACCATATGAATGATTTCAAACGTAATCTTAAATGAACCACATGACCATAGAAATATAACAAATTTCCATGACTTTTCCAAAACTTTTAGGATTTTATTTCTTTCCATGACTTTTCCAGGCCTGGAAATGACCATTTTGAAATTCCATGACTTTTCCAGGTTTTCCATGACCGTACGAACCCTGTTGATTATATGAGGGCATTCATTTATGGTCTCAGCCGGAGGATGAATATATCTGCCTTTAAGACTCAATTGTCAATTAAAACTTGTCATTTATTTGTGCCTCAGATCCTTTCAGCAGCTGGAATTGAGTTATGAACAAACAATTGAATCCATATCTAGATTATTTTGATAGGGTTAGGAGTAAATGAAGACAATGGTAAAAGAGGGAAGCACAACTTACATGTCTTCAGGTGACCAGTGCAACAAGACCTTCACTTTCCCAGAGTCCTCTTTCCTCCGGGCTATTACCTGAAAATACACAAACAGGCATGAGATACTGCTGTGCTGATGCCCAATGACATCAACTGTGTGTGTGTGCCCACCGTGCTGTGGAAGACCACACTGTGTCCGTTGCCCAGGCTCTCAATATGTGTTGCCAGGTTGAGGCAGATGGCTCGATGGCGGATAGCATCCATGGTCTGAGCATCAAAGAAGTCATGTGGCCGGGCTGGAAACAAAAAATATATTATAGTACTTAAAGAAGAAAAAAAGCTAGATTCAAAAAATAATTTAAAAAAAGATCCAACCCGCAAAAAGTCCAATGTTGTAATTTATTTTCCAACCCAAGTATGTAGCAGCAATTTCTCAAGTCCCTAAAATTAGCAAGTTCATCAAGACAGTAAAACAGATAGCCATCCCCTTTCAAAACCACGCCCCCAAAAAGATCAGCAACAACAATTACCCAAGTAATTCCTCTTCAATTACAAAAAAAAGTCACAAATTTCCATGAAGCACATGTGCCAGTGGAAAGAGTGCATTCCTTTGAAGAGCAATAAACGTCAGCCTACATCCTGTACACTAAGAAATAACAGAACAGTGTGCCTTTGAATATGTTACAGATATTTACATTATGTGTATTCATTTGAATTAAAAGCCTTATTCTCTGACAATCTAAACTCATTTATGACTGGAGCTAGTCTAGTGGCTAGAACGTCCAGCACTGTTTCCAGTCTTGATCCAAACTTTCATCTGACCATAAGGGGGGAAGCGACCCAAATACCAAAAAAGAGGAGAATATTAATACACAAGTACCTGTACAGCGAAGTTAAATTCATACCAAACATTAACGTTTTTGCCAGCAACAAGCATTTTCAATCCTGAAGCCTTTGTATTAAAGTGGTCTTATGCTGGGTAAAGCATTTCGCTGAAGGAAATTATCTAGGCTTTCATCTAGGGCTACAATCACCGCCTCTACAGTCTCTAACAGTCACGTGCGTGTTATATTTAAGGCCATAATCATTTCAGTGTTGTATTCTATTCTCAAATGTGTGTGAAATTTTCACAATTAGGGCTGTCACGATATCAAATTTTTGTTGTGCAATTATTGCACCAACATTTATTGCGATATTATTGCAATTTTCAGACCATTTTATGCCACATAATGACAATACAATATAGTAATAAAAGTAATTTCAAAGAACGTTTTATTTGTCAGGATCGGAATGTAAAAAAATATATTCTGTCTAAATAAAACAAAAAAATAATAAGTGCAAAGGACACGGAGCGTCCAATATGGAATGCCGTTTTAGTCAAAATTAAATAAATGAATAAATATTATATTCCATAGTGCAAAGCATCAGGCTTGGTGCAATGCGGTCGGGTTTGAAAAAATGTGTCCAGGGAAAGGCACGCCCCGCGGCAGCCGGGGAGGTTTAACGCGGGGCTTCAACCGCCGGCAGGGCGACGTGCTCCGCGGCTGCAGGGAGAGACAGAGCGAACGAGCAGTCCGGAAGAACCGACAGTAGTTCAGGTTGAAAGACTGGGCGGATGGTTGTTGTTTTAGGTGAGATTTTAGCTTAGTTGGGTTCACTGCTTCTTTGGGCGTCTGTGTGTGTGCCGCCCCCCACAAGGAAAAAGGACAGGCAGCGCAATCAACTCAAATGTTGGTGACGTTCATTTATATGTAAAATGAATATTGCAGCACCAAAAATGATTGCACGCAATTTCAGATAGTATGCGATATGTCATTTTATCGCATATTGCGACTTGAGTCATATTATATTACATTGACCACCAAAATCTGATCCCATCAGGAAGAGGTTTCTGAGAAATGATGACTAGACTGAAAAGCTGAATACAATGAATGTGAACATGTGTATAGGGGGTTTTGAACCTACGGAGGGAGCGCCTGTGTTTGTTCTTGAGTTTCCTCCTCTTGTTGAGGCCGGCCTTCGATGGGGACTCCTCCTTCACTTTGCCCTGATTGGACATTTTGGAGGAACTCTGGGAGCTGAAATGAGTAGGTACGTGACGGGCCAGCCCACCTTGAGAGGCAAATGTGGCGTTGCAGCCTCCCACCACACACTGCAGGAACACAGATGATTCACAGATGGCTTCATGGCGGACAGGAAGGAGAACATCTAGAGAACTGGACATTATTGTGTGAGCTCACCTTGAATGGCTTATCTCCGCTGTGGGTCAGCATGTGTCTCTGCAGCCAGCTCTGACTGGTGGACGGCGTGTTGTACACTTTACAGCCCTTCCACAGACACACAAACACCTGGGACACACACACACACACACACACACACACACACACACACACACACACACACACACACACACACACACACACACACACACACACACAGTGAGAGAAAAAGACAGGTGAGACTACCACAGAAGAACATAGACCTCACACAAAATACTGTGTCTGTGCTGGAGAGATTCAAAATAACAAGACAGAGGTGAGTGATTTTCAAATGTTAAGCCTTCAAACTAGATATTTGAAGAATGCATAATTTCTCTCAATGTCTCCTGTGAATTCATTCATTAAATCTATCAGGCAGCAGTAAATACCAAGAACATGCTGTGCAGATTGTGTTTGTTGTTTAAACACAAAGAGGAATGTTGAGAAATCATTTTTTGTTTAGAGATCCTATATGAAAAACTCTAGCTCAATAATTCAAATTTTAGTCAATAGGGCATAGGTGCACATTGAGCTGGATCAAAGTAAATACAGCCCTTTTCTCTTATCTTGGTCATCATCACAGTTATCTGATCAGCAGAAGAGCAGCCCGACTGTTGGGTAACCATCTCTAATCATGTTAATCATCATAATTAAAACCCTGGGGAGCCACGCACATGCAGTTAGTCGAGAGTGAAATACTGACCCCCCCTCTCTGCCCGTCCACATGTGTGCCTCGGATGTGTTCGGCCAGGTCGGGGCTGCTGGGAAATAGCAGCTGGCAGTGATCCCAGCAGCACGTGTAACTCAGAGACTTTCCCCCGCCTGCTGCCGAGCCACTCCCCCCCACCGCACCGTGACCGTTGAGCATGGCCGGGGTGGAGCGCCCGCTGGACGCCGTGCTCTCCATGTCCATCAGAGTGCTGCCGATACTAGAAAATACACACACACACACACACACACACACACACACACACACACAAAGAAGACATCAAAGACAATACTACAAATTCTTTACAAGATACACAGTGCAGAGCAATAAACAGCTGTATAATTACACACTGGTTTGGACTATGTGAATAGCGGCAGGAGGTGGTGTTACCAAATGAGATGGAGTTATTAAAAACACAACCAGACGACCACTATTGTTCACTTTATGAATGAAACAAATGTACTTGTTGTTTGTGCCAGTGACATTTTTTCCTTTATGTCTTTCCGCAATTCTCGCACTAGCACCCGGCAGGCCAGGCTTCCATTGGACAATATTAGCTAAACCATTTTACACTATGAATCAACAGGGAGGATAATACCGTATTTTCCGTACTATAAGGAGCACTTAAAAGCCTTTAATTTTCTCAAAAAACAACAGTACGCATTATAATCCGGAGCGCCTTATATGTGGATCAATTGGTTAATCGGTTGATCCATACTGGTTGTACACGGCGCTCAAGGCGCTCTGCCAATCATGCCAAAGCTCGGTCTACGACGGCGAGATGCTGAGCGGCGCTCAAGCGGGTGAGATATGGAGCTTAATTCAGGGCGCGTCGGAGAAACAAAAATGTCGTTCTTGCCGAGCACAGGACGGTGCCCTTTTCTTTACAGTAGCTGAACCATCTTAACGGGGACAATAAGTTATTCTAAAGGCTGGCGCATGTTTCGGTTTCTGCGTCGTTGCGTCGACGTACTCGTTTCAATTCATGGTTCTAAATGACTTGCGTGTAGTGCAGAGCAATTCACCGCCAGAACAACAGGTGGAGTAACGTGTTTCTATTGAAGACGACCTATAGAGTCACGTCTTTGTGTGTGGAAGTTGTTGGTTTGTTTATTTATTTATCATAGACTTTATTGCCCCGTGCATCGCCACTGCTGCTTTTCATCGCGGACACATTTGTTCCGTATTTTCCTCCACAACTTTGTGCACTTCAACAGACGTTTGCGGAGATCTCCCTCCATGAATCAGAGGCCATCCGCGCGTCCTTATAGTCCGCCAATGACGGCTTGTATAAGCGGTCATATTGACGCATTTCTTCTGACAAAAGTTCTTCAATCTGATCCGTTCTCTCGTAAACATTCTTCGTTTTAATAATGGCGGTATTGTGCTATGAACCTCGCAGCATCGATCGGACCCTGAAAGCCAATTTTTTATCATTCATTTCAACAATCACTAGATCAGTGGTCGATACCGGAAACTTTCACTGTTGACCTCCAAACCTCACCGGGGGGAAGATACTGTTGCAGAATGTAGATCTGTCCATTCCACCGTAGCCATATCTACGCGATTGAGTTTAGTGCTTATTCATTCATCCACTTAAATTTGCAGTGTTCATGTATTGTTTTTTTAATGAATCATGACTATAAATGTAAAACATAATTGAAGATTTAAATTCTCACATTACTATTATTATTATAATTATTTAAATCTGAGGATATCTGTAGAGTTGTTAAATGTAATCCCCAACGTTTCAAACACATTCCTGCCATTGATACAGAGGGGGTTGCAGCCAAATTCCAGAAAGCATTTGCTTTGCCAGGTGGAGTGGACATGGAGATGGTTGATATACAAAACGACAGCGCTGAAAGACATGTCAAGGGAGAGAGGTTTCCTCACCTCAGCGCATGTGCACTAAAAGCGAGTGCCTACTTCGGATCTTTACCTCTGTGAAATGAAAATCACCAAATCAAAGTACGGGAGACGCCTCACCGACTGCCTCAGACTGGCTGTCTGTGCTTTGAACCGAACTACAAGGCACTCACAGTGTTCTGTCACAGCCATTATACTGACTTAAGTCACATGACTTCTGATGGAATTGTGATGGGACACATTACACACTTACATTAGTGGCACTGACTGAGAATTTAGTCAGTGTTGTAAGATCAGTTGATAAATAAAGGTTCATCCTGCCTGCTCATTGCCAATGAAGCTATAGAGTAAGTTCAGACGGGAAGACCATCCCCTCACGCTAGACTTGTGGGCCCCTCACTCGTACTGCTTCCTCACCAGCAGCACATATTCTATACCTGCGGTCAATGTCAAAGGAGTCAGCTGGTTATTGCCCTACAAGGCAGCTGTGCTCCATAGATGCTGGGTTCCTTGTTGTTCCTATCGTTTTAAAAAGTAGGCTGGGGGCCAGAGCCTCCAGTTATCAAGCTCCTCTTTTGTGGAACCAGCTTCCTCTTTCAGTCCAGGGGGCAGATTCGGTCAGCTCTTTTAAAGTAAAACGTTCCTCTTTGATTTTGCTTATAGTTAGGGCTGGCTCAGGTTACCCCGGACCAGCCCTTAGTTAAGCTGCTATAGGCTTAGATTGACGGGGGACATCTTAGGACACACCGAGCTCCTCTCTCACGCTCTCTTTCTACAATAATTCACGTTTTAATAATGCACAAATTCAGCTTCTTTCCGGGAGATTTGTTGTGCTTTCTCCCCTAGCAGGTCTCCATAGATCGTAGTTCCTTCTGGACCCAGGTCCTGACACCTGCAGTGGCCCTGCTGACACCTGCTGCTGCCATCATCATCATTACTATTTTAGATATTAATCATATTACTGAAATCATAAATCAACATTACCCTCTCCTAGTCTTTGTGCTCTCCCTCCCCACAGGCTTCTGATAGTGGTTCGATCTGATGGTGGTTGCCCCTGCAGTGGTCCTGCTGGCTTACTACTCACAATTATTTTAATAATTTCTGTCATAGGAATTGAATGTATTATACATTGTTCATTCTGTACACATGGCATCCATTGTAGTCTGTCCATCCCGGGAGTGGGATCCCTCCTCTGACGTTCTCCCTAAGGTTTCTTCCCTTTTTTTCCCTCTTGGAAGGGTTTTTTCATTTTTTGGGCAGTTTTTCCTGTGCTGATGGTGGGTTTCGGGACAGAGGATGTCGTATGTGTACATACTGTAAAGCCCTCTGAAGCAAATTTGTAATTTGCGATTTTGGGCTATACAAAATAAAATGAATTAAAATGAATTGAATTATCAGCTGGGCGCTCCCAGCGATGAGCCCAAAGTCAAACCCTTTTCGGTAGCCTATCAACTGTTGCTGTCTCTTTTAAATGTGTTGTATCCCCGCCTCGAACGTACCACTACCGTCTCATGCGACCCTCCGCCTCCCCAGCACCATCCGCCTTCTCAGATGCAGCACCCATCTGCATCTTTAGCCAACTCCAGCAGAACCTCCAGCCACCACCACCAGTGTCTGGACTCAGCAGGGGCTTCATATATGACTGCCGCTCAGCGCAATCTCATGAGTTTATTTGTCATTGAGTTCAAGCAACAAATAAACTCATGAAGGCATCACCCAGTATAATAAATGATAATTACTAATCATTACCTTTTCTCTCCTGATTGAAATGTATTTTTTCTTGTTCATATTGTGGTTAACAAATAATTTCCTTTTTATGTTCCACTAAAATTAAGTGACTTGGTGTGTTTTTGGTCACATCAATTTGAAAGCTAGACCAAAGTGTTTGATTTCATTCTATTACAATTAGGACAAATTAAAAGTCTCATGTTTAAGTACAGTCTGGACAGTTTTTCTGTCAAAGGTAGATCTTCAAGGCAGAGGTCAGGGATCTTGGGCTTAAAAAGGTTCATGACTGCACTAGATAATTTGACCATGAAAGTAGTCACTAGTTGCAGCTAACTACTAACCACTCAGAAATCATTAATTTTTCTGTTGGTGGTTACAGTTGGTGGCAAGGGGTCATAAAACTGGAAAAGTAATATGTGTTGTGTTCAGTAGTGACCTCACAATTTTGCAGTGAGCGCCATCTTCAGCTTGTACTATTTCAGTCCACGAGGAAGACCCGCTGATTTCGATGCGTGTGAGCTCCTTACTTCCTAAGGAGGTACTCTCGTCTTTAAATAGGCCATCTCTGCGTCTTCAGCTTACATCTTTTGTTCATCTGAACATACTCACAGAATTGATGGTGATACTAAGGTAGTGGTGCAGGGAAGGCTCAATATTTGAGTTGGCAAGCAACCCTTTTGAACTGTAAATCGAAATCTTGTTGGTGGCCGTTTGACCTGAAGTTATGGTAACTGATGAAAGAGATACATGTCTGCTGTCTGTCTGCTAGTGCGAACGCATACACAAACATATGGGTGCATGTGTCATGGCGGAACTGACTTGCCCAGGAAAAAAAAATATATATCTTGGCTAGTAGAGCGAATGGATCGGCAGATGGAGGCCAGGCACCCCCCTCCCCATTGAATGGCATTTAAAAAAAAATAAAATCCAGTTTTATCGCAACTTCTGCTCAAGATTCATAAAACATTTTGGCCCACTGTAAACGTGGTGGAACTCCTTACCGAAGAGGTTTGTTTGAAGGACAGTATGATGTCATTTAAAATGGTCTTGTTGCAACGAGCAACCGAGAGTTAGCACCCATGTATTTAAACCAATGTTTGGTGACATTAATGAGTTACAATCAAACGATTGGATAGGATCATTTTGTTAGAATAACATTTGATCTGTTGCATACATCCCTAGTTGAAAGCAAGCGCCCCGTTGGAGGAAAACCCCCCAGAGGTCCTTCTCCTCGACCTGCTTGGAGGATGCTCCCGCGAACCCCCCGCGTACAGATGGAAGAAGCTGCGGGAGGAGGGACGCCTGTCGGGGGGTCACATAACCCCGTTACCACCGTAATAGAAAACGATGAACGGCTCTGAGCTGATGAAAGGGACTTGCCCTATATTCAGATCAGCATGTGGCCACATGCGGTTCTCACATTTGATCTTCGGAGAAAAAGCGCGAGATGCCACTTTATAAAGACAACCCAACGTTAATCGAAACCTTCCAGTCTACGGACATGTCTTGCGGTTGACTCGTGTTCAAAACTTTCCCCACTAATCCCGGGCGACGTTTGCTCGAACCCGTCGATGAGGTCACGGGACTTTCCTCGAAACGACGACAGTTAGTCGAGTTCGGTTTGAACCTGATGTCTAACAGTTAAATAACAGTGAACTTCGCACCGCAGCGCGCCGCTTGCTTTCTCCGGCGCTAGGCCTCTACGTGCCGCACACACTCAACAGACCTGTCCTCGGAATCCATCCGGCTGAGCGGCTCTCCGTCGGACGGGGTCAGCTCTGCGCCGGCGGATGTTTTGGTTCCGTGATCGGCTTTCTCCGCCGCCTTCGTGTGGTCGGCCGGCGCTGAGGAGAACGCGTTCTCTCCCTCTCTTTGTTCTGAGGAATCAGTGCTGCTCGCCAAACTGCCCCGTGCGGGACTTTTCTCCGGTTCGGAGACTTTACCGCTGTGTACCCCTCCGCAGGTGCCGTTCTTCTCGCTCGGTGCCGCTCTTTCTTTGCCGTCGTTATGAAAACGAGACAGCGTGTCCCCGTCCTCTTCCTCCGCCGCACCACGGCCACTGATCACGTCCATTTCTGCACGGTGCTCGTTGTTGTCGCCCGGTTCCTGTTTGGGGTCCGGCGCGGCCTGTCCCTCTTTGCCGGTTTCTGCCGTTTCCCTGGTTCCGTTTTGATCTGACGTTGACTGGGCATCTTGTTCGGTCCCGTCGCTAGTTATTTGAGCCATTTTTAAACTGTAAAGAAATTAATTTTAGCGACGTTCCCCTCGAAAGTTGACTTCGGGCTGGCGTTCTTCCTACACTCACTCTCCGCTTCAAGCCTACAACTCAGCGGGGGGTTTGGGTGACGTCAGGGCTCCAAACGGCCGAAGCTGTTTTATTAAGCAGATGTCTCACTCTGTAGTCATACATGCATCCAGCAAAAATGTGTCAATACATTTGAATAACGTCTACTCTAAACAGCGGTCCTTCAAAACAAATGTTCCCTGTGTTTTTTCGTATTCAATCCAAGACTATTCGTTTTATTTTTTACAGCTCAAAATCACAAATGACTAGGAGGGCTTTAAGTGCGTACACTTGCGACATCCCCTGTCCCGAAACCCTCTAATCGGTGCATATGGTTTACAATCTTAATATCTGGCAAGTGAATGCAGACTAACCCAGGTCCTGACACCTACCGTGGCCCTGCTGACACCTGCTGCTGCCATCATCATTGTTATTTTAGATATTAATCATATTACTGTACTCATAAACCAACATTACACTCTCCTAAAGTCTTTGTGCTCTCCCTCCCCACAGGCCTCTGTGGATGGTGGTTCTATCTGATGGTGGTTGCCCCTGCAGTGGTCCTGCTGGCTTACTACTCACAATTACTTGAATCATTTCTGTCATAGGAATTGCATGTATTATACATTGTTCATTCTGTACACATGGCATCCATTGTAGTCTGTCCATCCCGGGAGTGGGATCCCTCCTCTGATGTTCTCCCTAAGGTTTCTTCCCTTTTTTCCCTCTTGGAAGGTTTTTTTTCATTTTTTGGGGAGTTTTTCCTGTGCTGATGGTGGGTTTCGGGACAGAGGATGTCGTATGTGTACAGACTGTAAAGCCCTCTTAAGGAAATTTGTAATTTGCGATTTTGGGCTATACAAAATAGAATAAAATGAATTGAATTGAATTAACCGAATAAGCCCAAACTGTTGGGTGTAATTGTATCAATAAATTATATTCCAATCAAAATAAAATTGACAAATTAGGATAACTACTATGGAGTTAGAAGATAGCATGCTAAACGCATTTAGTTTTCCTTTCATATTCCCTACTTTGATTTTGATGGAAAATCAAATCTGGTTCAGAGGTCGGTTAAAATACAACGACAACGAGGGGCAAACTTCTTTTATTTTAACGAGGGAGTCATCAACACAAACATAGACGATCTTTGGCATTGTGGCCTCTCAACTCCACGTGTTCCGACAAACAGAAAAATGATCCAACTCCACAGTGCCAAAAAAGGCCCGTTGATATCATAGCATAGTACACATCCCTGCTGGCACCACCAGTCTTTTGAACCACTTTACAGTCCATGACTTGCTCTTGACTTAAAAATACCTCCCAGTCTGAACACTTCATCTCTGAACCCTGCAGATGGCCCTCTTGTTACATTGAAATGAAGGCAGGCCTGCTTCTGTAATGTCTGTGCTAATGTTGAGCTGCACTCTCTCAAGATATCAAGGTTTGAAGGGTGATTTGCATAGCAAGATTGGCGGTTTGTTCTCTGGCTCTCAAACAACTTTGAGCTTAACGCTCTGCGGGGGTGGGGCTTCCATTTCCATCATCACCCAGGACCTCAAGTGGGAGATGAACTGATCAGCTCCATCACCAAGAAGGCTCAGCAGAGGTTGTTCTTTTTAACCCAGTTGAAGAAATTCAACATTCAAGACAATGATGGTGCACTTCTAAAAGGCCATTATTGAGTCCATCCTCTGCTCTTCCATCACGCCGCACCATATCATTCGCTCTGCAGCCATCACCAGGTTTGATTGAATATAGCAAGGCTAACTTTCGAACTGGGGTCTATGCCTCATTTTGGTGGGTTTAGCGGCCAGTCATGTTCTGACAAAGGCTGTGGCTTCTTTAGGCTGATGAGAAACGTCTCTTATTACCATCTTTGTGAGTGATTTGAAGTCTTGCCAGGTACAGTAGAGATGGTTGCAGGCCCAAATCAAGACTGCATAAAATGTATATGTACAATCACCAATTCTCTCTTATGAGTGTGTAAAGGTACTTTTGTATGAAAACAAGTGCAACTAATTAAGACAAAGACAAAACGAGTAGCTTATTGCATATAACTGGTACAAGGGCGTAAAGCTCCGCCGACTTCATGAGGACCAGGGACCTAAACGCACGTTCTCTTCCTCCGTTTAGTCGCAATGCTTTTGACATGGCCAACTGGAATCTCACGATTTTCTTTCTCTTGTTCATTTTTTGTTTTCATGACCAGTTTTTCTCTCTTGTGTTCTCTCCGGGTTTTCCTCCGCCTGCTCTGTGGCGCCACATTCGTCACTTGCACTGAGCAGTTCTATCAAAAGCCTCCACCTGTCACGTGTGTTCGTCCGTATGTTGATTAACGAACATACGGTGGTTGAGGCGGTTAAACACCGTCATCTTAAGATGTGGCGTGTGAACTGGATGAAATGATGAGAAGTGATGGGAAGTTTGGATCATTTTACTGACTCGGCTCTTTGAATCTCGTTGATAAAATGAACAATTCTTTTTTCGAGTCATTCGTTCATTTCAACGGAGGGGGGGGGGTTACTCAACATTTTATAGACAATTCCCTGGCCTAAATATGTCCACTGCAAACACAAGTGTCGAAGTCACTTGTATGTTCTTCAGACACTGCTCCAGTAAAGATTTAGTTCTTGATAATCAAAAGCTCTTTCATAGTGCTCATTTAGAGAGTCACTGTCTGGAGGAGTGCAAGGTCAGAAAGCAAAAGCAAAATGTGCCAACCAGGCAGACACAGGCCTGATAAGGATGAGCGCTATAGACACACCAAGCACCATGCAACACTCACGCTTTGTTCGTTGTGTTTACATTAATGTTAGGAGACCACACATTGTATGTGATTGGATCTTGGACTTGGACCTGATCCTCCTCCATGTATTCATTTGAAGTAACAAGCAGACAAAATAAAAACAAATAAAAAGACATACTTTAAGAACATCAACATTTATTTCACATGATATAAAACAGATGGGCTATTAACTTTGCATATTGAACCTACAACATTAATACCTCTGATAGTTAGAATATTCACTCTTCTTTTCAGTGTGTATATAAATTATTTTATTTTGTTTTATTTTTAATTTCTTTTTACAATTTATACATCTATTTTAAGTTGATTTAATGTCTTGGAGCTCCATAATACGACTTATTGCTTGGTACATGTGCTATTCTCCAATTCCTCAACACTATGACAGATTCCAACTCAAAATATCTGTTCACGTAATCTGTGTCATGTTGTGTTTATATCTTCTAAGTAATATACAGCAAAGAGAAAAACAAGGCGACGTAACTGACAAAAGCATACTGGCAACACATTTATCAGGTTGAATGTGTTGTTAACAGACTTCAGGTCACAAAAATAATCACAATGTATGCAAAACACTTATTTCTGTCCAAAAAAGCAGAGCATGAAGTGGTACCTTGTTGTAAAAGTAAAAAATGCTTTATTTTTATATATTTATATCTGTATATCCGATGACGGACAATATCTTATGTCTCAGGTACAGAGAGAAAATATAGTGATATGGGAGCCTCTGGTCTCAAATGAACACAATTAATAAAAATCTGCGCAGGTTAAAATTCGAAAGCATCAGTGGTCACTTTAGGGTTAAAGTAATGCACTGCATGTGTGTTGAGATTTGGTGCTTACCCCATCTATGGAGAGACTATATGCAGGTGTACACTCACCTCAAAGAACTCAGTGATAGCAAATATCCCCTTCTCTGGATCATTAGAATAGTCTAAAAATTATTATGTTAACATTAATTGAATAAGGTTAGGTAAGGTATCAAAGGTTCTGCGAATGTGTGTGTGTGTGTGTGTGTGTGTGTGTCAACACATCTCTATGGAGCTATATTAATCTCAAAATAAAATCACGATTGTGAAATGCCTTGGGGAAGAAAGAAAAACACAAAACCAACATATCACTACCGAGTGTTAAATATGGGGGCGTTTTTCCTGAGCCGTTTTGGGACAGAGGACTTTGCATGTGGACAGACTGTATGGCCCTCTGGGGTTAATCAGTTTATATTGTGTGCAGTTCACAACTTCACAAAGAAGTCATCAAAGAGGCTGCAGTGGTAAACAGTTCTTTCTGACACTGCGCTGGGTGTGAAGCCTTTAAATATTTTCTTCTTTAAGAAGAACATGTGCACATGTTAACACTTAACATGTGCACAACAAACCCTGACTGATTGGAAGGAAATCATTTTTGAAAGTTTGTGATAAAGCATTGGTGTGAATCATTCCAGTAGGACATGCACACAGACTTTCTGCATCAGAAGTTCCTTTTGGACCAGGACGCAGGGGCTTTAATGGTATTTTACAATGCTTTACACTGATATTCAGACATCTGTAATAGTTGTCCGTCTTACTGTTGAAAAAGATACAGAATCAATCAAGCTCACTACCCAGGCTGTGGATCAGCTGCTATACCCGCTTCACACGTGTAGCTGTGACCTGAAGAATATTTTGGCGCTTGTCCCTGTTGAGCAAACAATCCAATCCCAGTGGAAGAAATGTAGCCCAAATACAATGAACTAATTGTTGTGGTTCTACCGCACAGGGTCTCATCCTACTTCAGCTCTACAACCAAGTGATGTTACTCATTATTAGATATCTATTTCCTCACTCACAAAGTGAGCACACAGAGACCATTTGGTATGTCTTCACTCCCATACGTTTCTCAGCTTTCCATTCATCCAGAGCAACTGCAAAGATTTTTACTTCCACCGCATGCACCTGACACTCTCAACTTAAAAAAACATTTTCCTCTGAAAGTACTCGCAGCCATTTTCAGATAAGAAAAAATATCTGGATGGGAACACGACTTTGTTAAAAAAAGTAACAAATGTGATACTGATTAATTTTCAAATTAATTAAAAGTAGCACTTAAACTCACTCCCTACCTTTTAAGTATGTTTTTATCAGTTGACACTTGATCTTCCTTTATCTACCACTTCCTTTTCAATTATATACCTGGTATGGCTTCCTGATAATACACAGACAGACACTTGTTTTGAATCCAGAAAAAGTATCCGGACTGTAAAGAAAACTTCTTGGATTGCTGAGTTTTATTTAATTGAAAACGGAGATCATGTTTTATGCATTAACCATTTCACAATCTTAATTTTATGCTGACATGTTTTGAGACAAATCTCACTCCATAGAATTGGTGTTTTGGTCAGGGTTGTATCAGTATGGAAAGATCAAACATGTGGTAAAGAAACAGTTAATTTGCCTTTAACTTCTGCCTGAAAGAGATGGCGGCCCATCTGCGAGGAGTCCGTCTGCAGGGTGGTCATCCTCTCAGTCTTGGTCTGGTTGTGGCCTAATAGTAGTAGTAATCAAAGTAGTCGTCTTGTAAAAGCTGGATGCCGTGGAGCTACATTTTGCCTTTAAGGGACGCCAGTGGATGTCGAAGCCAGCGTTGCTCACGTGTCACTGCTCACCAGGGTGAATGTCTGTGCTGCAGGGAGGAGAGGACGGGATCATTTTTACTTTCTTATCTTATTGTTGCTAAAACAGAACAACAGTATCTCAACAATAGTGATAGGAGCTAAAAGTTAAAGAGTTAAAATACAGTAAAGATCACACTCCATACACTTGTAAAGTAGAGGAGGCCACCTCGTATGAAAGTCAGGGTTGTGCTACATTGGGATACATTTATTTAAGGAGCCCAGAGAACACAACAAGAAAGGTTGGAATTTAAGAAAGTCCCAGTAGCTGGTGAAGCAAAGACTGAAGTTGAGTTTTTTATTCTGTTCTGTGGGGCAAACCTGTGGTACGATTTCTGTGGGGCAAACCTTCGATTTCTGCCTGTCCTTTGGACAAACACTGCACCAGCACACCAAGCCTGACAAACAATCAGGATGTTGCAATATAAATATAAATATATATAATATAAAGTTTTGGGAGAAAATGTATGTTTTGTCAAATAGTGGTCCAACTGCCATTGGAAGAAAATAGCAACATATAATGGAATGGACATACTGATTGTTATCCACTTAAAGAACAACTCCACCAAAACAGATTTTTCAAGAATTGTAAAAAGAAATATTAAGCATGACTTAATAATTTCTTCAAACACTTGTATGCGTCCAGTGATGGTGTTGAGGTTGTTTCTCTGGAATAGGCTGAAGTGGATGAATATATATTGCGTATTGAGTTATGTTTATAAAAACCTGTTTGCTCTTGGGGGATTAAAAGATGACTGATTCGAACTCTTTGGATAGTACTTGCTCATTATTTGGGCAACAACCAATGAGGTTGTAAGCCTACAGCCAGAGGTAAGGGTCGGATCTTTGTCTGGTTTGAGCAAAAGGGAAATGAGAGCTGTGTGTCTGTACTTCTTGATGATTTGACTCGATCGACCATTCTGTTAAACAAAGAGGATCAGTTGCCAAAAGTTCAATGCTTTTCATATCTACACATCGTAATGAATCTATAGCTCTTATGGGGCATTTTAGTTTGGGTCACAAGCACTGTTTTTTTGTGTTGGGTGTATGATTAAACTGTCAGGTCATGCGTACTGCTGAGGAGCCAAGGAAACTGCTGAGTGTGAAGTTGTTTGGACGAATGGTGCTCCAGGAAGCTACAAGCAGCAACTCCACGGGCCCATTCTGAAAAGGCAAGTTTTGAAATTTCACTGCACTAGTCTTTGAAGTGCAGAGGACTAGAATGACTTTGTATTTCATACATTATAGATAATGAATGTCTGTCTTCCCAGATTCCATTTTCATTACATGAGTTGCAGTTTCATTGTTTACCCACTGGAGGATGCTGTCCGGCCTTAGGAGCTTTGTAGTAGAATGGATTTGCAATGTTCTTCTTCTGCAGTGTCAAGAAAAGTTGATTTTATAGTCTTGTCATTGTCTGTGACTTAGTTGGTGCATACTTACCCAGTAGTAGGCCCAAGTCTGGGCCTTAACCCATTTAAGACTGTTGTTGATTTATTTTGAGCTAGATCTACGGACTTTGAGTCTAAAAATGTTAGCATCAATTTTATTAAGAGTGTGAGGTGCAAGATCAAGAAAACACTGATGTTTTGAATCTGCATTTTCCCAAGAGAAGCACTTGATATATTCAATATATTCTAATTGAACTGTCTAATTGCATTAGCTATAAATTGACTTGTACTAGCATTTCTCTTTTGGTTACAGTTTCAAAACCGCCAACTCCGCATTCTGCCACCGGAGTCCCTGCTCGCTATCCATTGCGCAATTGTCACCCTGTCACTTAGACACTCAAGGCCTCCTCATGTGTTTTCCATCCTGGTAATGAGCTGGCTGGGTGTGGACGCTCACTGTTTTGAAATCTTCACCAGAGCCTTCAAGTACCTAAAGAACTAAAAACTACATTGTTGCTGTTCGTACCTTGTAGAACCTTTTTTTTGCAGTCATTCTGATTGCTTGTTTATTTTTTTGCCTCATTTCAGATCTGCAGTTGTCTATCGCCCATCGTCGCCACTCGTCTGGATTGTTGGTTCGGCTACCAACTTGCACACGCTGACTGCTCTTCTGGATCCATATGTATAAATGTACAGTAAGGATAACTGGACTTTTGGACAATTAAAACTCCTAGCAGGGCATTAACCTTTTCCTGTCTCCTGAGTGTTTCATTTGAGTTCAGAACACAACACAGCCCTAACACTTTTCTATTATTCCAAACACTCAAAGCACTTTTATATTATGTGTCATGATTCACGCATTCACATATTGATGAAAGGAACTGCCATGCGAGGGGCTAAGTTACCTACCTTAACATGTAACGACAGTGCAGGCACAACTTTGAGAGCAATGTGGAGTTAAGTGTCATCAGCATGAACTAGCGGAGCCAGAGATTGAAAGACGACCGTGCTCTCCACTCACCTACAATACAACTTGAATATATTTCCTACAAATGACCAACAAGTAATTTTAATAATATGTGGGAACACCAATGAATAACTGTAATGTTGAATGTATAAACAGTTTGGTAATTATTCAGATAAAGAGTTTCTATGGCACAAATGGTTTTGTGGTGTACAAACACAGATTTTACAACTATGCATTCACTAAGATTCAGCCCATAACCGCATGTTTTAAGTACGTGGGCATCAAACAACAAATTATCTTTCAAAGTGGTATTCTACCCTGTATAATATATATATTTTTTGTATAAAATATTACCAAGCATGGTAGCTCCTGTCTTCAGTATGTGAGTGTATATTACTGGCTGAAGGACGACATGTAGCTTTGAGTGGCCAGAACACACCAGAACAAGAGCGATAAGTATAGTCCATTTACCATCTATTTGCACATGGGGAGGGATACGTTTTCGAGTCGATTAGAAAACACTTTGGAGGTCACATGAAGGTAGTTTTCACTTACAAGCCAACATGTTGTTGTTGTTGCTAGGTTTCTTTTTGCCTGCTGTCGGCTGGTTGGAAGAATTCAATCTCTTCTCGAGCTTCTCCTCCCTGTTGGTCTGTTGGGCTACGTCTGGTTCCTCGTCCCTTGGTTCTGGGCTCGGTGTTTCCGGCTCAGGAGTCTGGAAGCTACAATCAGCAGAATTGGTCACACTCTGGAAGGATGTGCAGAGAAATTTTAAAGGGGCTTATATTAACCCTTTGGGGGTTATAGAAAACACCAGATACTATAAAAGTGTTTTGGATTAGAATTCTGACATGTGCTTGTTTTATGGCATTTGGGTACCTCAAGCATATATTGAGGTGATTCGCGTTAGTAGCCTTCTGTCTTCCCTTGTAACCCAACACAGTGGCCTGATGTTGCTTATCTGGATATGTATACTTTTTGAGTAAGCCCCCAGCTATAATATCAATAATCACCCTGTCAATATACACTTTTTTGAGCCAGCCAAGTCTGATGCTGCATGTGACTGCCTCTCCCTCAAGCCATGTATCCACCGGGGTTACTGTTACCATGACTATTTAGCCTTTACCCCCTGACTGGATCTTCTGTTTATTTGTTTCACAACCAGCTACACAATAGTTCTGATGTGATCCTTATCCGGGTAGGGCGGCGAGCTTGGGAAAAAAACCTGATGACGAGATGATGGTCCAGACTGACACCAATCAATGTACTTGTTGTGCTAACATCATACTATGTATTCTGTAAGCATAGGACTGCGACGGTGCTACAAGAATAAACAAATTGCTACACACACACACCTGTTTTCCGTTGTGGTGTTTGTCGGCGAGCTGGTGAGATCTTGCTCTCTGCTTTCTTCATCCTCAAAAGGACGAAGGTGTAAAATTTCCACATGCTGAGGCTCTGTGCCCAGGTCAAGAATTACCACTCTCTGGCTCTCACACAGCTGAAACACAACCACTGAGTTACAAAGCGGAGAGCTGCGATGTGCTTGGATTCACATAGAGTAGTAGTAGAATTAGTACAAGGAATCTCACTCAAAGCAGACTGATTTCCCACATTAAATAGAAAGAATCGCATCAGTCATGTTAAGACTACTGATGTCTATCTTTTAGTTCAACAAGACGTCCATTGTTCTATCATATTATGCTATTTTTAACTTTAAAAGAAATAATGATAACGACAGAAATGGAAATTTAACAATGAAATACAGTTTATTTACTTCCTGACAAAAGAGTTCGGTTAGTGGATAAGTAAATAGATAAATTAAAAAATTGAAATTGGAATTGAAAATGCATTTCCTGCAGAAAATAAAAGCTGAAAAGAATTTCAAAGAATTTCAAAGAATTGCTGAAAATACATAAATTCGTAAAGTTGAAATGAATAAACAGAGTTGATGAAAAACAGAAATGAAATTGTTGAAAATACAGAGTCAAGAAAATACCATGCATGTTGAAGGCTAAAATTATTGAACTGCATAATCTACTAGTTATAATGTTAAATGGCAGAGAAGGAAGCTTAAACACATCCAAAGAAGTTAAGAGCTGAATTACAATAAACGAAAAGAAGGAAGCTAAACGATATTATTGTCAAAATAGCAGTAAAAAAGTAGTAGTAGTAGTGGTGGTAGTAGCAGAAATAACACAACAACAAGTGGTAGAGCTATTAGTAGTATTAGTAGAAAGTAACATTAGTACTGGTTTTAGTAGAAGTTGAAAGAACAGAGGTATTAGTAGGAGTAGTAATAGGTGGAGTTGTAGCAATAGCTGGAGTGGGCGTAGCAACCATTGAAATAACAGTGGTATTAAAAAAATTAGTAATAGTTGCAGCATAAGTTATAGCAGCAGTTGTAGACGTACAAGTAATAGCAATAGTAGTAGAGTTGCAGCACTGGTAGTACTAGCAGTAGAAGTGGTAGTAGTTTTAATATCAATAGCAGTAGAACTACTTACTTACTTACTACTTAGTAGTATAAATACTAGTAGTAGTTTTTGTTATAGTAGTAGGAGCAGTATTATCAGTTATGGTATTACTTCTACTAGTAGTAGTGTTTGTAGCAACATGGTATGGAGATATTTTTTATTTCCTGTAAATGCATGGTGGGATTTTTAACAATGTATGTAAATAATGAGAAGATCTTATGAGAAGCTTCAGGCGCCACACCGTTGCTTAAAGTCAATCTGGCCTCTTCCAGATGTCCCGGATTATATTCCACAAACGGAGGTACGATAGAAAGTTTCATTATGAGCTCCAACTAAAGCGCGCCAACGATAAAAGACAGTGCACTCAAAAACGAACTTAGGCAGTTGAGAAAAGGGAAAACCCCGGGATTCTATATTTTTATTTTCTATATTCTTTGTTTCTCTATTGAGAAAGATTAGGATGTGTGTTTTCTGCAGTTGCCAATACACTTTCTAAAACTGAGATCCTGTGTTGCTTTTATTGATTTGTGTTTATTCTTGAAGGGTTATAAAAGGGTTACAGGTCAAGTGTATCACTCAATGGTCTCCAACTTAAAAGTGAGGATCATACATTACCCTAGACTGGTATTTACACTTTGAAATGTCACTTTTACCATAAAACGTTCGATAGTTAGTTAAGGCCCAATCTTCAAGCATACGGTGGGTTTTAATACACGAGCCGGTGGTAAAAGGGTTACATTTTTGGCATTTGCCTGAGTATTACACACAACACTTGCAGTGCAATCACAGAAGGAGCTTGGTTAAAGCCCCCTATACTTTAGGTTTTAGTCTATGTTGGACTGTTGTCCAACATAGACACTTTGGTCTTTTTAATCTTAACAAGTTATCGCCTCTGCTCCGAAAATGGCATACCCATGATAAAAAGTATACTTTAATTATTTTTCTGTAGAATAAAGTGGAAACCCTGTGAGTGTTCTGATGTGTAACAAATAGCTTAGATGTTACTAGTGAAGAAATAAATGCATATGGCAAACAAAAACCTCAAATAAAATCACTAACAGGGTATCCAGCCGTTTTCTGGACTAATTTGCATAGGATATTTTCTAACTTGTAATCCCTGTTAAAGCTGTGTTTTGAGGACTTTCCAACAGATCAATGAGGATTGTAGCCAAGTAGCAAGACTCTACTGCTGCAAATGGTGTGACGCATTCATATATTTGTACATGAGTAAACAATATTCCTGTTGGAAGTAGAATTTTATTGGATTTTGCCATAAATTGGCTAACTTGGGATGAACAGGTTTAAGGGATTTGTGAAGAAAGTAAAGCAAAAAAATGACATCATTTTCTTCTCCTATCAATTCATTTAATGTTTAACTTTCAAATGGGAAAATGGAAAGGTGCTGTAAAAGGAAGTGATTGGATTAAGGATAGCCTATTGGTGCACCCTGGCTGTGTCTTCAGTACCTCATCATCTCTGTAGTTGGCCTCGGTCTGTGGCTCCTGCACAACCTGCAGGACCACGTCCCCATACCGCTGCATCTCCTCAAGCTCATTTTTCACCTCCTCCATCTCCTGGAGAATGAAACAGAATTTTGTCATGATCTGTCAGTCATCATTAGAAATATGCACCTTTTTTTCATGTTTGCATTTCTTTGTTAAAGACTGGTTGCCAGCAGTTTACAGCTACTCAAAAGAAATATGTGATGAACCTGAGGGGCTGGTCCTGTGTGAATCCTGCTCTGCTCCATGTGAGCCACCTTTAGCTGCTGCAGAGCTGCCTCCAGCTCCCCTGGGTCTGCACAGGCTCCCTCTGCCTGGACCTGAGTCTGCACACAGAGACAAACATGTATATGTATATGTGTGTGTGTGTGTGTGTGTGTGTGTGTGTGTGTGTGTGTGTGTGTGTGTGTGTGTGTGTGCAGTGCGTGTGTGTGACATCACCTGTTGGATAATAAAAGGGTTGTCTTTGCTGAATGAGGGCGAGCGGGATGGGTTTTCTCTCTTCTTTTCCCGGAGTGCGGAGGCCTGCTGGTTTCTCCTTATCCTCTCCAACTGCTCCTCCACACTCATTCTCGTTCTACCCATCTCTCTCTCCCCAAACCCTGTCTGATCCACTACACTCCTCGGCCGGTCCTGTACCCAACAAGGCAAGAGAATGACTCTTGACTTCATGACCATGAAAACAGAGTCGGTATAAATGGGGTTTGTTTGTATGTCTCTTAACAACTGTAGTCAAAATATGTTTGGAAGGGTGGTGGTGGCATTCGGCATAAAGAAGGTTTTGTACAGATGGATCACTAGAAACATAATCATCAGTCTTTTATTTTAAGTGTATCTTTTGAGCAGAAATATTGCATTCACTAGTTCATTTGAAATTTTGGGACATATTCAGGAATAAATTTCATCTCAAGTGTCACGGTTTGGGTTCACGTCTTGTTTTATTTTGTAGTTTCATGCCTCTGGTGCTCCTGGGTTAACTTCACTTCCTGCCTTGTCCTGTCATCCCCTGTGATTGTCTGCCGTGTCCATGATTGGTTCCACCTGTGTCCAATCACCTGCACCTTCCCAGTGTCTTCAAGCCATGTGTGTCTCTTGTCCTGAATGTCCTACCCTCAGTGTCTTGCCTATTCCTGGTTCCTGTCTGCGGTTTGCTTTTTTTGAATTTTGACTATTAAAGTCCTTTTTGTTTTCAAACTCTGTGTTGGAGTCCTGCCTCCACCTACCCTGTTTGTGACATTAAGAATGTGTTGTGTATGATGGTGCTTAAGGCAAAACCTACAGGTCTGGATTCAGGCTTCTTGGGCTTCCTTAGGGTGACATAGGAGGGAATGTTGGAGGACTCTGACGGACTCATGGGAGATTTGGTCCTGGGGAGAATGATGCCCACTGGATAGGGGGGCACTGTTGGGATTGATTTAAACAAAGATACAAAACATGTCAACAAACACAATTACAATTACATACATTACTTACAACCACAATGGAAAAGCAATATAACATATAGTATATGTTTACATATACAGATAACATGCATATTGTATCTATAAAGTACCAATCTTACAGGCCGTAAGATTGGTACTTTTCGCTGTTCAAAACCTACGCTCTTTGCTCCTGCTTCCGGTGTAAGTGAGGTACCTTCCGTATGCTAGTAAGATTTAATTTATACATACGACTAAAATGGTCTCATGGTCACTACTGAAATTACTTGTATGAATACATGTGAAACGCTTGGACATCCTGATGCAAGAGCATACATACATATAACTGAAGAATTTTAAACATTTAAACATAAACATATATATATATATATATATATATATATATATATATATATATATACACACACAACCTTTTCATATATGGTATTCGAGTATAAAGTTTAACTTGTATGAACGTAAGCATTTCATATGTATATGACACAGAAGTATATATGTATGCGTGTGTGTTTCTCTCATATGTATGCGTGTTTCATATGAGTATGTATAATGTTTATAAATAGCATAGGTTTACAGAGTATGTGCAGAATGTGTGTGAGTGTTTCAGTAGTGTGTGAGAGCATTTAAATAGTGAACGTAAGAGTGTTTTACTAGTATGTGTGAGAGTGTCTCAATAGTTATGTCCTAAACGGCCCCTCATACACATGTGTTTCCAATGATAAGCTTAGAGAAATACGTTCTGTGTCTGCCAGGATTTCACTAGCAAGGATGACACCATTAAAAAGAAGCAGGGCTATGTAGGAAGTGGTAGGGTTAAAGAGATGTCTTACTCATGAAAAATGTGTCTTCAATTCACTTAAACAGCCACACCATCAAATGAGGACGTTTAATAGATTTATTAGAAGGTAAACGTGACTAAGATGTAAGGCTTGGTAGTAATAGCTGTCAATAATGCAAATTATATACTATTATGATGTAATTATGTAGTCTAGTGTTATGGCCGATTATGGCCTTTATAGATCAAGCGTTTTAAGGCACTTTCACATTGGTTTCACTTTCAGGAGCGAAGGTTGCTGCCTGGTTGGAAGGTTGTGTTATGACCATGGAATGTGACTGGAGTGGTGGGGTTGATGCTGGGAGCGTGGAGTCATCCACTCAGGCAATGGAGTGGGAGAATTGTGGCGACAGTGATGCCTTGTGCGTGAAAATACTTGTGCTGTTTCTGTGAGGATGGAGGTGAGCATGGGAAAGATTTCAAGGGTTGCCGGACTCACTCTTTTGCACGTCTTTTTTAAGAGGGCGAGGAGCATCTTGTTTGTTTGGCAGACATAATAAATTGTTAGATAACAAACATACAATGATCTGTCATGGCTTATTATTGTAAAGTAATTAAGAGTTGGTGGAGCCTAAAAAGATATTACACTCAATATTGGGCTGTTGTACTAAATACCAGCAGCATAAACATTCAGCAGTGACTGAGTGCACCAGCATCAGCTGGACATAAGTTTAGAGCTACCTGCGGAAGCTGAGGTGTCCTTACTCTCAGCAGAGCGCTCCATTTTGTTCTTGTCCTCGCTGTTGGCCTCGTCTCCCTCCTCCTTCACCGTGGTCAGCTCAGGTTCACTCTTATACAGCCGGTAGTCTGGCGCTTGCTGCGAGGAAGAGATTGCTCTTGGTCAGAATACACACACAGACTTGTGTACCAGGGGTTGTCACGCTGTTGATGAGGATCATTAGGGCCCCAGCACAGACTGTCGTTCGGCAGATGGTTGTTGAAATTTAATAGACTATAAGTACCCTTTTAATTTGAGGTGTAGTGCGGTTGATAATCTTTGGGGTGCCTCATTTGTTGAAAATACATTTGGCACTAGAGTCGAAGCCCCACCTTTTGGGTTTGGTCAGGACCTTCACAATGTAAAGGTAGCAACCTCTTGAGTTTCCATAGAACGACCTTGCCACAGAATGGAAGCCATTTCGCGCTCCAAGTCCCAATGGACCGATGTCCGGTGTCTTAACATTATCCAATCTGCCTGCCGGTGAATCTGACAGGCTAAACCGTGCGAGGGCCCAGTTCTCAGCAAATTGAATATCTTATTAGTGTTGATGGGTGAAAACCTTTTCTGAATCAGAGACAGTGCTTCATGAACCATAGAGGCAAGCGTAGAGACCTTTCTCAGCCAAAACGGTAAAAATCTCAAATCTATTGGGAGTTTATGACAGATTAGGACCCACCGTAAGGAGAGTGTTTCTAGAGAAACACCTATGAGATGATTTTACAAGAGAAATATGATATTTCAAGAAAAATGTATAATTTTATAACAATTTGTATTTATAGGAAAAAATTATATATTCATATTTTATATTATTACGACTACAAACTCATAGTTTTGAATAGAAAGGTTATACTACAGCTATAAAATAGCATGACCTTTTCTCAAAATCCCACATATCGTGACCAACATATATTACAATAGTACAGACATAAAGTGCAGTTCTATGGTGTGATGAAGTCACAATGTTAGTAAATGTAAATATCTACAAATAAAAGGCAAGACACACTCAAAACACCAGTGTATACCAACACAATAAAACATTCAATTCCACAAATGAGTCCACGTAGGGGTCAGATCGGGTCTGATCATCACAGTGATGGCTGAATGGCTTGAAGGGGAAAAAGGTAAAACAACACTGAAATGAATTGTATATGTCCTTTTTGAGGAATACATCTCCTCTGTGTAAATCAACTCAGCCTTAATGGTGGCTTTGAGATGTGAAAATGATATACATGGAGATACAATGGTTGAACTCACAGAATACTTGGTGTGCTTATGGATGGCGGCCCCACATGTGGGCCGAGGGAGCAGACATGCTGGTTAAAAAAGTTCTCAGTGGTTCTTACGCTGTTCACTCCGTTCCTGGCGCTGGCCTTGCGATCTTCAGAGCGGTGCATGTGGGGGGGTAGGCGACCGCCAGGATGTGAGTAGTGGGGGTGTGTGTGTGTGGGGCGCACTGATGAGTTGTAGTACTGAGGGAGAGGAGGGCGGGGGGGCAAAGTGTCGCCCTCCTTGAGGGGGCTCAGTGGCAGCACCATCACTGCCTGTTGACAGTTAACACAGCTGGGCTCATTCTACGGAAATCTCATTGTGGACTGTACTTATGCTGATGAGTTGGGATCAGAACAGCTGCTGGAAATGATACCAGCTAAAACAATGATCTTAACTATGCTCGGTAGCTTTGAAGGGCGCTGCCGAGAGTAATCTCTGCATGGCTGTGGCCTTCCCAAACAGAAACAAAAGAACCAGCATCAAATTTGCACGAATAACGCAAAACAAGAATTGTCTTTGTGTTCAGCCTGACCACACCCGCAGTTGGCTTCAGTAAAGCAAAGCACATGGCTGTTACCTCACGTCAATACGTCAATGGCACTGATCATGAATTTGTTCGCATCTAGGAACAAAAATGAAAAGTACCGCATTACCAACTGTATTTAGCAAAAAGCACAACTAGTATTTAACTGGCTACTGCCTTCATGCTGACCCTTGAGCAAACAGACTGCCAGTAGGTGTCCCACAGACACTTTATGATGTTGGTTGCTTACCCTACAAAAATCATTCTGTCTACAAAATTATGTTTAAGACATTAAACAGACAATTAGAGCAGACAAAAGGGAAACCTGAGAGTGTGGTGTACTGTGCTGTGTGTGTGGAGCGCTGAACTCACCTCATCCTTCTGTCGACTGGGGAGCGCTTTGGAACCAGGTAAAGCTGCTGGATAATGGAAAATGGAAAGAATAACTGTAATAATATTTTCTTTAATAATAAAACACATTTGTGGTCACATGTAAATAATCAGATAAATATTAAATCTGAAAATGGGAACAATCTGTAGGATCTGGGTAGATTTATTGCCAGAAATGGAATGTAATATTCATAACTATGTTTCTTTTGAGCATAACCACCTGAAACTATTGTTTTAGTTGTTGCATTTTCAGCTTAGCTTAGATGATCCATTTCTAGGTAAGTGTCATATTTCTACAGTAGCTGAGAAGGGACAAACCAAGACTGCAGAGAGACTTTCATGTTGTTACCTGAAGGCAACCGTAGTTTTCTACACACTAGGGAACGCAGGTGGTTAAGTCAGATGCAATCTGCCACCGCGGAACTAGATACCACTAAATACTACACACAGGTTCTGTAAGTGCTGGGGACTCTCACTGCTGTCTGTGCTCCGCTGAGGCTTATTTTTGGCCAGAGCCTCCATCACATCCTGGATCCTCCACAGCTCCTTTTGGATCTGGATGTGTCGCTGACTAGGAGGTTCTGTCTGAGGAGACATACAAATGCTGTTACATCCTGGATCACCCCCCAAAAGGCTGTTTGGCTGTGTGTTTGTGTTACCTGTGGGCTGCCCAGGGCTTCCAGCTGCTCCAGCAGGTTGGATTTAGCCATAGTAACGTCTGCCCTCATCTTGTCGTAATCCCTCCAGGACCGCTCCAACTCCTGGAATCAGCCAGCCAACAGGAGGGTTATGGGACATATCGGTCTTTAGGTATTTCTGTGTGTGTGTGTGTTTGGGCATTGCCCAAGGTATTCTTGTGTTTGGCTCAATGCTTAATATAATAAAAAGTTGTTTGTGCACAAACACAGTTCTCTCCATGGAGTAAGCACCTTGGTCGTCCTTCAATCAGAGGATTGGTGGTGTGATAGCACAGGTGTCCTTGTGTATGCTATCTCATCCCATCAGTTTGAATGCGTGAATGATGAGATGTATTGTTAGAGGGCTTTGATTGGTCAGAAGACTCTCTGATCCCTCTCTTCATCTCTCCTCCCTCGCCCCATGTTTCCTATGTCTCTCCTACAGCTCTCCTCCTTCTTTCCTTGCCATTTCCTCCATCCCTCTCCATCTCTCATTCCCCTCTCCTCCATCTTTCCCCCTCTCTCCTTCCTCTCCCCGTCTTTCCTCCATCACTTTTCCCACTCTACTAGCGCTTTCCTCCATCTCTCCTCCCCCTCTCTTTCCACTCTTTTCCTACTCTCCTTCCGCTCTCCTTTGTCTCTCCTCCCACTCTCCTAAGTCTCTATTTCAAAACATATACAAAACATATACTGCCATGTCATGCATAATCCCACTGATGTTGTGTTTCCCATCTATTCCTTCTGCAGAATTTTGCGTGGTGCAGATAGTCAGCCACACAAACAAACAAACATGATATGCCTCAGGTCAGGTCTCTGCATGAAGATGATCTCTAGCAGCTCCAAACATTTGAAACTACGACCATACAGGACTGATTTCCTACTCTCAATAGTGGATGAACAAATACAAGCCCAGCTGTTTCTGGGGTCGCACAAATTCTATTCAAGCATTTTTGTGCACACTGGTAAAGTAGCAGTATGGTATTTGGTTTGTATTGGACAAAACTGCAGTGATATGTGTCTTGGCAGTGCTCACAGTGGTGACTCTGGACAGCTCTCTGCAGGTGCTGAGTAGGCCGCCCTGCAGCACGTCTCTCTGCTGGACCAGGCTCTTTGTGGCTGCAGCGTTGGAGCCACTCTGTTCACTCAGCTCCTGACTGGCCGACAGCAGGGCCGTCTCAAGAGTGTGCTGCCACACAACAAACACACACACACACAAAAAATCCTTATTGTACACACATGTCTACACAAAGACACGACAATTAATACACACATGAATACATGAGTGTACCTTCTCTCTGTGTAGCTGCTGCAATTTCTCCTCCTGCATCCTTGCTGCCTTGTCCTGCTCACACAGTCTGCTGAGCTTGGTCTGAAACAAACACACACATGAACTAAAGTTCCTCTGAATCTTACCATCCATTTCACTGAAAATGGGGCTGCTCTTACGTCTATGTTAGGCTCCTCGGTATGCTGGATGAAAGAGCCATCTTTGAAGTCGTCTGGACTAGTCTGAGTTGAGGAGGCAGAGATGTACGGGACAACAAAATATCTGTTAGGAGAGCTGAGAGTTTGTCTCTGAAATGCTATCAGGCAGTTTGGGTAAAACAATGACCTGCCATCTCTTTTTTCTTTTAATTTACCCTAAATAATAGAGGATGCCGACTTATCCAACATCATGACAAATTTTTCTGATAAAATACCACAATGTCATGGGAATGATATAAATAAATAGTAATCTGTTCTCAAATGGTATAGATTTTAGAGTTAACTATACACATGCTTTGGACTGTTCATTCCAGAAGAGGAAAGTGAGTGCATATTCACTAACCCTGTTTAATTTGAAGGTGATTACCAGGGATATTGTGGCTGAATATTTTAATACAGTGACAGAGGGATGGAGGGAGGTGTAACCTGAGAGGACAAATTAATCCCCAAACTGAATTTATACAGTATATGAATCAAATGCATAAGTGTAATTTTTCCTCTTTTTACCAGATGGTCTCCTCTGCTGTGACAGTTTCAGTCTGATGTACTCACTAAAATCTCAATGTCCTCTGACAAATATAGGATGACGGAACACGTAGATCGGTCCTTCTACATTCCCTTCACAGAGCAGGCAGGACATTTAAAACTCGCAGCGTTGTATGTTGCGGAAAAAACAATTAAATGTATTTAACTGTTCCAATAATGAACATGGGGCTCTGCTTTATTTCCTAATACTTTAGGATTTTCTCTTGCATAGTGTGTTAATGATTAAAAGTAATTTGGAGTAATAGTAACCTCAGTTCCGTAATGTCCACATATTGTGAGACCTTAGGGTTGAGGTTCCTTATTATGTTCTGATCCAGGAAAAAGGGCTGAAACGATGGTAGGCAAGATGGGCCCTTTAAAAGCACTGTCCTAAGACTATTAACGCCAGTGAATGTTATGAAGAAAAGTCTTACTATCAAAGCAGTTTCAAGGTATCTTGAATGCTTCAATGAACAACCTTTTGATGGCATAGTTCGGTAAAATTAGAAATCCAACTTTCTTTCCAAGAGTAAGATGAGAGGTACTAGGTTTAAAGTGTGCGAGTACGAGTTATGTGATTATATTTTATAGACAGAAGATTTGAGGGAGCACAAATCCATTTTGAGGGGGTACAGAAGGGTGAGTGTAACAGATGATTTAGGCATTTGAACAGCAATAGGCTAAAAATTGAGCGCATTCATCACATTTTTGAGCAAATTATTTTTTTATCAAGCAATTTTGGAATCATTTTGAGAGGCAAATTAATTTGGTATCAATACAGTGTCATTGGCTAGACTAGAGCATGGCATATGAGCTTCTTGTTAGTCTAACACACTGGATGTAGACTGTGGGTATCAGTATTTCAAATGGCTTTCTCCTCCCTTTCTGAGCTCTATTCTACTAGTGCACTGTCACTACCAACTGCTCGATCGGTTTAAAGAAATACAAACCACGATCAAACCAAGGAGACGGTTCGGCTAGGCTCGACCATGCATAGGGAATGCAAATAAATATTTATGTAAATCCCTAAATGTTCACATGGTCATGTTCGGTATAGAGATGTACTATCTTTAAATGCTGACTTTTGCACCTGCAGACATTATCTTTTAAAAAACACCCTGACATCTACAGGTGGGTTGCAGGGCTTTCAGCTTGATAGGCTAACAAATGAGGGAAGCAAGAAGCGATCGGGTCTATGATCAGGGTTACATGTTCAAATGGCTCCTTGGAATCCTACGGACTGACTGGCAGACTGAGTAGGTATCGGTTGTTGTCCATTTACTCCCACAGTACCACTAGTGTGTCTTTAATCACACACAATCAATAGTTGAGTAAATGTGGGCAGCATCCCGAAGGTTCAGTCCTATTGTACCTTTCCACAGACTAGCATTACTCACTGTTTCTGGCATCCAGCTGGGGGACACTGTTCACACGCTCAGTGCAGTGGTACAAAATGTTTCGGTGCTAATGCTAAGCTACCATACCCAGAACCTCTCTCTTGGAAAAAAAGCAAATGTGTATTTATGAGAATGTGGATCTGTAATTTGGTCATTGTAACATAGCACACATTTCCAAAGTGATGACAACAATGAAATGGAGAGGAGGAAACGGTAATACCACAAGCCATGCTTGCTTCATGTCACTTCACACAGAAAGCAATTACATAAAATGTAGTGAACTTCATACACAGTGCAGTAATGCTGTGATGACGTCCAGAATGTTTACTGGTTAACAACTGCTTCATGAACAGGCTGCCTTCATCCAAAGTGGGGAAACAAGTGGTTGAATGAGAAGGGAAAGGCGTGGAAACACTGGGATACCAGGGCAAAGGTCTGGTTCAAGTCTGCTCCACACCACAGATTCAAATGAAATCCTTTAAGGGGAAACTAACCCCAACATTTTGGAAATGTACTTAATGTTCATCAAAAACTACAAAAACTCAAATTCTGTGTTTTCAAGGTTAATGTAAAAATACAAAATGATTTGGATGATCTGCATCACTGCCATGGTGCTTTGACCAAACAACAGGGACATACAGTATGTCAAAAGACAAATGGACTGCCTGGACTCTGACTTGAAACGGAAACCTGCCAAGGACCTTACTTGCTGATAGAGTTGCGGCCTCGGCGCCGAGTTCTCGATCATAGTGTGAATCGTGAAGATTAGAGGCTCATTGTCCTTCGTCTAGCGGAGCGTTGAGAAGAAAGAGGTTACAATGGTGTAACTACACAGCTGTACATGTTGGTTGAAGGACTCATGTTTCCTATCCAGGAGCTGGAGAGGGACGATTGGTATCCTCATTAGGATAAAACCTCTGTAAGGACAGCTCACTCTCACTGATCAGATGAGAGTGAGCTGTCCTTTTAACATAATCTATGGTTTTAACATAATCTGTGTCAAGGGGCCATTCTTGTGTTTTTACATAACCCCATTATACAAATACCTATACTTTAAATTAGGGATGAGCATTTCCAAAAATATAATTGAAAGTTGGGACGGTATTTATTTAAGGAGAAGGTTTGGCGCATTATAAATTATGATTTAAAGTAAACAGGTCAAGAGTAATTGATTGTTCCAGTACCTGTGAAGTAAAAGAAATTAGAATTAAAGAAATGGACTGAACTTTGTCTTCCGTTGTGAAAATCAAATCGAGTACTATCAAAACTGCTAGTTACTCCCTCTTCTACAACCTGTCCAAGGCTGGTCGCTCCTTAAAGACGAGAGCTTCTGAGAGCCCAGCAGTGGTATTTGGATGACTCCAATCAGCAGCTTTATCTGCAATTATACCTTCCCTGTTCTGAAGATAAATGAACTGAGGGTGATGAGGCTTGTAACCTATTTCAAGTCTGAAACATCATTTTCATGGAACACTAAACATGAATGACAATAAAGCCTTCTTCAAGTCAGCTCATTTACCAAAGCAAAAAATGGTAATCGTTGAAAATAGTAGTAAAATAATAATATGTAATAAGTATGGTCCTCTATCTCAGTGGTTCTAGGCCAGACCAGTAAAATCATGGGCAACGGTCCGGTCGACTCACACGGTGCAACCCCCAGGGGACTGATTAGGGATAGCAGCTATTTAAAATATACCAGTAGGCCAACTCTAATGGTAATTAGATATTATCCTGTGGGCCAAAGATAATCCCCCTCCCCAACTAGGATGGTTTGACCCAACCTGGCTTACGCCAACTGTCAAACCTGTAAAAACAACAACTTCTGACAAGTGTAGCAACTTTTTCTGGTGTAATTGGAGACTATGTGTGACTGTGTCAGGATCCCAACAGCTTCACTCACTCCTCCCACTCGTTCACACTCCCCTGAATTCTAATCACCATCACCTGCACCTCATCAGTTCACCTCCCTTTATATTTGACTCTTCTTCACACACTCAGTGTCTGGTCCGGTCTCTACAGGACACCACAGACTCCAAAGCTACGTTCCTGAATCCCTACCGCCGGATCCAAGGGACTCTCCTCCAGTCCGTAACCTGGAACTCGGGCTACCCTCCAGTTAACGTTCCATCATCTGCCTGCCTATTCATCGTATCTCTGTCTGGTTCCGTTATCGTGTCAATAAACTATTGTACTTACCTCACGGCTGTCTCCTGTCCCCCATTCGTGACAGACTGACATATACAACAAGTGCTGCCGTGAGCCCCCCCCTGCCTTCATCCCAAAGCACGCAGGGGTGGCCCACTCCTTGCGCAGCAGTCCAACTCAGCTACAGTCAGAGCAAACAGACCCCTCCGTCCAGACTGGAAATTAATCGCTCATGCCCAGACCTGCGACCCACTGACAACGGGTGTACGACCCACTTTTGGGTCACAACCCACCAGTAGAGAAAGACTGCTCAATCTTATCTAGATTAGCTAAATCATTATCATAGATCCTAATTTATAGATTAGCTAAATCATTGACAGGCCTTAACACAACACAGTCATTTGTTGGTAAATGATTCCGAGTAGACCAAAGAAGAAATTACAGAAAAACAATCAAAAAGACAGAAAGAAAATCCTGAAACAAAGATTGTCACAAATCTACATGCATGTAAGTTTTCTATAACCAATGTTAAACAACAAATATTAGTTTCCACTTGGAAACGTTTAATATTTTGGCCTTTGTAGAGATGGAGACGAAAAGGAGTAAATTCACAAGCTCTCACCTGGCTGTCCAGGTAAACAAGGTTCCTTTGGAGATGATGAGAAAGAACATCAGTCTGCAGTCGCAACAAATAAAATAAGAGAGGAAGCAGTTAAGGTGACAGGAGAGGATGGAACAAAGGAGTCGATGGGACATTTCAAAAGGAAGAAAAAGATCATAGGCAGAGGATAAGAAAAAATGAGAACAAACTTAAGCAACATGTCTTAGTTGCCTTACCTTAACTATGGTTAATTTGTCATAACAGTGATATCTTCTAAACTCTAAACAAACTGTAGTGTCCACGCATTGATAATGTAGAAATAAAGGGTTAGTATTGAATGCTACAAACTGTGACTGAATTTGAAGTCAGAATCAATATCAGTCTACAATCTGGTGATAGCAGGGTCACACGAGGATGTTACATAAGATGGCAAAAAAAGAATTGCCTCAGCAAGCTCAGCTGTGGCTGACCACCATGAATTAAGAAAACCAGTGTAAGATCATGACTTTCATCATCATTGAAAAGATTCTGTGCTCCTGATATGGTATTTTGTTCATAGCAGTACACGGAGGGCCGGCCATTCTTCAGTAGATATTTAGCGCCAATAAAAGTCCAGAACTAATGTGAATATACAGTAAAGCAAAAAAAGTCAGTTTGCTTCTATAATTTGAGATAATAGATGACTTTACAGTAATGAAGCCTTTAGAGAATGAAAACAATATTGAAAATGCTCCAGAGATATATTACATTGGCTAGCTTTTGTCAAAGGCATATGGTTAAGCCGTCAACAGTGTATATTCTGCTGCATACACAATTATGAAATGAAATTTCTCGCATACAGTCCAACCCACATGGCAGCACTGCAAGACTGTATACCAGAAAAACTGTATACCTACTGTACATGCATTATGAATGACCTTACTGCAAATATACTATCATAAAACGCACCATGCTGTTGCAACAAAGAACCAAATTACACCACAGAACACTCATAATGTACATACGGCAGCTCCTATTCAAATGTATAACAACTGATTAACATTAACTCCAAATCACATTCCATAGCAATTCTTCTGAAAGAAGACCCAGAAGTATCCGTCTTCTGGTAAACATGACTGACAAAACCACATCCTGCGCCAATATCGCAGATACATGTCAAGCTATTTCAATGGAGAAGTTTAAACTTCATCCTGCTCATGAAATTGGTTTTGAGTTTGTACAAATCTCTTGCCAATCCATCCAGCATTTTTCAGTCTGGACCATTTGGTCCGACCATTTGGCTTTAATTACCAACACAAAAAGAAATAGCTTGAGTCGCAGTGAGTTGACAGTCACAGAATCTCTCAGAACACACAGAAAGCAATTTCGTTTGGAGATAACAAACAGTCTCATGCAAGGAACCTCCCCTTGTGAATACACAGAAACACACAGAATAAGGTTTTTTGACTGCCTGGTTAAGAAAGCACCAATGTGTACATGCACACACGTTGTGTACAGACTCAGTGCTGACCTTAGCGTTGGGCCCCTCCAAACCCAGAGCCATTAGCTGAGCTACTGTGTGTTCCCGGAGACTGGTGAGCTCCGCCTGCTGGCGGCGGAGCTTGATCAGGAGCAGAGTCAGCTCCTCGGGCTGCACACAGCAAAATACAGAGGAGAGAGGAAGAGCTGCCACACTGCCGACATCAACAACACCGTCCACTGAAGAACTAATGCCACTCATTAATTGTCCAGTCAAAACAATTCAAACCATTTAAACCCTTTATTTTCCATCTGGAGCCACAAGTATTTTACACTGATGACAATGTTGCTTCTGTTCAAGTGCTACTGCAGACAATACAGAAATTTCTGCTGTTCATTTCGTTAGCTTATTTTTTGGGATTTGGCATTGCATCTATGCAGGGTGGTGTCAAAGTTGTAGCTTAGGATGCAACATAAAAGGAGGCTTGGGCCTGACAGACATAAATATGAGGCTCGTTTTAAAATATTCATGACAGATATCTGTGTAGCTGGTACATTCTTAGCCATTGGGAACTGAAAAAATTCTCTCTGGCTTCATTTGACACATTATATGTTTCATTTTATTCATGCGTGATATTACAAATAGTGATAGTTAATTTAGGCTGCATTTATCAACCTCTTCATATAAACAATGACTCAAATTACTTTGTGTAATGTGAGAAGAACCACTCAGAAGCAGAACCACCGCCCAACAGAGCGTTCCAGCCTCTTTGCTTTGGTTTCACGTTGGTCTCACAACTCTCATGTGGAGCTTCCAGCTAAAGAGCAGCGAGCTCCCTGAGGAGATGGTAAAGATGGAAAGAAAACTAGAGGGGAAGAGTGAATAATTGACGTGTTTGCCTGGTAGCCAAAACATGACTTCAAATGGATGATAATGTTGTTGTGGCTTTAAGGGAAAAGATTACACTGAAGAAAACAATACCGCTAGAATCTTAACCGTAACATATTTGAAGGATGGAGGCATACTGTCTCATTTAAAAGCCTTCCTACGTTTGAAATGAGGCTAAGAGCTGGAAAATTAACTGCTTATGAGAGAATTTAAAATAAAATGTCAACTTGAGAGAAAATGTTCTTGGGAATGGGGCAGCCTTTCAATGACCTTGTAAATTTGCTGCTGGCCACTATCGTCTACCTCAGATGTTGCTGTCACTTTGAACAATAGTAGCTGCGTATGCCAGTTCAGTTAAAGATGTTTGCACAGACACATTTCTGCAGACACAAATTCCAACACATTTCTAACCCACACACACTTATCTTCATCATTACTCAGGACAGTGAAATAAAAGAACACAACCCTCTGGGACTAGGAAGTCTTTCTCATCAAACTGCCAAGGCACAATCACATTATTCACAGCCTTCTTCAGACAGAAACATCAGTCCTAGTCGTTGATTGTCGTTGCTTCAATTTAACTGCAAAGAGTATTTATTTTGTGTGTATGTGTTATCATTAATAGACAATGACAGTGTCAGTAAATACATTGGTCACGCTGAGACAAAGGGAGCAAAAAGAAAAAAAGAGCAATGAGAGGCTGCTGAGAAAAAAAAAAACTACCGTAACTGATGGGTGTGTGAGTGAGAGTGTTTAAAGGTCAGTGATTGGTGGCTGGGCCCGTTTTCCATTTGTGAAAACAATACTAACAATTCTTTTCAGTCTATCAGAGTTTATTGAAATCATGGAGAGTCGATCTCATAGATGGAGTGGGAGAGAGCAGAATAACACTCACCGTCTTGCCTTGCAGGGACTGTGGGGTGATGGACTGTGGAGGGACTGGGAGGGATCGTCTGTCAGGTTGGTAGCCGTACTGTGGGGGAGGGGGGTGGGACTGGGGGGGATATAACAGGCCAAGATTATTAAACTAATTATAATAGTAATACAAACGATAACAAATGAATGGCATGTGTAATAATGACTGTCAGTAATGGATGATTTGTAGTTAATTAGGTCATTTAAACATTCGCACCCCCTTGAAGTTAATGTATCCACACACTGAGAGAAACATCTCACTGAGAGAAGCATCAAAAGAGCAATTCATTCAAATGAGAAGGTAAAAATAGGAAGCAGTCAGCCATAAAATCATGCTGTTATCTAATGGTCAACATCTGCTCTCTTTGTCAGCAAACACAGAGCAATGATTGGATTTAGAACATTGTTACACTTAAAAAGGCAAACGTTAAATGAACATCTGCCATTTGACCGTGTATTCATTTTAACAGCTGTAACAAACTGTTCAACAAAAGTCAATGCACTGGCAACAGTTCCTTGGCTCTAAACACTCATATTGCATGGCGATTAAATAATGAATGGACTGTATTAATATGTGTTTTCTGGACTGTTGATCCTCAAAGACGTCTTCATTGACCCATTCACACACTGACGACAGAACTACCAAACACAGTGACACCAGCCCATCAGTCACTAGCATTCATTCATCATATAGAAATTCTGTGTTTAGGGTCCTGCCCAAGGACACATGGACACAATTGGAGCCGGATATCAAAGCAGCTGTTTAGTATTATGTACCACTGAACCACAATATGAAGTGAACTGATGAGGGCCTTCAAGTTCCTCCTAAATTTTTACCGTATCACAATATTTTTACAGTGAATTACTGTTTATTCTCATTTATGACGCATGACTCTTTACTCTGTGGCCGCATATTAAACCACCCTCTGTGGGTTACTATAAGGCAGTGGTGTAGTCTACGTCATACGCAAGTATACGTAGGAAAAGCCAAGGATTTCCGTATACGCACTAACAAACAACTAACAAAACGTAACAACAACGTTGTGACAGAACGTTCTAACTGTCATTCATTAATTCAGCCAGTCTGTGTTGTGAAGCACTGACATTTGGATCGTTGGGGCTTCCGTGCCCTCGATCTGACGCAACATCGTTAAGGCTGGCGCATTCTTCTGCGTCTGCGTTGTTGCGTCGACGCACTGGTTTCAAATCATGGTTCTAAAGTCTTGCGTGTGTTGCAGAGCAATTCACCGCCAGAACAACAGGCGGAGTAACGTGTTTTGTTGAAGACGACCTAGAGAGTCACTTATTTATTTATTTGTTTATTTATTTATCATAGACTTTATTGCCCCGTGCATCGCCACTGCTGCTTTTCAAAATGTGAGGCTCCGTAAAGGATGTAGTTAGCGGACCAATCGCAGCCTATGCGCTGCGGGAGGCAACGCAAGCCTAGAAAAATGGCTCGACACACGCAAGGACGCAAGGAGGTGTGAAAAGGCACGCAAGGGACACGCAAGGGGATCTTGCGTCTGCGTCGCTCTGAAAATGCAGAAGCATAAACTAGGCTTTACTCAGCAACAAGTTCTTTGGTGGTCATTTTTTGCGCAACCAGGTAAGAGTCAGAGCCAGTCAGAGCCATTATCTATTAGAGAATTTGTACAAAGTTTAAAAGTAACGAGATACGAAAGCTAAACAGACCCAAATAACATGACTTTGGTGATTTCAAAAGTTCGTCCCTGAAGCTACTGCCGTGTCGAGTGACACTGCAGCTGCCACAGATCATGACGGTTGACGTTGGTTGGTTAACGTTACAGTTACAGAAAACCATCCAGAAAATTCTACTGCAACGTTACTGTTACCTGGTGAGTAGCTTATATGATGTGTGCGTTTGTGTGCCTGTGTGACGTCACAGTGCTTAGTGTGTGGGGTGTCTCTCTGGGACAGGCGGGTATGAGTCTGGGAGGGGAAAATCACAGTTTACTCACTACAAAAATATACTACACCAGTGCTACAAGGCCTTAGTGGCCAAGTGTTTTCAGGGGTTTTCTTGAATGGGAAGGAGTCGCTGTGTATGGTAGCTCCTGTCAACAGTGTGTCGAATGGGTTTCAATGGGTGATGATGACATGTAAGAGATAAGATAAGATATTCCTTTATTAGTCCCACAATCGGGAAATTCACAGGATAGCGGCAGCAAAGTGGACAATGCACACAAGATACAACAAGAGCAGCAGTAATAAGTAAAGCCTAGTTTATGCTTCTGCGTTTCCAGAGAGACACAAGGACACGCAGACGCAAGAGCCCCTTGCGTGTCCCTTGTGTGCCTTTTCACACCTCCTTGCGTGCTTGCTTGCATCGACCCATTTTTCTAGGCTTGCGTCGTTTTCGCAATATATATATATATATATGTGTTACAATAGCCAGTATCATTTTATTCCATGTGTCCATGCATGCCAATTGGTGGAACCAAATGTTATTATTATGTTATGTTAAAAAAACATATGATGTAATTTCTTTGTCACCATCCAAAATTATTTTATTTTTCTATTATTTCTTCTTTATTATTATATTTTCCAAGTAGGCCACTGACTGGTCAATACAAGCAGTGCATTTAGTGGGCAACGTGCTGTTCATTGAGTGAGCCGGTCCAACAGTCCAACTCCTGGGCTACTTTTTTCCCCCAGTCCGTCTGGTTTATACATCAAAATGTAATCTTGTCAAGTCAGTCTTTGGTCAGGTGTTCAGGTTCCAAAACCTAACCTCCTGTGAAGAAGTTTTATTTTGGCGGTGGTATTGACAACTTGGGAGTGGAGGGGGGTCAGGAGGAAAATCTGTTGACCCATCATCTACAGTAAGTGAGCAATGTTCCATACTGTAGCTTGTAGTGTTATTTCTCATGTGATTTGATATGTGGTGAATATATTCGTGTTTAGTCTATTTGCTTCTGTTTTTTTTCCTGTGCTACCACAGATGAACAAACCTAAATTGAGTGCACATTACTTCACATTATAATGCTTGTTAAAGAGGAAACTATATCTTGTACCAAGTATTATCATTGGATATGAATCTCCAGTGCCATGTCCTCTACCTTGGTGACGTGCGTCCTGTGCCACTGTTCCTGCGTCACGTCCCCACTGAGAACGGGTGAGGACACATCGGGTTGGGAGTTGCTGGGGTTGGGAGCAACCTGCTGGCGAGGAGGGGAGAAGGTGCTGTAGAGAGCCAGGGAGCCGTGAGATGGCGAGGTGGGTATGGAGTGTGCCACGGCGTATTCCGAGATGTTACCCATGGTCTTTGTGCTGGGCAGAGTACCATAATGACCCATGGCTGGAACACCAGGAGGGGAAGAGAAAAATCACATGCTTTCCTGCTCTACACATTTTCAGTTATAGCCATGACATAAAGCTCATGTTTCAAAATATAGAGAAAGGACGGCAAAAGCATGTCTACGAATTGTCTAAGATAACAGAGACTTATGAGAAGAGGATTCTGCAAAAGTAGCCGTAAAAGATGGGGAATAGAGAAATATAATGCTCCACATTATATTTCTGCTCCACATTATATTTCTCTATTCATTCATTCAGTACATATGCACTGGTGGCAATCAGTATTCACTATTAACGTTATTAGGTTGGTATTACAGCGGATAGTTAAAACTATAACATAAAATGACAAACAGAGACACATTACAAAGAGAGGGCTTTTTGAATTTTGGACATAAAACAGCAACCATAACAAACAACTCAGTCCAACTGTATGCCACAGCATGGTAATGTCTTTGAGGGGGCATTACAACCAAATAGGTGCAGGGGAACAAGATCTGTTTAATAGCTTCCTGTTTTTCTCCTACATCTAAATCCTGGTTGTCTGAGGCTCAGTACCAGTTATTGGTGTTTCACGCTTAAAGGTCCAACCTCACTTTGCTGTGTTTTGAATGCAATGTTAGCAGTGACAAAGACTGTTTTTGGTTACATTGATCGTATCCATTGTTTGTATCCTTTCGTTAAGAAACTACAGCAGGCAGAGCAGGGGTGAAAATTCAGAAGAACTTCCTTGAATAGTCTCACTGTAATTTGTGGAAAAAAGTGTTTCTTCAATTATTCCATTGTTGTCTCTAGTTATAGATATTCTAAACGTGAAAAACTTCATATGAACCAGTTATTATATGAGGTTATATGAATGTCCCTAGCACGAAGTGCAAACTTAAAAAAGAATTCAATTCTTAATTCAGTAGTCTATTCATTTTAAATAGGAATAAAATTATAAAATGACATTTAACCGGATTTGCGTTTTTGTGAGGAGGAAAGTTTCCTTGCTTTCTGAGGGAACTACAGGCTAGCGTGGAGACCTTCCACTTAAAACCTCCAAACTCCCCTGTCACTGGAAGTAGTACTTTCTGTCTGTGACATGAGTACCTGTTGGCTGAGCCAAACTGTGCCTGGAGAAGGCCTGCCGCTGCTGCCACTCATACAGCTGCCACATGGTGTCGTCCCTCATAGACCTCCTCTTCTCCGCTGTGGTGACGGTAGAGGCGGGACGGAGGGCCTGGTCATACACAGAGCCTGCCACACTGCAGATGCTGTCGGGCCTCATCATAGTGTTGCGGGGCAGCGTGCGATACCCCTCCGGGTAACGGGGTACGATCTGAGGACAGTGGCTCGGCATGTTCCTGGGTAAGGTTTGATAGGACGTTACGCTGGGAGAGAAACATATCAACTGATTAGTAGTGAGGAGTCAGTGAGTAATTTTTTCATCATTCTTTATGTTGGAAAAGAGTGGGGCAGCATCAGTGAGGCTCTGATAATGCAGGGCTGTCTAAAGGGTTACTCTGTGGAAGCTAAACACAGTCAACTGGCTCTTACTTGACATCAAATCCATCTAATTATTTCTGAACTTTAGTATTATAGTACACTTAAGTTTTCAGTTTGCTCTAATTGACTACGTTAAGGTGGACTAAGAGGGCATCCTCAAGCGCCCCTCCTGGAGCCCCCAAAATAGATAAGGATAAAAAATGTCAATATTTGTGTTTTTGAAATATGAAATATAGATAGTAATATTTGTAAAATATAATATCAGCGTAAAATATATGCTTTTCTTGCACGTGCCTACTTGTCATAAGCCCGTCCTGTCTTCATGCACGTTTTAGCTGCGATAGGGGAAATCTCAAGATTCTCAGCAGTAGGCGGGTCTAAGAAGCCCATTAGCCAATTGTTGACCAAATAAAAAAATGTGTGACATACAATTTAGCCAAATGATTCATTATATATATATATAGAGCTATATATATATATAATATATTTATATAGAAAATATGTATATCTGTATTAGACACTTGGTTTACCCTGAATCTGACACAGAATCGTTCTTAAATCAGGGCTGCTCCAATGCAATCAATCGTTCTGCCATACTTTTACGTTGTCCGGAGAAATTGAAGTAACAAGGAGCTCATCATCATTGCCGCAGCAATTAGCCGGGAATCATAAAATGGGCGTCTTGAATCTCTCGGACTGTAGCTTTGACCCTATGAGCAACATTCCTTATGGCCACTCCCTTTAACCATTCATCACTAAGATAGTCTTCATTCTTTTCATTTAACCGTTGCATTCAGTAGGGACACACTAATACCCTGATCAGTATCTATTTTTAGGTACGTATAAATTAAAATTATATATATATATAACCCGCAAGGGTTCAGATTTTTGTCACGTCTTCGTCTGGGGCAGATATTCCAAAATGTGTGCCTGTGCTAAATGAAGACCGCACAGCAAGGGGGTATCTCCTTTTCCTTTGTAAATGGCACATTAGGTCTTTCACAAACAGGATTGTTGGAATTATGGATCGCTGTTCGAATGAATTGTTCCAGAGCACTATACTCTCAGAGGGAAATCTGGACGCTGTCCAAGGAGATACAGCAGCAGTACATGAAACAGTAGACTAAACCATATGAGACAGTAGATTAAAACACATGAGACAGTAGACTAAATCTAACATTTTCAAAATATTTCACTTAGCTTTAGTCAAACTTTGGGGGGGTCATGTACTGGTTCTTATGAACATTAATGTACCAACACACATTTATAACAAATACACAACAATCACGTTACCGGGAGCCACTGAACTGTTAACGGCAGCTCGTCTGGCCGCCCCCCCCCGTAGTTAAAAAAGTCACTTTAATGACTTCCCACTGAGGCTGTGATGGTTTTATAGGTGGTTTAAACTTCATATTATGAACAGAGATAGATCAAAGTGAGGTCAAGTACACACGTTATGAACCTGAAATACCACTTTCTAAATTAGTAACGTTACAAACGTTGAGAATAAATACACAAAGAAACAGAACTGTGTGATTAAAAACGAACCCTACATTTTGTTTTGTGGTGTGATTATAAACTAACTATGTATTTGTTTTGTTTTAGGGAGCCAGGAGGAAGCAGCATCAAGCTGAAGGGGTGAGTGCTGAATGTGTGTGGTGATTTTCAGCTACTGTAGCTTCTACGTATTCTGTAATATTTTAAGATATTAAGATATTAATAATATATTTAAGATACAGTTAAATTAGCTCGTATTCTATGCAACGATAAAAAAAGAGTTTATACAAGTTAATAAATGTGTTTGCTACTGTGGTTTCTATTGATAGTATTCATTGATTTCCACTCCCTTAAGATTGTAATGTACTTTTAGCTAAAATGACATGGCTTAACTGATATCAGTTGGGTCGTCGTGGCGCAGGGGTTAGAGAAGGTGTGCTGGGAAGCACAAGGTTGGTGGTTCGATTCCAGGCTGCCCCATGTTCTGCCCCATGTTCCATGTCGAAGTGTCCCTGAGCAAGACACCTAACCCCTAATTGCTCCCCGGGCAAAAATGTGAAAAAGCCATGGGTTTAAAGTGTAATGTAAGTTGCTTTGGATAAAAGCGTCTGCTAAATGACCTGTAATGTAATATCATTTGATTTTAAAATGACCGGAAAATGTTATTCTGTCAGCCTGAAATATATCATGCTGAGGAGGTGAAGCATATCTTCCTAAATTAACTGAAATAATAAGATTACCTTCTCTTTCTGTATTTTATCTTTTTTCCCCCTGTATTTTACTGTCGAGCCCAGCTATGCTGTTGCTATGCAACTGGAGAGGTGGAGGAAGACCCAATGACGCAAGCAGGGAGTCCCTCTTTTAGGCCAGACCGTCCTATTTTAGAGACCACTCAGTTCAGCCGATGCGGTTGTTGGAGGAAGGCTGAGTCCACGTAAGGATGCATCCCATCAACTGAGAAATAGCTACCAAGAGACTGGTCGTCTCACCCGCACCCCCTCCCCCCATCCCACTGCAACCTGACATCACTGCTACTTGTGCTGATGGTGAATAAAATGTCTGTTAGCCGAAGCAGGGCTAACAAACTGTTAATACGTTATTTCTTATCTGCCTCCTTTGCATGGAGTGCTGATGAAGATGATACGTGTGGCTTGGCCGCATTGAGTGTGTAACAGTCTCATTTTCATGACAATGCAGCAGAGGGAGAGTGGAGGTTCTGTTTGACTGCGTTACTTGGTTCGGCCCGCTTAATGCCCACATGAGATACACATCTGTGATGACACGCAGGGCTTTTACCTTCTGCTGGGGACAAGGTCAGAGCAAGAACGGAGAAGATACACAGGAAACGAGGGAAAGAAGGAACGTAAGAGGTTTGTGTTGGGAGAAGGAACAAATGACGAGCAGCTAAAATGTCACGTTCATTTATGTGAGCTGTGAAAAAAAAAATGTATTCACTCATTTAAATCGATAACAATGTATGGAAGTGCAATGTGAAAAGAGAAGAGAATCATTCTTAAAAAGAGAGTGTGGACAGACAGACTTCACTAAAGTCCTCTTATTGACATTGAAAATCCTCCAATGGTTCCATAATAATAGTGTAATTATGGGAGCACACACGCACACGTCAGTCGCTCTCACCTCCTGGTGTCATCGTCCAGTCCTCTTGTCCTGTATGTGCGGACCCAGTGTTCCAGTTGCTGCATGGAGTTGGTCCTGGATAGGCCCCTCTCTGGCTCCTGAACAGAAGCAGGGGACTTTCCCGGACCCAACGCCATGCTGCTGTCCACCTCTGCCGGGCTGCAGTCCCCAGTCCGCTTGTCCACCGTGGACCCCGAGCCATTGATTTGTGCAGGAATGGGGACATTGAGGTTGGCCTGGCCATGGCGAGATGCTGACACTGCGGAGGCGATAGCCGCAGCCTGAGCCGGCTGCAGCTTGATGCTGCTGATTTTAGTCAGAGGCCTCTCTGCACTCTGGTAGCCATATATTTCCCCGCGAACAGTAGCATACCTCCCTGCATCTCTGAGAGTAGCATACTTCTCTCCTTCTCTGAGAGTAGCGTATTTCTCTCCTTCTCTGAGAGTAGCGTATTTCTTCACTGCCTTCAGAGTACCGTATTTGTCCACCACTTGAATGGTACCATATTTACTGTCCGTCTTCCTCATTATGCCGGGCATCTCTGTCTCCTTCAGTGACAGCTGTCTCTTTACCTCTTTCTGGGGATTGCATTTCTGTCCTTTCTGAAGTGTGTGCCTGTCTCCTATTATTTGCAATGCATACTTTTCTCCATCATTCTTCAGCAGGTACTTCTCTCCATCTTTCGTTGGGGCGTATTTCTCCTCTGTCGGCGTCACACTACATTTTTCGGTCACGTTCTGGGGAGCATACCGCTTCAGATCCTTGTGAATTGCATACAGCTCTCTGTCTTTCTGCAGGATGCTTTTCTCTCCGTCTTGGTGTAGGAGATACCTCTCTCCTTCCGTCTGAAGCATGTAGCTCATGCCATCTTTTTTCAGGGAGCACCTTTCCCCACCTCTCTGTAAGCTGTAGTACTCATGCTCCTTTTGGCTATTGGGTTTCATTGGGTCTTGTTGCTGTTTATTGTTGACTTGAGATAAGGAACGTTGCTGTTGTACAGGCTCGCGGTTGCGTTCGTTGTTCTGGATCTCGGGCCGAGTTAGGACTCTGTGGTTGAGTAACATGTTCAACTCCTGAGGTGTTCGCTGATCCACTTTCAACTTGTCCAGTCTGAGAAGAGAGAAGCAGAGGTTTGTAAACAACACAATTGTGGAATTTGAAGTGGAAGAAGTCGTATGTTGGTCTGTCTCTGTCACCCTTTCTTTCTGGTCTTCCACTGTGACAACGCAGGACAGGGGAGTCTAATTTCTGACTGTGAGGTAATGGCGTTGGTAGTTTAGCTTATCTGAAGAATTTCAAACAAAAGATACTGGTTTATTATCAATATATGGACCATTATGCTCTCCTCAGTATACCCATAATGTATAATGTAATTGTGTAACCTGTCACAACTCTGAGAGGATGCCGTGAGCATTAAGCACTGTGTATCAGTGTTAATTTTGGCAGCTATTTTTGATTTAGTCTTAGTCACGAAAAATGCATTTATTTGCAAGGCAATTTAACAAATTGGCAAAGGTGTAACAACTTCATGAGGACCAGGGATCTAAACGCAACACTTTGTTGTCTTTGTCTCTTTACTTGCAATGCTTTTGACATGGCCACCGGAAACTTCATGCTCCTTTATTGTTTCCACTGTCCCAACAAAAGAGACCCCTTAACGGCCTACAATCGTTGCAATACATTATTTTCTTGGCTTCAGAACCTGCAATGAGTTTATTACGTTAGACGCGTTTGTGACGGAGCGTCTCATCCAGCCGAGGAAACGCTGCCTGCCGTCGCCAGAGAACAGAGCAGAATGGTCCGACAGTCTGTTAAACGGGTCTTCATGTTTCTGTGAAGCAACAACTGACTGTTAGCGGCTACAGCCTGCTAACAGTCAGCTAAACCGAGACAGCGGAGCTAAACTAAGGAAGCCACATTCAAACTCGCCGAAGCGTAAAATAGTCGTGCACAAGAACCACCGCTGCACCGTTGCGAGCGCGCGTTCTGGGTTCGTGGATGACGTCATCATGACACGTCAATATCCGCCGTACTTTTCCTGTTTGTTGTCTGTTAGCTGCGTGCGAATTTATGGGGGAAAAAGTATTGTGCCTTCGTCAACCACCAACATGTTCGTCTCGTCTCGTTAACGAAAGTTAGAATAGATTTAGTCATAGTTTTTATTTTTTAAGATCATTTTCGTCACGTCTTAGTCTCGTCTTAGTCACGGAAAAAAGGTTCGTTAACGAAAAAATGTCGTCGTCGACGAAATTAACACTGCTGTGTATGTAATATATAAACTTTTTGACAAGCATCATGTCATGTGTCTTTACTGTGTTGAGCACCGACCTTCTGACTGGTTCAGTGTGGACAAGAGCAGCATCCGTCATGACTTTCATCCAGGACTCCATCTCTTTGGCTGAGTCAGTGCAGAAATAATAGGTGCGCATGTTGGGATGAGTGGCCTGTCAGTGTGGGGAGAGATGGAGATTAATAGAAGGAGGAGACACAAATTGACTGAAGAGCTCAGTTAAGGAGGTTCTGAATCATTAAAAACAATGACAAAATATTCTTTTTTAACTTGGCCGTAGTTCTCTTTTGTACAATGACCCGAAACGGTCAAAACGAGGGGTCCCCACACTTTTTCGGCTCGCAAGCTACTTTTCACTCAACTTTTTACTCCAACTCATGGTGATCTACTCTACTTCTGCTTGGGCAGTACGTCCGAATAATAATAATTACGAGCAGTAGCGGTAACCGAGCGGAACAACAGCGCTGAATACTGGGAGCGCAAAACGCATGCATATAAAAAAAAAACACAACGACTCGTCTGTCAAAGCGATCGCGTGGTGAACTGACGTGATTTCTTTTTTCAATGGAAGGTGATCTACCGGAACTGCGGTTGAACTGCGTTGGTGAATGATGAATAGCAGCTACTTTTATAGAAATGTAATTTATATCTTTCTGTAATTCTCACTATAGCAAAGTCATCCGCCGGGCCCCACTGGACCCCCTGGCCGGCCGGATTCGTCAGTACACTCTATTGGAGCAGTTTGTTGGGTGTTGGGATAGCTTTGGAAACCCTCACATATGAGGACGTTTGGGAGAGATAAAAATAGAGTAACATGTCCTACCAATTACTTCAGGTCCAAGTGGAAGAGGGTTGTTTTTACTTTGGATGAAGCCATAAGTGCCTTTCTCTCCTGCTTGAAGTCCTTATCCTAAAGCTAAGCTAAACCACACCCGACGACTCCAGCTCTATATTTGACGGATGGCTATATGGTTCTCATCTAAGACTTCAAAAACAAACAAACAAAACAATTTATCCGAATAAATAACTTTAAAACCACCACTGTAGCGAAGCTTTCAGGAAACAATGTCCTCACATTGGCTGGCTGCATCTTAAGTATATCTGTAGAAATAGAAAAGGCTTTTTTGCTGGACACATGAGATTCACCTTGAAAGCGTATTTCCTGCTGATGTGGTCATCCACCGACAGCATTGAGATGTGAAAGCTTGGTAGCAGGATACTTCCCAGGATGTTGTCCTCTTTCTCATCTGTATCAAAGAAGAAAGAAGAATACCCATATGTCTACTATTTAGAAGTAGACATTTGCATTCTGAACTCCATTGACCGACACTAAACTATGGTTAGTTTAGTCCGGATTATGTTGTAGATTAAATAAGGGGTTGGACTGTTAACACACCAGCCTGATTATCTTTTTTTGGTGAGTTTTTAGTTTTGCCTAATTGAGATAAACTGTCCGAGTTTACGCAAGAGGTAGTTTAGGTCAAGGTTGCTTGATATCTCGTCTCTGTGAACAAAGTCTGTATTTTCCATCCGAAATTACATTTCACATTATATTTAATGTTTAGTTTTTGTGCAAAGACCGTATGTCTGATACTTTAATAAATATTTGTTACATTTACGTTCAGCTTCAATCCTATCAGTAACAAATATTTCATTCCACAGAGACCTCAACAAAGACCTTAACCCACAGGAATAAAGAAATTGTATTTCTGCACACTGCACACACACACACGATCAACTCTCACTAAATGTTGTCTTCCATGTCTCAGAAACAGAAGTTGTGAACCCCCCCATAAATGCTTTACAGTGGAGTCCTCTGACCAGATAAATAATAATTCGTTCCACTTCATAAAAACCAACTGAGCTGATTTATTGTGATGGTAACGACTGCATGGCACTAACCCCTGCCTGTGGTCCAATAGCTCAATGCTGCTTTGATGGGAGATGCTACAAACGTCTGCTGCACCAGTTGCAGGCAAAACCTACAGAGCCTCCAGCCAGGGTTCTGTTTGCTGCACTATGAGCGCTGCAGCTCCTGCGGCCCCCGTCCCTGCTGCTGAATTATTCAGGTACAGAATACACAGAAAATGAGCAATAAAGAGAAGGAATGAGCAAGATGGCCTGCACATAGCTATACGGTGGAAGAGGGGTTTTCTTTAAAGGTCACAGATATTCACCAGGTTCCTTGGAGGTTTATTGAAGCTGCAAGACTGCCGTGACATCCAACTTTTTCTTCTGTGGAATTACTGGACATTCTAGTCAAAGGTGTGCTCAACGATCTGAAGACAGTGGAGATGGTTGTGGATTTCAGGAAGAACGGAGTCCCACCTTCCCCAATCACCCTGTGTGATTCCCCCGACACTGCTGTGGATTCCATTTCCTGGGCTCCATCATTACATTACATTACATGTCATTTAGCTGACGCTTTTATCCAAAGCGACGTACAATAAGTGCATTCAACCATAGGGTACAAACTCAGGAGAACAAGAAACAAGAAAGTGCAATTTCCTCAAATAAGCCAATTTACAATTTGCTATAGATGAGTGACGTTACAAGTACAATTTAAGTGCTACAATTTGTTAGTCTTTAGTCGAGGTAGAGTCTGAAGAGGTGTGTCTTTAGTTTGCGGCGGAAGATGTGAAGGCTCTCTGCGGTCCTGGTGTCTTCAGAGAGCTCGTTCCACCATTTCGGCGCAAGGACAGCGAAGAGTCGAGACCTAGTCGAGTGTTTTGCTCTCAGTGAGGGAGGGACGAGTAGTTTTGCAGATGCAGAGCGGAGAGTGCGGGTTGGGATGTAGGGTTTGACCATGTCCTGGATGTAAGCTGGACCCGATCCATTCACAGCATGGTACGTGAGCACCAATGTTTTGAACTGGATGCGGGCGGCCACCGGTAGCCAGTGAAGAGAGCGGAGGAGTGTAGTGTGGGAGAATTTCGTAAAGGTTGAAGACCAGTCGAGCTGCTGCATTCTGAATGAGCTGCAGAGGTCGAGTGGCGGTGGCAGGGAGACCAGCCAGGAGGGAGTTGCAGTAGTCCAGGCGGGAGATGACAAGAGCCTGAATCAGTACCTGCGCTGCCTTCTGAGTGAGAAGGGGACGTATTCTCCTGATATTGTAGAGCGTGTATCTACAGGATCGCGTTGTCGCGGCAATGTTGGGAGTCAGGGAGAGTTGGCTGTCGAGTGTGACGCCGAGGTTCTTAGCGGTCGAAGTGGGCGTTAGTACGGAGTTCCCAAAGTTGACTGTCAGGTCCTGGGTAAGCGAATCTTTTCCGGGAAAGAGAAGTAGTTCAGTCTTGTCGGGGTTGATTTTCAGATGGTGGGCGGACATCCACTGAGAGATGTCAGTTAGACAGGCAGAGATCCGAGCCGCCACCTGGGTGTCCGAGTGAGGGAAGGAGAGAATTAGTTGGGTGTCATCGGCATAGCTGTGGTAAGAGAAGCCATGCGAGCGAATGACAGCGCCAAGAGAGTTTGTGTAAAGCGAAAACAGGAGGGGACCCAGCACGGAACCCTGAGGAACTCCAGTAGTAAGAGGACAAGGTTCCGACACAGATCCTCGCCAGGTTACCCGGTAGGTGCGACCATCGAGGTAGGACGAGAGAAGGGAGAGAGCAGAGCCTGTGACACCAAGTTCCTGAAGGGAGGAAATAAGGATCTGGTGGTTGACCGTGTCAAATGCAGCAGAGAGGTCCAGAAGGATGAGGACAGAGGAGAGAGAGGCGGCTCTAGCAGTGTGGAGTTGCTCAGAGACAGCAAGGAGAGCAGTCTCTGTGGAGTGGCCTGCCTTGAAACCTGACTGGTGGGGGTCAAGGAGGTTGTTACAGTGGAGATAAGAGGAGAGTTGATTAAAGATAGCACGTTCAAGGGTTTTGGACAAAAAGGGAAGAAGAGAGACCGGTCTGTAGTTGTTTTCTTCAGAAGGGTTGAGGGTGGGTTTCTTTAGGAGAGGGTTGACTCTTGCCTCCTTCAGAGAATTGGGAAAACAGCCAGATAACAGAGCGTTGTTGATGAGACAGGTGAGGAACGGAAGACGGTCAGGTGCGATAGATTGTAGAAGATGTGATGGAATGGGGTCAAGAGGGCAGGTGGTCGGACGGGCAGAGGTTACTAGGGTAAGAATTTGGTTAGGAGAGAGGGCGGTGAAAGAGGAAAGTGAGGGCGAAAGAGGTGAGGTCGGTGGGACGCGAGAAGTAGGAGGTGGGTTTGAGAAGGAGGAGCGTATGTCAGCTGTTTTCTTGGTGAAGTAGTTGACAAAGTCTCCCGGAAGAAGGGTGGAGGGGGGAGGAGGGGTAGGGGGTTCGAGGAGATTGGAGAAGATCGAGAAGAGTTTTTTGGGGTTAGAGAATGAGGATTCGATTTTGGATTGGTAGAAAGAGCTTTTGGCAGCAGAGATAGAAGCAGAAAACGAGGAGAGGAGAGATTGAAATTCGAGCAGGTCCTCAGGTCGTTTATATTTACGCCATTTCCTTTCCGACGCTCGCATGGTGGCTCTCATGGCACGGACCGGTTGAGACAGCCACGGAGCCGGAGGGGATTTGCCAGTCCGTCGTGTCGTAAGAGGGCAGAGAGAGTCTAGAGAGGAGGAAAGAGTTGAGAGGAGAGTCTCTGCAGCAGCGTTTGGATGCAAGAGTGAGAAGGAGTCAGTTGAAGGGAGAGCTGATAGAACAGAGGATGCCAGCGAGGAGGGAGAGAGGGAGCGAATATTGCGACGAGCCGGTATAGAGTTAGTCAATGAGGGAGGTTTGTTAGTTATAGAGAGTGGAAGGGAGTAAGAGATGAAGAAGTGATCAGACACATGAAGTGGAATTACAGAGAGGTTAGTGGTAGAGCAGTTTCTAGTAAAGATGTAGTCAAGGTGATTGCCGGCTTTGTGAGTAGGAGGAGAGGGACTGAGTGACAGAGCGAAGGAAGAAAGTAGGTGTAAGAGGTCAGGTGACTTCTCTGTCACCCAGGAGGATGAGCGGAGGTCCATTTTCGGGGAAATTAGACAGGAGAATGTCCAGTTCTTCCAAGAAATGACCTAAGGAGCCTGGCGGACGGTAGAGGACAATGATGGTTAATTGTACCGGGTGAGTGATTGTTACAGCATGGAATTCAAAGGACAATGGGGTGGATGGTGGTAGAGGGTAGAGAGAAAAGCTCCATTTGGGTGAAATGAGTAGACCTGTGCCACCACCCCTACCAGTGGGCCTGGGAGTGTGGCTGAAGGAGAAGGCGGAGGAGAGAGCGGCTGGGGTGGATGTGTTCTCAGGTGTGATCCAGGTCTCGGTCAGAGCGAGGAAGTCGAGTGACTGCTGGATAGCGAAGCCGGAGATGAAGTCAGCCTTGCGAGTCGCTGACTGGCAGTTCCAGAGACCTCCTGTGACGAGGTGCTGGACGTGTGTGGAGCGGGTGGGATAGGTGAGAGAGGAGAGGTTCCCCAATCACCCTGTGTGATTCCCCCGACACTGCTGTGGATTCCATTTCCTGGGCTCCATCATCACCCAGGACCTGAAGTGGGAGCTGAACATCAGCTCTATCACAAAGAAGGCTCAGCAGAGGCTGTTCTTCCTTAGGCAGCTGAAGAAATTCAACCTGCCAAAGACGATGATGGTGCACTTTTACACGGCCATCATTGAGTCCATCCTCTGCTCCTCCATCACCATCTCGTACGCTGCAGCCACAGCCAAGGACAGAGTCATCCGCTCTGCAGGGAGGGTGATTGGATGCAATCTGCCGTCGGTCCAGAACCCTGAAGCCTGCTAAAGATTGTAGCTGACCCCTCTCACCCCGGACAAAACCGGTTCCATCTCGCAGGAGGCTGAGTCCATCAGGACCAAGACCACCCGCCGTACAAACAGTTACTTTGGGCTCATCAACAGATCCCGGGTCCCCCACTGACTCTGACATCCCACCGGTCACTCCCTTCACACTCCACATGCACATACACTTGTCATTTTCACATACACTCAACAATATATTTGTGTAGAGTATGGTTATCGCTTGTGCACTTTATTTTTAACTTTAATTTTTAGATTAAATTCCTTCTTATCCTTTATTTTTAAATTGTCTATTGTATATCCCCCTTGCCCATAGCATTATATTTTATTCCGTAGAGATAAATTGTAAATTTGTAAATTGAACATGCCATTTTCTTGCATGTTATCTGTCTAGTTGTCCATTCTCTTACTGTCTGATGTTATGCACCATATTTTACTTTAGTTTTGAGATTGTATATATGCTCTACATATTTTAATATTAAAATGTGAGATATACATATATCAGCCTGATACAATATATATATATATATATATATATCAGGCTGATTATTGTGATTGATTGCTGACCGTGAGTAGGTTGGCTTCACTTTGTTTGTGTGTGATTTATATAGTTTTTATAGCTATTTTTTCTACCCTGTCTTAGTTTTCACGTATTGCCATTGCTCTCCAAGTTGGAAAATGACAGACCTTTTTTCTTAACTCCCTCAGTTGGAATACGGTCAGATCAAGTTGGGAGCCTAGCCAGCCTCCCGTGTTGGAATACAACAGGAATATGGCAGAGTTTGGAATGCTGCCCCGGCTGAAGCTGCCCTAGGCCCTGTGGTCGTTGGCAGACAGCGCAGCTTGTTTTGCTTGTTTCTGTTTTTGACATCGATGCTGGAAATGATTTCATACACCGCCCCACAGCAGCAAAATGTAAAAAAGCCATGGGTTAAAAATGCAATGTAAGTCGCTTTGGATAAAAGCGTCAGCTAAATGACCTGTAATGTAATGTAATATCAAATACCTGTGCAAAACCTCCTTCTATCATCTCATAAACATCTCCAAACTCTGCCCACTTTGACAGATGCAGAGAAGCTTGTCTATGCCTTTATCTCCTCAAGACTGGACTACTGTAACTCTTCACTGGAATCCCTGGAAAGAATATCCTGAAACTACAATACATTCAAAACAGCGCTGCCAGGATCCCGATGAGAGTCCGGAAATATGAGCACATAACACCCATCCTACACTCAATACACTAGCTCCCCGTCTCATTCGGATTGACTACAGTACTCACTCATAAATGCGTAAATGGACGTGCACCTCCCTATCTGCAAAAACTACTTACTCCCCAAACCTCCACATGCACCATCAGATCTGCAAGCAGCTCGCTCCTCCGGGTCCCCAACACCAAGCTCCGCACCATGGGCGACCGGGCCTTTTGCTCGGCAGCGCCATGCAAATGGAAGTGTCTCCCTGACCACCTGAGGGACTCTTTTAATACTGGCCTAAAAACCTACTCATTCAGGAAGCCCGTTTTCAATCTATCATTGAAAATGTTTCAAAACATTTTATTTGCTATATATATATGGCTGAAAAGTTATATATATACACACTAATATTCCCCCCTCAAATTCCTTTTTAATCGACCTCTTATTTACGCATTTATCCATTCACACACACCCACACACACACAAAGACACAGACATTTCAGAGCTGCTTGCCTGCCCATTGGGAGTAGCGTATTGCTCCATCTCATTTTGGATGGAGCAATACGCTACTCCCATGAAGTGTTTTGGTACTTATTTCACCCTTATACATCTCACAGAGGAGGATTCCATCTCTGACCATTTTCCAAACATTGATAACCTGCTTCATGTAATTTTATGACAGCTGTAGTCATTAGTGTTTGTCCCACTCTGGTAATAATGGAATTATCAGAGGGCATATAAACACAGAATGTACAAAAAGAATAAAATGCAATAAATTCAAATCTAGCAACCGCCACCCAACCTGAGTGAAGGTACTTAGGATAAAGCAAAATTGAAAAAGAAGCTGTTATTATCAGAGAGACCAGCCCGTCAATGTCCTTCCCGAGGACGCCTCTTCTCCTCTCTCTGCCTGGCTAAGCCAATAAACATCCAATTTTCCCGTAGGTTTGTCATGAAAGTGCTTGCTGATTGTGCCATGGGAGTGCGTAATTTGACAATTTATGGAGATGGAACAATCTCTTACGGGTTTAAGAGACACCAAGGAGGAGCAGATGAGCTTTTGTGAACGTAAAAGTTTTAAATTTACGCTTTTGTAAAATGGGTGAAAGCAAGGACGACTACTTTTAACTGGAAGGACCCTTATTCTTACCCGTTTTCACCGCTTTTTATTAAGTAAAGAAGAGTAATTTATGTTATCAGCTCACCAAAATGTTTCAATGAGAGCACCACCATCAAAATCCATCAGCTGAAATCTCTATGGGAGATCTTTTAAACTCAAAGCAAGGCTCGTGGCGGTATTGAGTTAACTAAGTTACTACTATTTTTTCTAGATAATTCAACTGGAAGAATGGCAATTCTGTTTAGCTTGTGCATACTTATTGTTTTCACTTATGGACGATATTCTTCAACTAAATATATTCTCATTTGAGTTTAGATAATGTTAGAGAGCACTAAACGTAACGGGAACTCATGGTGTGGATACCAATTCAACACATTAGGGCCACTTCCTTCTAAATGGCTCTGCCTTCAAACATGAAATAGTGAATGCAGTGACCTCTCTAGAATTGCCCTTTTGACAAAATATTGACTTGCTTTTGATTTAAAAATCATACATTTGGATGCATGTGTGCATGTGTGTGGATGTGCGTCCTCACCCCGGTAGTAGAAGAGGCACATGTCACACAGAACAAACCACCTTTTCTTCCAGAGCTTCATGCCTGTGCTGTCCTGCGTGGTCAAAGGTCAAAAACCGTAAGTGAATCAGTCATAGTATAGTGATTACAGAAAACAATACACACTCTCTCTCTCTCACTCCCAGACACACACACATTTCCTTCTTTGATGTCCCTTCATTTTCATTCTCTTAACACCCTTTCTTTCTCCCCCTCTGAGTGCTTCTTTTAACCAGCTAATATCTACCCCTCTGAGACAAATTTCTCCATCTGATCTCTTCATAACGCAGTAACAAATTTGCCTCTGTGGTGCTGGAGGTGATGGACCGTGCTTTGTTCTCTATAATTTTCCATCTGGGGGAACACACTGTGAAAGGGTTCAAGTTGTTAAACCAAAACTTTTGGCCGAGGCATATTTTGCCTTGCGGTCTATTCGACTCTAAATAGACCAATATTTACTAAATGAACATCATTTGTGATGAAGAAGACTTTTCTCCATTTTGTTTTACGATATAGATAATATGCTCTCAATGTAAGCCGGATCTCAGCTGACTACCATGACAACGGCATTTGAAACTACTATAACATAATTGACAACAGTTGTCAATTATGTTGTAATAGTAGTATAGACTAAATTAAACCAAATTGGATGCATAGTGAAAGAAATGTACATGCTTTTTTTCTCTTTACAACATGTAATTTTTTTCACTCGTCACTTTTGTCACTTGTTCGCTAGTGCACTTTATTTTTTAATTTCTTTAAATATTTTTTAACTTTTAAAATATTTTTAATTTTTAACTTTAACTTTATTCTCTTATTTTAAACGAACCCATAGCCTTAGCATTTCATTTTATTTTATTACTTGTGCACTGCTGTCTTGTTGTCTATTGTTATACTGTCTACTGTTATGCACCAACCGCCAAGTCAAATTCCTTGTATGTTTGACATATTTTGGCAATAAATGTTTCCTGATTCCTGATTCCTAACTACGCCTTAAACCACACCATTTTTTCCATTTCTGTTTGTGTGAGGATTGAACAAACCAGAGGTGTTGATCGGTATATTTTGGACTTTGGACAGAGTCCAGCTAACCTTTTCCCCCTGCCACCAGTCTCAATGCTAAGCTAAACTAACCATGTCCTGACTCAGCTGTGTGATTAATATACAGTCATGATATTGGGAATCTTTATCTTCCAAATAAAAAGCATTGAATAATACAATTACCGTTAATGTTTCTGCTACTTTTCATATCATCAGTGTGCATCACTCCCAAACAAACTCAACCACATCCCATCCTCCCGCCTGCTGTACCTGTTTATAAAGCCAGTTGCTCTTGACCACCGGGGCATTGGGGTTCCTCTTGATAGAGTTTGAGCGCTTCCCAAAGTTGTGAACTTTTTTGAAAGACCGAGATGGCTGTTGAAATACATGGATAGGTTGATTTGTATCTACACTTATATTCAGAAACACTTCAATTAACAAGTAACACTGAATGTGATGTATTTGAAATCAGTTTCCATCCAGAGATACAGTGAGAAAAAATAAACCAAAATATCAGCATCAACAACAGTTTGGTGCATTATATGTGGAGAAGCTTGTATGGTAAAACAGCAGCTGTTCCAGCAGCAACAAACATTAAACAAAGATTATTCCACAAAACCCATACAAACAATACTTAAACAATACTTTGTTTAAGTCTACGTTGAAGACCACTTATGATGCTAGTATTGAACCAGTTTCAAGAGGTTGACATAGGTGTGTACTTAGAGAGTAGTTCCTCAATGTTTTTAGTTTATTCTAGAACCCCTATCAAATCTGAAGTTGACTGAGAACATGCACACTGAATAGAAGATTGTTATTTCACTTGTTTAGTGAAACTTTCATTACCTTTTTTTTATATTGGAAAATAATAGCCAGACAACCCTGACATTTACTTCAGATGAGTATGACAATGATTTGGGTAACCCGTACTGCTAAGTTTACATTTGCCCCCAGGTCAACCCTGTCTCTTCAAATGTTTTTTAGGAGAAATGCCTTTTTATTATTTAAACTATTTTCTTTGAATTTTTACTATATTTAGCATATTAGCTAAACTTATTTTGGGTTATATAACAAACATAATTTCATTATATTCAAAACAGTAATTTAAGGGGCAAAGATTGTGGATTTGTTGCTTAATGTCATACTGTTAAATGGAAAGATCCTGTCTTGTGCGTTAATATGCTATGGACTTGAAATGAATGAAATCAAGATTATGATCTGTCTCTACAACGATCTGAACTTCAACAAAAATCCTGCTTTAGTTGCTGCTAAGATTTTGAAGGCAATCAAAAGAGATATGTTTAGCTTTTTGGAAAATACAAAATGTTCATTGACAAAAGCTGTCTTCCACATGTTAATGATAAAACATAAATCATGGGAACATCCCAATCATGTTTTTGCTACAACAAACAGAGTGTACAGTTGTAATTTCTAGTACAGTGGTCCCCAACCACCAGGCCGTGTACTGGTATCGCAGAGAAAAATATATATATATTTTTGAAACTGACTTGATTTCAGGACAACAAATCTACTATTTCAGAGATGTTGGGTGCTGCACTGAAAGTTTACTGTTAGTTAAAATCATATAAGTGAACATATTTCATTTTTTCCATCAATTATCATTACACAAAAGGATGAATGTTAAAAATATCTTGAACTTGATAATAATTTATATATCGTTAACAGAACAGATCACAAAGATAGCTAGATTATGTTAGTATGTAAATGCTTCTGACAAAATTTGTGTTTAATAATTTAAATGTGATTAAACTCCCCAACATAGATGTGCTGTAAATGGATGGATGGAGACTGACCCGTGTGGATGTCGTGGAGGTGGTGGTGTTGGCAGTAGTCACGGTGGTGGCCGGGCTGCCGGGAAAGGTGCTGTAATCAGAGCCACCTGTGTAGTTTGAAGCCTCGCTCATCGTGCTCATGGGACGTTCCTTCTTGTCACTGCTGCTGCCCTGCTCTGACGAAGCCTGAGGGGCCGGACTGCCACAGGGTGAGAAACATAGAGAGGCAAGAACAGGTGTCAGTAAGGCATTTCACCTCCATGTTAATAAGTACAGTGCTATGAAACACAGATGAAACAATTGAAATTAATTTTGTACAGGGTTGTGCAACCATCTAACATTAGTTGAACAAAACAACCCGGAAAAACCAACACTGAGAAATCTGACACTAGGTATTGGGTCCGACTGACAATCACATGTCAACGTCTAGCCTCCCTCGTTGCCTCTTTATGAGCTTCAGTGACTACAGCACTGCTGCCACTGCTTCTATAATCCTGTTGTTTGTTTTATTCTCCATCAAAAATCAGAAGAATCCTGTCTGCAATTTAAATCCTAGTGCTTGATTTAAACGGAGAAGTCTCCAATCAAAACTCCACAAAACAACCAAACTTTAGACATTATTGGTACCTTGTGGTGGTTTGTGCAGTTAAAGTGCATTAATTGTAGGACCAGCTAAAAATACTTAACCTACAAAACCTTGGAAACCGGAAGAAACTTAAAAATATGTGTTCTCAGATTTGCCTGAAAAAGAAGTACTTGGAGGGACTGTGACTCTTGAAAATAGAAAGGATAAAACACTCCTATATGAAAGCACAGTATGTGGACAGTATCTGTGTAAAGGTTTTACTTTGAGTAAAGCAGAACAAATCTAGAGCTTATAGTGGTTTAGGTGACTCGCGGGAGAGTCAAGGCGGATGGGTAAGGTGCATTTTTCCAAAGCTCAGCGAATCATCAAGTGATTTTCAAGTCCAACCCCTCGTTGTAATCATCAGAACCAATGGAATCGAGGCAGACACATGGGAACACCACCAGCTTCCTTAGCCAGAGTGAAGAGAAAACGTATATAGCGAGGGATGCCGCTTTACTCTGACGAATCTAGGGAATGTTTGTGAAATGCACAACATGTCGGCTGAGCTTTAATCAATTTAATCAATTCAATTTATAATATTTTTTTCTGTTGAACACTGCAGGTGTAAGGAGCATTTATGATTGGACATGTAATTCGGGTGCTTGGTGTTTATTTTTTCCTTAATTTTGGAAAGATTTGTCTAAGAGAAATGTTATGCAGGGTGGAATGCACTTGCAGTTTGATGTCATCTAATAACATCTAGCTTTTGATTGATGGGGCTAAAGATGTATTATTTTTCAGTTTTGGCCTATTTGGATATGATATTTCATAACTTGTAATGTAATTGTGATTGTGTTTGGAGTATGTTCAAACTGTTTTTCTGTCTTTGTAGCCCGGACTTTAAGCTTTCCAGGAGTGTGCGGCATTATTATATTAGTTTATGATGAGTTCCTCTAATTTGATCACACATCTGAAAGTTTGAAACTCTAAACCCAAATTTAGGTCTGTGGGCCTGATAAGGTGAGTCTAGAAATAACTGGAGATTTCGATTATTTTAAAATGTCATGTAAAAATCATGATTCAAAGATCAGATCAGATTTGGACACAGAGAATATCTGGAGGGCCAGTCCAGACGCAATTATATTACTGTGGATGACATTAAAGAATCTGGAAAAGAAAATCTGACTGACTATGAAGAAAAGGTGAGGGAATTTCAGTGAAAAACTATAGCAGGATCATCTGGAAATGTGTTGAGAAGCATATGGCAATTTCATAAAATCTGCTCTATAAGATTTGTTTAACTGTGCATCTCAATACATTATTTTTGGGATCCACTATGACTGACAACAAGTGTGATTTTAAAGGCCAGACCTTTAACAATGAGCCCCCGTTTTCTGGGGCAAACCCTGTTGAACCTGATAATTCTGCCACATACCGTCTCATAAGAGATACTCATGACAAACAGCTCTAATATTACGTCACAGGGTTGGAAACAGGTTTTTACTAGAAAGGTCAACTTATATGTTTGAAAATGCTCCAAATCCAACTTAAACAAGCCCTAAAAGAGTGAGAAAATATTATATGCAAATTTGTCCACAAATTGTGCACACGCCGGAGCATATACTAATAAAACACTCTTACGTTCACTATTTAAATGTCTTTCATGCACACTACTGAAGCACTCACACACACATACATACTCTCTAAACCTATGCACGCGCATATATAAAACATTATACATACTCATCTGAAACACACGTACATATGAGAAACACACATGCATGTAAGAGCATCTCACTAGTGCACATAAGAGCATCTCACTAGTGCAAGTAAGAGCATCTCACTAGTGAACGTAAGAGCATCTCACTAGTGAACGTAAGAGCACCTCACTAGTGCACATAAGAGCATCTCACTAGTGAATGTAAGAGCATCTCACTAGTGAACGTAAGAGCATCTCACTAGTGCACGTAAGAGGATCTCACTAGTGAACGTAAGAGCATCTCACTAGTGCGTGTAAGAGCATCTGTATATACATGAAATCTCACTAGCATACAGAAGGCTTCACAGTTACACCGGAAGGCGGAAGCAAAGAGGGCAGATTTTGACCAGCGAAAAGCACCAATCTTACGCCCTTATTTAATATGATTTTAAGACCGGACTCGTCTGTCCCTGTGTAGGTCCATGTTTATAAATACTACCATATTGAAGTCACGGAATGTAATTTTAGGAGAAGTTAGTTGTTTTAGCAACATTTTTGCAGTCGGTTTGTCAGCAGTCAGACTTTTTGACATTTTGACGACCTTGTTTGTGAACAATTACTCAATGACTTATCATTGGCATGAATATTTACTTCTAAACATAGAAGAAACATTTCTATTATATATTGCACTTTGTAGAAATTGTTCTGAGAAATTCACTTATTATTGTTAGGGATGATGTGAAAAACTCACCAAAGCGATTGAGAAAAAGTGAAATTAACATTAGGGTTGTACAATAACGACTAATATGGACAAGTAAGCACAACGTACATTGCCACAGCACAGATATAAAAACTTTAACTTTTATTTTATTTATTACTTTTTCAGGAGGGGCCGTTATAATGGTAGGGGTAACATGGTTACCGTCTCCCTCTCTCCAGTCATAATCACTAGCAACGGATGTTTCTCCGTTGACATTGGAGAACCTAAGTGGAGAGCATGCTGTGTGGGTGTGTCAGAGTGCAGAGAGACTTACTGTTCATTTACGACAAAGATGCAGTTGTCTTGGGAAGGGACTCCTGACACTGGGTGCTTACAGGTCACCTGTCTCTCATTGTGACTGCAGAAGATAGAGAACAGGACAGGGAGACAAAAGACAAAAAGGAGAGCGTTTAATCACTGTAAAAACAAAATGACAGCCGTAGTCTGTGATAACTCTAAGCAAAACTACAAAAACGGCTCTTAGGGAAGGTTAGAGGTCATACTTTATACACCATGAAAGCCTATAGTGATTGATCTAAACTAACTTTGTTATGGAACACAACAATAATGTCACAATAATGTGCACAGCAGTGCACAAGTAATAAAATAAAATAAAATGCTAATGCTATGGGTTAGTTTAAAATAAGAGAATAAAGTTAAAGTTAAAAATATTTAAAAAGTTTAAAAAAAAAAAAAAAATTAAGTGCACTAGCGAACAAGTGACAACGTGACGAGTGACAACAAAGTGACAAGTGAAAAATGACATTTAAAGTGACATGTGCAGTATGAAAGAGAGTGACCGGTGGAATGTCAGAGTCAGTCAGTGGGGGACCGGGCTCTGTTGATGAGCCCGACTGCCGATGGGAAGAAACTGTTTGTGTGGCGGGAGGTCTTAGTCCTGATGGACCTCAGCCTCCTGCCAGATGGAAGGGGCACAAGCAGGTGTTGTCCGGGGTGAGAGGGGTCGGCTACGATCTTTTTAGCTCGCTTCAGAGACCTGGAAGCAAACAAGTCCTGCAGAGACGGCAGATTGCAGCCGATCACCCTCTCTGCAGAGCGGATGACACGTTCCAGCCTGCCCTTGTCCTTGGCTGTGGCTGCAGCGTACCAGACGGTGATGGAGGAGCAGAGAATGGACTCGATGTGATGGACTGTGTAGAAGTGGACCATCATCGTCATCATCGTCTTTGGCAGGTTGAATTTCTTCAGCTGCCTCAGGAAGAACAACCCCTGCCCTCCAAAAATAATTATCTGAGATTTCTAGAAGGAAGTCATTACAGAATATGTTATTTTGTCTAATGTAATGTGTGTCAGTCCATAGGTCCCGGTAGACTACAGTTAGCTAGTCTGTCCTCTTAAAGGGAGATTTGTTTTGTTGGGACTATCCTTAATTCAAGATGCTTCCAAAAAAAATGCTGTGGAAAGCAGATGTGAGCTGCACTTTACTGAAGTGTTGTGTGAACATTTATGTTAGACACAAAATGGTAAGATATATGTCCGTAATGTTTTTTCCATTTGCAATGAACTCTATACTTTGTCTCACCCAGAGACGCAATGGAGTGAAGGGCTGCATAGATAGGGTTTGAACTTTCTTGAAATATCCACTTTGATGTAATTAAATTGTTACTTAATTCTTCTCTTAATCAGGAATCAGAAATCAGGAAACATTTACTGCCATAACATGTCAGACATACAAGGAATTTGACTTGGCGGTTGGTGCGTAACAGCAGACAGTACGACAATGGACGACAATGAATCGTGTGTACAGTGCACGAGGAATAAAATAAAAAATAATTCTACGGGTTAGTAGTATAAGGCTATGGGTTAGTTTAAAATGAAATGATACAATTTAAAGTTAAAAATATTTAAAAATAAAGTGTACCAGCGAACAGGAAGTGACAAAAGTGACGAGTGAAAAATGACAGTTAAAGCGACTCTCTGCAGAGCGGATGACACGCTGCAGCCACAGCCAAGGATAAGGGCAGGCTGCAGCGTACCAGACGGTGATGGAGGAGCAGAGGATGGACTCGATGATGGCCGTGTAGAAGTGGACCATCATCGTCTTTGGCAGGTTGAATTTCTTCAGCTGGCTCAGGAAGAACAACTTCTGCTGAGCCTTTTTGGTGATGGAGCTGATGTTCAGCTCCCACTTGAGGTCCTGGCTGATGATGGAGCCCAGGAAACTGACTTTAGAGCGTTGAGCTCCAGGTTGTTCTGGCTGCACCAGGACACCAGATGGTGATATTACAACACCAGATGGTAATATTACAACTTTGTCCTGAAAATATGACAACTTTATTTGTTGTTGCTCTGATTAGATCCGCCATGATGGAGAGGTAATGTATCAAATAAGCAAACCATATCAAATTTGATAAAAATCAAGTGAGCTTAAGACAATTGTCTGTTTGCTCGGTACAGCTTGTATTTGTTCATGACCTTTCTTAAATGCCTCCCATGGGTTCAAAAAGTATTGTCAATTCAAGTGAGCAGAGCTCCAAGAATACGTTATGTGAGTGTGTATTCCCTCCTAACTATCTATCAGTCGGAGCATGTAAACGTTGCACACTCTCACTCAGCCGCTGGATAAAGTCATAGCTGTAGTAAATAGAACTTAAACCTGCTCATAAAGGGCACATAATCACACTTATATACTTTTAACATTCATAATGTATTCAAGGAACAACTTGAAAAAAATGCAGTATTTTCAGATACATTTATGAAAAAGAATGGAGCTGGAGAATCTACTAGCCTCTAATGTATTTTTTTCAAAGACGGCAACTACCAATTATCCTGTGCATTTATTCATCATTGTTTTAAGATTGATTTAACATGGCAAATGGAATATGTTAAAAAAAACAGAAACCACATTATTTTAGCATACACATTGAAGAACACCAGCACACTAATTGTTTTCAGACTTCCAGGATTCCAATTCTGCATTTGGTGTTTTTTTACATTAAAAGGTGTTATAAATGAGGAAGGCTATTTGATTACTACCCTTGAGAATAAAAGGTCAAATTCAGAAAGGGGTCAAGGGAATTCACAGATTATTTTGTAAAAATAGAGACAGCACATTATTAGGTTGCTATGATAAAAATCCTTTTTCTCTGGCTGTGTATAGTTAATGGGCAAATCTTCCACACTATCCATCTGCTCAACTTCTGCATCCTTCACTCCCCGTCCTCACAGCCACTAGGACTATGACGAAGCCGTCCACATGGTTAATCTCAAACTGTGGCTATCTGATGTGCCTGTTAGAATTGTTGCTGATGCTGCAGAACTGTGGTTCTAAAGGTAGGTAGGTAGTATGTCTTCTTCTATCAATCCGAGGTAGACAAACCCAACAGTTTGTCTACCTCTACCTATAATAATTCAAAATATCTAATTCCAATAGTTTACGAAAATAAACAATCCACTTCTTTTGGATAGAACATACATTGTAACTATAGGTAATATATTGTCTTTAGATGACAATAGAATTGAGGGCTGCCTTGTAATTTTCTACACCTAGAAGAAGAAACTATTGTTGTTGCACATTTGGCTTCCACAAACGAATGAAATAACTGTATCCTCAAATTCGTCATTGGTTACAACTGATGTTGATCGGATGGTAAACCAAGTCAGTGCTGCAAGATAACTAGGCATCTGGATCTGGTTTGGTTTCTCATTGATTGTTTTTTTATAAACACAAGAATCCAGTGAGCAGTGATGGCAGGAGCTGCCGAGGAAATGGCACCTCTGAATCACCCAGCTGAAACACTGACAGCTCGGAGCTAAAGGGAAGCAGCTCATTTCGTTTCGCTCGTATTTTGAAAGAGAAAGCCTTGGCAACAGCATGTGTGAATCTCGCATCACAACCTACACTGCCGATAAATAACCTCTCAGTAAATGCCTTACTGTAAGGCAAATCTTCATCACCATCGGCAAGTCTCTGCATTCCAGGAGACTATTCATACTCCACACAACCACGTTAACGTCCACAGCTTGCGTACTCACCAGAGGAAATGTAGCAGGAGCTAAGGAGGCAGGCAGAGCAGGAGGAGCAGTAGGGGAACCGCTGCCTCTTCCATGGGCTTTGCTCCGGGTGAAGCCAGCTCTGCTTGTGCGAACGCTGCTAAAGAGCCCCCCCTTCCTCCCTCGCTGTCTCTCCCCTGCTCTGCCTACATCACCATTGTGCTGGTGTTATCAGACAGATGTGTCAACAATTCCTGCTAGAAAATGGCACGAAGCTGCCCGATGAAGGCAGTAGGACCAAGCATGTCCTGTCATCTGTCTGAAATAGGAACCGTGACTTTGCACGGCCCTCATGGGCAACACACAGGGTTTCCCTTTTAATCCAAGTCATCTGTTGGAATCTGACAGGGGGGGGGTTTGGCTAATGAAAACCAATTTGTTAAATTAATAAAATAATGAATGTAAGTACAATTATTGACAAATAATAACAATAATTGGGAAACACCTTGAGATCAGGGACCAATAACCCAAGTATAAATCAATTATCATAGTTGCTGTTCACTCAATACGTCAATAGTCAGCAAAAAGCCACATTAATGATGGACAGTGAATGTTTGAGTTCAGGCACATGCCACAATATTAAGCTTTTATCACAATACACATGCATATGTGTGCAGGGGGAGAAACTAGAAAACTACTAAAATGGCAAATCCTGTATCTGACCACGTGAGAATACAAAATGTCATTTTGGAGTAAAAATACCAAAATGGTACTCGTGGTCGCGTCTGTAACAACTCTAAGCAAAACTAAAAAATGGCTCTAAGGGAAGAATAGAAAAAAACCCAAGAATGAATACACAGCACTGACGTAGCTTGCCGGTTTGTAATTAACACAATAACATAACAGTACAGTGAACTTTTAATAACACACTGACTTCTTTGTGCCTAGACACAAGGCTCCCTCTGTGGGATGACTCTGTAGCGGTCAATGTGGTTCTTTCAGTTCCTGTGTGAAAATTCAAACTGTGGCAAATTCAAACTGCGGCAATCAATTCTTCATATGGCAGCGTGAATTCTTTTGAAGTGAAAGCAAGTTTATCTTTCTTTCTTTCTTTCAAATGTCGACTGGAGAGGGAAGACAATGTTTCCTTCTCTTCCTTCTGCAGGTTAAAGTTGCACAGCAAAATTCATAGAGTTAATTTTTCCGGAATTAGGCAAAAGTGCAGAGTTGAAATCACACCGAAAAACGTTCATTCAACGGATACAGAGTCAATTGTTCGAAAGAATGGAGTCATTATCCAGTGTCAAGGACTTGGGTTTACTCTACATAGAGTGTATTTATCACTGATCTAATTTATTTGTGACACGTAGTAGAGTTAAATTAACTCTTTCATAGGTTTTAAAT